ACACACAGTCACACACACACACAGTCACACACACAGTCACACACACACACAGTCTCTCTCACACACACACACAGTCACACACAGTCACACACACACACAGTCTCTCACACACACACACACAGTCACACACACAGTCACACACACACACAGTCACACACACACACAGTCACACACACAGTCACACACACACAGTCTCTCACACACACACACACAGTCACACACACAGTCACACACACACACAGTCACACACACAGTCACACACACAGTCTCTCACACACACACACACAGTCACACACACAGTCACACACACACACAGTCTCTCTCACACACACACACAGTCACACACAGTCACACACACACACACACACACACACACAGTCACACACACAGTCACACACACACACAGTCACACACACACACAGTCACACACACAGTCACACACACACAGTCTCTCACACACACTCACACACACAGTCACACACACACACAGTCACACACACAGTCACACACACACAGTCTCTCACACACACACACACAGTCACACACACAGTCACACACACACACAGTCACACACACACACACAGTCTCTCACACACACACACACAGTCACACACAGTCACACACACACACAGTCACACACAGTCACACACACAGTCACACACACACACAGTCACACACACACACAGTCACACACACACACACAGTCACACACAGTCACACACACACACAGTCACACACAGTCACACACACACAGTCACACACACACACAGTCACACACACACAGTCACACACACACACAGTCACACACACAGTCACACACACACACAGTCACACACACACACAGTCACACACACACACAGTCACACACCACACACAGTCACACACACACACAGTCACACAACACACACATGGCCACGCTCACTCGTGCACGTGCACACTCCTGTCTCCATTCCCTCTCCGTGTCTGGGAGCATCAGTTACACACGCGTGTTTGTGCATGAGCTGCTCCTTTACTACATGACAGCTGCTCCGTGACGCGGGCTAAAGTCACAAAGTGCAGGCGAGTCAGCTTGAGGCCTGAGTTGGCTTTAGCCGAGGACTCCCGGTCGGGCGCCCCTGCCCCGGGGACAGAGGGTGGAAGGGGGCTCCACAGGCAGGGCGGGGGGGGGAGGGGGAGGAAGGAGGGGCCTGGCCCGCTCCCCTCTCTGGGCCGGGCGTGGGGACGCGGCCTCCACAGCCACCTCCGGCTGACAGGTTCCAGCGGGACCGGACGGACAGCGTCGCGTGGGTGCTGGGCTGTGGCCGGCTGCGACCCCGGTGACGCCCCCAGTGGTGCCGTTGTGTGTTTCCGACACCCCGACTCATCCCCATCCAGCTGCACACACCCCGCCTGTCAGCGCCTCCCAGCAGCCACAGCGGGTCCAGGCCGCCCCTAAACCACCTTCTCCCCAGACCGACCGCAAGGGCCCCCACCCGGCGCTGCTGCTCCGCGTCTGCGCCTCATCCCAGGCCACAGGCAGCTGCTCCCCCGCCCGGCCCTTCCCACCGGGGTCCGCTGGTCCTGCCCCCCCCCCCCCCCCCACTGCACAGCCCGCACCAGGCCCTCCCGGACTCACCCTAGCAGCGTCCCAGGCCGACCTCCTCCATCGGGGGCCCTGGTCCATTCGTACCCCACGCCCGGCCCCCCTCCCCACGTCCGCCCGACCCCCTCCCCCTCCGCCTGGGAGGATGGAGGCGGAGTGCACGCGGGCCCAGAGCGGCTGTAGCGACGCGGGTCCCCACGGGGCGGGGAGCCTCCAGCATCTCCAGCATCCGGCAGTCGGGGCGCCTCTCAGAGCCCGAGGACGCGAGCGGAGACAGGAGGGCGCCCTAAGCAGGTCCTCCCGGAGGCCCCCCAGAAGGCTGTGAGGTTCGAGGACTCCGAGGACACGGGGTCCGTGCACTTTTACAAACCAAAGGGCATCTGCTTCAGACAGACGTTCTCCCAAAAGCCTCTTGGGGGCAGGGGAGGTGGAGCGGGCGGTGTGCGCCTGGGGTGCAGGTCGTGGCTGTTTCAGGTGCGAAGCCCGGCCGGGCGCAGTGGCGGGGCTTGTCCCGCACCAGGTGCTGCGGGTTCGAGCCCCCGTGTGTGTGTGGGGGGGGGGCCGCTGGTCGTGCTCACATCCCTTCCGCTGTCTTTAACAATCAGTAAAAATCTATGAAACGTGTGCCGACCCCACTGCTGCTCTGGGGCCTCCGTCTCACTTGTCATTTTAAGTGTTTTGGGTGCATTTTGTCCAGTGTCGCTTCCTGAAGAAACACGGGGACCATGTCTGTGCTCCTGGGCCCCGGCCGCCCGCGGCGTTGGGATTCCCGCTTATTGAAGCGTCGTGGCGCCTGGGGTGAGTCGGGGCGAGGCCCGTCCCCCAGTCCCCGCTGTCGCCCTCAGTGCCGCCCGGGCAGGTGGGGCAGGTGCGAGGGAGGGAGGGGTTCCCGTGAAGGACTTTTAGCGACAGGACAGGCAGTTGTAGAGAATCAGGGGGGCCATGGGAGAGGATGCACATGTGAAGGCAGAACAGCTCCAAGCGGCCAGAATGCCTCTCACGCTCTCCCAGAGGACGGGAGGCCCGGGTACGGGGATGGAGGGGGGGGGCACGCTCTCCCAGAGGACGGGGGAGGGGGGGGCACACTCTCCCAGAGGACGGGGGGGGGGATGGAGGGGGGGACACGCTCTCCCAGAGGACGGGGGAGGGGGGGAGGGGGGGCATGCTCTCCCAGAGGACGGGGGGGGGGGATGGAGGGGGGGGACACGCTCTCCCGGAGGACAGGGGAGGGGGGGAGGGGGGGCATGCTCTCCCAGAGGACGGGGGGGGGGGGATGGAGGGGGGGGACACGCTCTCCCGGAGGACAGGGGAGGGGGGGAGGGGGGGCATGCTCTCCCAGAGGACGGGGGGGGGGACACGCTCTCCCGGAGGACAGGGGAGGGGGGGAGGGGGGGCATGCTCTCCCAGAGGACGGGGGGGGGGGGATGGAGGGGGGGGACACGCTCTCCCAGAGGACGGGGGAGGCACGAGATAAGGGAGAGAGAAGGGGCACCAGGTGGGTTTGGACTCTGAAGCTGATCCCTGCAAAAGCGTGACAGGGGGACAGCACGGGGCCATACAGGGGGAGGGGCCAATGAGGGGCGCGTAGACCATGAACTTGCACCTTGAAAACCTCCACGGGCTCCATGGCGACCCCCTTGGGAGCCCCTCCCCACGTGGGAGCTGGTATGTGCTTCCACATTTCCGCCCTTTTACTAACCAGCTTATTCTTCAGACTCGGGGAGGCAAAACCCACAGGCAGAACCCGCTCCCCAAACCTGTGTCACGGGGTCCCCGAGCCCCAGAAACCCCCCTGGTCCCCCGGGAGGCGTCCTGTTCAGTGTGCCCCGAGTGGGCGTGCCCTCCCACACCTGCCCTCTGGCCGGGTCCCCACTCAGCCGTGTCCCTGGGCCCAGCCAGGCTGACACAGGAACTGTCAGGGGTGGGGACCTCTCCTCGCCCCTCTGTGCTTCCAGTGCTGGCCATTCAAACAAAACCACCTGCTGTTCCCATGTTTCCTTACATTAGAACTGCTTCCTCCCTGACGGCGGCCCTGCGGGAGTTTTGCCGTGGATCCCAGTGTGTGTGTGCGTGTGTGTGTGTGCGTGTGTGTGTGCGCGTGCGTGTGTGCCCGTCCCACCAGCTGGGCTTCCTCCATCAGCTCAGGCTCCCAGGTGAGGGCTCGTCCCTTGGACGCCAGTCCCCGGCCTGTGCTGCCCACCTGGCATGAGGCAGGTCCCCGCAACCCGCTCTGTGGGCTCCAGGAACTTGCTAGAACCCCTCACAGAACCGAGACAAACATGTACCTTCCCCATCACGCTCCCTGGGAAAGGGCGTCACGCAGGGACAGGCGGGGAAGGGCAGGGCTCCCTGTCCCCATCCCTCTCCGCCGCCCCGGCCACCAGCCCGAGCTGTCCACCCTCCGTTCTGGGCCTCATCCCACAGGCAGCACTGATGAGCCCACTGGGCGCTGGGGATGGACCCCCTCCGGCCCCTGCTCCTCTCCCCGAGGTCAGCGGTGGGGACGGATCCCCCTCTGGCCCCTGCTCCTCCCCCCGAGGTCAGGGGTGGGGACGGGTCTCCTGCCCAGGCCTCTCCTCAGGTGCCCCCCAGAGACCAGGTGTGAGGGAGGGGCTGGCTGGCCAGGGATAAGGAGACCCATCTCCCCTCCGGTCCCTGCGGCCGCTGCCCCGAGGGCTCAGGAACTCCAGGTCCCTGCGGCCGCACACGGCGTCTCTGCTCCCCTCACTCCTGGCTCCCCGGGGCCACCTCCTGCACGAGGCCCACAGGCAGCCGGGCAGCTTCCGTGCTTTTCTGCTCCGATGAGTGAGCCGGGTCTGGCAGGTCGGTGTTCACCCCAAACAGCACCTGCTTGCCCGCCCGCCCGGACACCCCACACACCTGCCTGGCCATCGGCCCGAGAATCAGGGCCCGGGCTCGAGGCCGGGTTTCCGTGACCTCTGCTTTGCCGGGTCCCGCAGTTTCTCTACATCAGGTTTCTAGGTTCTTTGTAGCCAGACTTGAAAGATGGAGAGATAAACGGGCACAGGGAGGTGTGTCCTGAGACCCACCCGCAGCCCCGGCTCCCAATCCGGTTTCTGTCACCAGGATCCCCACACGAAGCCCTTGCTTCTTTCCTTTTGTGTAACCAGCCCACAGAGCTCTGGGCGGGCCCGACTGCCGGCTTAGCCGCTCTGGGCAACGGCACCTGCAGTTGAGATAAAAACGGCAGCAAAGCCCGGCCGGCGTGGCTCAGGGGTTGGGCGTCCACCTAGGAACCAGGAGGTCAGGGTTCGGTTCCGGGCGGCACAGGCCTGGGCTGCGGGCTCGATCCCCACTGTGGGGCGAGCAGGAGGCAGCCGGTCCGTGACTCTCCCTCATTCATGTCTCTCTCTCCCGAAGCCAGAGCTCGGGGTGAAGACAGCACGGCGCTGCGGCACACGGACACTTGTACGTTTTATTTAGGTTAATCAGCCATGGCACACGGTCTGCAGCTACGTGTGGTTAGTGGTGTACTTTCCCCATTAACTGGAACATGCCTCATAAATATAGTCAATTAGGGTCATCGCCATGGGAACAAGATGCTGATTCGTCAACTGAAAATGCACTTCTTCTCACAGGATTCAAGTTTTCTGATCACACAGCAAAATTCAAAACAAAGGTGGAGAACGTCACACAGACGTCACCTGCACGGCAAGTTACACAACAGCCACGCTCTCTCCATCAGGGAGGGTCCGAAGGCGCCATCTCCACACCGGCTGCCGGACAAAGCTTCCTTCCTGCCCAGAGGCCCGACGCGCTGGCACTGGGGCAGGCCTGGTTGTGACACGCCCGCCCAGGAAACCCTCGGGGTGACGCTCCCCAAATGCCGCGCTGGCACCGGTCCTCGCCGTGACCTTGGGGGCAGTGACTCACTTCTGCTCGGCAGGAAAAGACCGGCTGGCATCGGGAAGGGCTCCGTCCGCCAGGAGAGAGCCGGGGCTGTTTTAAAAGTCATCTCTGTTGGATATACTTCTCTTTCATAAATAACTGATCCAGAGATGCTCTGTGCATAGGAATAGACTTGCAATACGCCAGGGGATGAGGACGGCCGCCCGCCCTCTGAAACACACACCCAGGGAGGCGCACACAGGCACCCCCTGGTTCCCAAGGGAGTCTGGATTTCAAATAAATAAACCCCAAATTTCAACCAAAACGAAACTGGTGAGGATGCCTCCATCTCTCCTGCGAGCTCACCGCCCCGGGGAGGGAGTGGAAACCGCCCCCTCACGGGAAGAGGGTCCGACCTGGGAGGGTTTCAGATGCGACATGCAGGCGCCAGTGGAGAGTGAACCGGAGAGAGGAGGGGAGCCCCTCCCCCACGGTGAGGAGTCTGGTCTGTGTGTCCTGGGCAGGTCCTGTTCCCAAGGGTGTATCTACAGAGCCGCGGCCGGAGGAGGGGCCACGGGTAAGACAGCGCGGTTTGCTCAGCAGCAATGAGATCTGGAGACTACAGCGGTACAGCTCGTCGATACCCTGCCAACGTGTCCGAAATCAGAGACCTGAAGACGCTAGGAGGCCCGGGCAGCTGCTAGCACCTGGACGCCCTGCTCCCTGCCTGCCGGGGGCCGCGGGCCGGGGCTCCCAGCCATGGCTGTGCTGGTGGCAGGACGGGTGGGCGGAGGTGCCTCTCCTGCAGCGGCCGGGCGTGCTGTCCTCCGGTTGTGTCCGCAACCCCTGAACTTCCATGTCCAGCGTCTCCAGGGCCCCTGCTCCCGGTGCCCACGTGGTGACACCAGGTCGTGGCTCTCACCCACCGTGCGCTCATCTGAGCCTTTTCTATGTACATGGTACCCGGACGCCCGCACTTGTGCGGGGATGCCTGCCGCCTGCTGTCACGGGAGAGTCTGTGGGAGCCAAGGTCGAGGGCCCCGTGGGCTGGGGGAAGTGGAGGAGGGTGAGCGCCAGTTCCCAGGGCAGCCGGAGGCCAGGAGCCGGGACCCAGCACCGGGGGAGGCTCTCTTTGGTCACAGATTAGCTGACAGTTAAGGGGACACTAACCAGGGAGCGTGAGCTCAGCGTGGGGGGGAGGGGGGGCAGGCAGGTGTCTCACAATCGGCGCCGTGGCTGAGGGTCTGGGGAGCCGGCCTCACGTGGCCTCCTGCTCCAGGTCGTCCCCGCACAAGTGCCGCAGGAGCTGCTGGAGGTCGCGCTGGAGGTCGTCCCGCTGCAGGGCCTCGGGCACATCCTCCAGGGACTCCAGGTGCACGCGCTTCCCACGCCGGTCCCTCACCACAGCCCGCTTCTGCGTGCGGGCCTTACGGAGCGTGGTCCTGGGAGGAGACCACACAGGTTAGGCCCTGCTCTGCGGACCCACCGCCCATCACTCGCACGGGCTCAGGGGTGCGGCTCATCCCAAAGGGACCCCACGCAGACGGGCTGGGAAAGACCACAGGAAACGCACTCAGAGCTCCGCAGCTCCAGCTTAACCCAATGGGCTGGGAGGTGCTGCTGCGGCGGCTGCGTTACTATCCCGACCCCGAGTGAAACGATGCCACGTGACCATTCAGTCTCAGGCCTCACCGTCCACATGTAAGTGCACGTCTGCACCCCACAGTGTGCCCAGAGCGTGTTTCATGTGCAGGCCTCACCATCTACGTGCAAGTGCACGTCTGTACCCCACAGTGTGCCCAGAGCGGGTTTCATGTGCAGGCCTCACCGTCCACATGTAAGTGCACGTCTGCACCCCACAGTGTGCCCAGTGCATGTTTCATGTGCAGGCCTCACCGTCCACATGTAAGTGCACGTCTGCACCCCACAGTGTGTCTGAGCGTGTTTCATGTGCAGGCCTCACCGTCCACATGTAAGTGCACGTCTGCACCCCACAGTGTGTCTGAGCGTGTTTCATGTGCAGGCCTCACCGTCCACATGTAAGTGCACGTCTGCACCCCACAGTGTGCCCAGAGCGTGTTTCATGTGCAGGCCTCACCGTCCACATGTAAGTGCACGTCTGCACCCCACAGTGTGCCCAGAGCGTGTTTCATGTGCAGGCCTCACCGTCCACATGTAAGTGCATGTCTGCACCCCACAGTGTGTCTGAGCGTGTTTCATGTGCAGGCCTCACCGTCCACATGTAAGTGCACGTCTGCACCCCACAGTGTGTCTGAGCGTGTTTCATGTGCAGGCCTCATCGTCCACATGTAAGTGCACGTCTGCACCCCACAGTGTGTCTGAGCGTGTTTCATGTGCCAGGTGCTATTATTATGGCGACAAATAAGGACACTGAGTCCCAGAGAGTTTAAGTGATGCTCCAAGTAAAACCACAGGAAGGGCTGGCGGGGCGAGGCCAGGACCCCGCGCCTGAGCCGGGGGAGCCTGCTCACAGGCCTCACAGGGACCGTGTGGGGTGGCTGGTTGGTGGGCGCCACCAGCACTGTCCTCACAGATTCCCAGTGTCCAGAACTGGGGGTCTGCCCTCGCGACCTTCTCAGCACCTGCCTGACACCTCGATGCGTCTGAGACCACCTGGAGCTTGGGGCTCCTGGGCCCCCTGCCCCTCCTCCTGCCACCTCTCCTCCCCCGTGACAGGGGCTGTTTTGCATCTGTGAGCACCTGCAGTTGGTTCCTCCTGATGAAAAGGCCACATCAGGACCAAAGGTGGAGACCAGGATTTCCTAACTACTCAGCACCTGCATTTCTTTTTCTCCAAAAGGCACCTGACTCTACGCCAGGAGCTCGCCGAGGCCTTTGTGGCTCGGTGTTGGGGACGGTGTCCATCCCCGGCTGTTCCCTAAAGGTCGGTGCCGCACGTGGGACGAAGGTGCTATGGCCTCGTGCGTGTCCCCCGGGGGGACGGATTCACCTCTGCCCAGGGGCCAAGGGGGTGAACGCACCTGGCCGAGTCGGGACCCAGGCCCACAGGCTGTCCGCATCCTGGCGGACGCACATGCTGCAGTGAGGGCTTGGGAGGAGCTGGTCTGGAACCCATGCCCAGGGAGCCCTCCTGAAGCGGGCTGTGAGCTACGGCTCCTCTGGGTGGCCCAGGAGCACCGAGAGTGCAGACACAGGCATCCTCCGTGTCGCAGGGGCGCCATGAGCTCTGTGCGCGCCACCCGCGTCAGCTCTCACTGCGGCTGCTCTCCGTGTGCTCGAAGGGGACCGACAGAGCCTTCCCTCACTGGCTGTCACGTGTGCCCCTCAAGGGCAGCTTTCCCTTCTGTGCGGGAAGGGAGGCGCCCAACAGGACTTGTGCCCACGGGGACTGTGCTGCGAACCCGAGACCACGTGCTCAGTGCTCACAGGGCTGCGTGGGCAGAGCCCAAGGCAAGACGCCAGCGACCACACGGCAAGTCGTGAGGATGCAGTGAGGCCCCTCCACAGGCGCACATGGGCCCACACGGCTGCACATGGCTGCTCACACTTCCCGAGCTGACGGAGGCACTCAGGCCCACGGCCCACATGCAGAAGCAGGACCAGCTCGCTCACACGCAGCACGTGCTGTTAGAGGACGATGGACCGGACTGAGCTGCAGGCAGTGCACACGGCAAGCAACCGACGAGCCGCTGACCAGGCTCTCCCCTGTCCCGACCCGTCGGCACGGGACGCCCCCCGCTGGCCTCCGTGGAGCAGGGGTGGCCGCGGCGACAGGCTTCCCGTCCTCACACCTGGAGTCCCCTGACTCCCTGACCTTTGGGGTGTGGCCCCATGTGTTTTCTTAAGTTGGAACAGGGTTAGTTGGCAAGGAGCACCCCGTGCTACCCAAACCTTTTCACGACTGATCCGTCCTCTCTCAGGACTTCCTCCTCCACTAAGCTGGGAGCGTGGACTTTCTCGTGGCTGCCCGTGTAACTCAGAGCCTGAGGAGACACCGAGACGTCACCACGCGGGCCCGAGTACAAGGCTCCGCACAGTCACAGCCGAGGAACAGACACGCGGGACTTCAGGGAGACGAGACGCACTCGGAGCAGATGAGCACGAGTTTCACTTACCCGCCCCCCCCCCCGCCCCCCTGCGGCTTCATCACCTTCCTTCCTTCACAAAGGTTCACCAGCATCCATCCTGCCGCGGCTTAGCTGCCTGCTCTCCCCACCCTCCTCACCCCTCCCCTCCTCACCCCTCCCCTCCTCACCCCTCCCTACCTTACCCCTCCCTCCCCTCCCCTCCCCTCCTCACCCCTCCCTACCTTACCCCTCCCCACCCTCCCATCCCCTCCCTCCCCTCCCCTCCACAGTGGAGACTAAGGACCAGTGACCACCGAGTGCCCAGGTCACCGGCTGCCATGGGAAGGGCAGTGTCTGGAGAGGCTGCCGCGCTGCCCTGGCCCTTCCAGGAGTCTCCGTGTGCACTGCGGGCGCGAGGAGACCACAGGTCATGTTCAACGCGACAGCAATGAACGTCTAGCACCTCCCCCAGTCACACCGCGGGGCAGCGGGTCCGGAACACGGCGCCCTTCCTCTTGGATGGGGAGGTACTGGGCACCCCGTCGGCCCTCACACCGGGCCAGGCCTCCAGGGCCAAGAGGCGCCACGGGGGCTCCTGGGAAGCCCCACTGCCCATCAGCCACCGACCGGCAGCTCGCCGCTTCCCGACAGTTTGGGTGTTGGAAATGGAGTGAAGGTTGTGTCCCTGCCACTGGGGACCCGATTCCTAACGCCTAGAAGTCAGAGCTTAGCTGTGGCGCTGGTGCCCATCTCTGGACGCATTCAGGACCATTCCTGACGGGGACCGCAGCCTCTCGAGTTCTCCCCTCACTGACGGGGTGTGGGGGGCGCGTCGCTGATGGTGTGGGGGGCGCGTCGCTGATGGGTGTGGGGGGCGCGTCGCTGATGGGTGTGGGGGGCGCGTCGCTGATGGGTGTGGGGGGCGCGTCGCTGATGGTGTGGGGGGCACGTCACTGATGGGTGTGGGGGGCATGTCGCTGATGGTGTGGGGGGCACGTTGTGACTGTGTGGCCCACGAGCTCAGGAAACGGATGCTGACTCAGTGGCGCCCCCAGCATCGGCTGTGAGAAGCTATGAGGTGGCTGAGGAGCCCTCACTGCACAGGCCCCTGGTCAGGCTCCTCGCTGGCCCTTTCCGTGCCCGAGAGGACATATGAGAAGGACGCACGGACAAGCCTTTCCTTACAGACACAGCCATGGCCACGCAGGGCTGCTCCTGTACCTGCTCGAAGTCGTCTTTGGCCGAGGGAAGGTCAGGGGCGACACGGGGGTCCCCCAGATGCTTCTCCATCCTCTCTCCACGCACCACTGTTGTTTTGACGACTTTGCTGACACGGCGGCCCTCAACGGGCTCCGCCTGGAATTGCGAGGCCTCGCACAGGGCGCCGGGCTCGGACACGGCCACCTAACGGGCAGGGACACAAACATAGCTTCTGACGCTAAGGTCACTGCGGGGCGTTGCTCTACAAGGAAACCCGCCCGCAAAGGCTGCAGAGCTGCCCCGGTTCCAGACACGGACTCTGGGCAGAGCAGCAGGTGGGAACGAGCCCGTCAGCACCGGGGAGTCCCCGCGGCGGCTCTGCGCGCTTGGCCCTCTAACCCGCGTGAGTCCCTCAGAGGCCTGTCGGGAGTCCGGTGAGGCGTGCAGTGGGGACCCCCACCCGCGCTGCTCTGCCCCGTGGAAATGGTGGCTCTGCATCCTGACCATCACGCGGCCCCAGGAGGGAACGCTCCGGATGCGAGGAGCTGCAGGCCCGACTCCAGAGCACCTCCCGTGAGTCACGACAGACGCGTGAGCGTGTGGAGGAAGCAGAGCGGACGGCACAGGCGTGTGTCAGAGAGAAGGGGCCCCTTCGAGGGCAGGCGAGCTGCCCAGGTAGTGGCTGGGCTCCGAGACGCAGCATCTGCTGTGGGCACCGCACACAGGCCTCTCTGCACACTGCCCCTCACACACAAGCCAGCCCCAGGCCTGACGTGGTCCTGCTGTGGCCCTGACGGACTGAACAGCCACAGGGACAGGAGGACCACCGCAGGCGTTGGGCACTTGCCCCTGGTGGCTGGCTACAAGCTCTGGCTCACCGTGGAGGGGGGGTGAGTGCCGCCGAGACCTGCGTGAGGGAGCCATCACCTTGGCCAGGTCCCACTCGCCCCCCATGTCACACCCCACACCACACATTGGTGTCACACTCCACATACTCCACGCCACACATCGGTGTCACACTCCACATACGCCCACGCCACACATCGGTGTCACACTCCACATACACCCACGCCACACATCGGTGTCACACTCCACATACGCCCACGCCTCACATCGGTGTCACACTCCACATACTCCACACCACACATCGGTGTCACACTCCACATACACCCACGTCACACATCCGTGTCACACTCCACATACGCCCACCCCTCACATCGGTGTCACACTCCACATACGCCCACGCCTCACATCGGTGTCACACTCCACATACGCCCAAGCCACACATCGGTGTCACACTCCACATACGCCCACGTCACACATCGGTGTCACACTCCACATACGCCCACGTCACACATCGGTGTCACACTCCACATATGCCCACGTCACACATCGGTGTCACACTCCACATACGCCCACGCCACACATCGGTGTCACACTCCACATACACCCACGCCACACATCGGTGTCACACTCCACATATGCCCACGTCACACATCGGTGTCACACTCCACATACGCCCACGCCACACATCGGTGTCACACTCCACATATGCCCACGTCACACATCGGTGTCACACTCCACATACGCCCACGCCACACATCGGTGTCACACTCCACATATGCCCACGTCACACATCGGTGTCACACTCCACATACTCCACACCACACATTGGTGTCACACTCCACATATGCCCACGTCACACATCGGTGTCACACTCCACATACTCCACACCACACATCGGTGTCACACTCCACATATGCCCACGTCACACATCGGTGTCACACTCCACATACGCCCACGCCTCACATCGGTGTCACACTCCACATACTCCACACCACACATCGGTGTCACACTCCACATACACCCACGTCACACATCGGTGTCACACTCCACATACGCCCACCCCTCACATCGGTGTCACACTCCACATACGCCCACGCCACACATCGGTGTCACACTCCACATACGCCCAAGCCACACATCGGTGTCACACTCCACATATGCCCACGTCACACATCGGTGTCACACTCCACATATGCCCACGCCTCACATCGGTGTCACACTCCACATACTCCACACCACACATCGGTGTCACACTCCACATACGCCCACGCCACACATCGGTGTCACACTCCACATACACCCACGCCACACATCGGTGTCACACTCCACATACTCCACACCACACATCGGTGTCACACTCCACATACGCCCACGCCACACATCGGTGTCACACTCCACATACTCCACACCACACATCGGTGTCACACTCCACATACGCCCACGCCTCACATCGGTGTCACACTCCACATACTCCACACCACACATCGGTGTCACACTCCACATACACCCACGCCACACATCGGTGTCACACTCCACATACACCCACGCCACACATCGGTGTCACACTCCACATATGCCCACGTCACACATCGGTGTCACACTCCACATACACCCACGTCACACATCGGTGTCACACTCCACATACGCCCACCCCTCACATCGGTGTCACACTCCACATACGCCCACGCCTCACATCGGTGTCACACTCCACATACGCCCAAGCCACACATCGGTGTCACACTCCACATATGCCCACGTCACACATCGGTGTCACACTCCACATATGCCCACGCCTCACATCGGTGTCACACTCCACATACGCCCACGTCACACATCGGTGTCACACTCCACATACGCCCACGTCACACATCGGTGTCACACTCCACATACGCCCATGCCTCACATCGGTGTCACACTCCATGTGACATGCTCGTGTCATAGATCTGTGTCACATGCCACATCACACACCCACATCATACATCCACATGACTCTCCATGTCACATGTCCACATCACACACCTGTGTCACATGCGTCACATGCCTGTCACACCTCCACATCACTCTCGACGCCACAGGCCCACACTCCCCAACAGGCGTGGCCGTCAGCCTCGGCCTCGGGGCCTCACCTCCGCCCGCTCCGTGTCGCTCCTCAGCACCACGCGCTTGACGACCTTGGAGTAGGCGTCCGCGTCCGCGAGGCTGACGGGCTCCTGCGGCCGCCCCTGCACGGTGACCTCCTCCCGCTCAGTGCCGTCCGCGGACACGAACCGCCGGATGACCTTCCTGGTGACCTGGGGGGACGGCACCCTGAGTCTTGTCCTGGAGCCACAGGACGGGCCTGGGGAGGGGGGGACGTACCTTCTTCACCACCGTGTGCCCGTGCTCGTCCACGTATGTCTCCTCCGTGACCGTTTCTGGGGGCAGGTCAGGCACGTCGTCTCCCTGCAGAGACAGGCCCACATCAGCGGTGGCCCTGGCCGGGGGGGGGGGGGGGCACCGGCTCCCAGGCCAGAGGGCACGCGTGTTAGCCAGTTAGCGGAGGTGGAGAAGCGTTACCGCGGGGCCAGGCCCCGACACAAGGGTTTGCAGAGAGAAAAGTAGGTGCCGCCATGCTCGGGGAGCTCCGACCGACATCAGCTCCACACGCAGACACACGGGCAGAGACGGCACACAGCGCGGAGGGCGGCTGCCGACGTCACGGCGCCCCCGCTGTGGCCCGGGAGCAGCCACGCGCATTCCTCGGCAACAGCACCCGGACTGTCCATGGCTGCTCCCCAGGCCGCCAGCGCAGGCAGCCCGCTGCCCTGAGCCGCCGTGAGCGGTCACTGTCCCAGACGTGCGGCCCGAGCAGCTGGTACCTGAATGATCACCCGCCGGCGGACAACCCTGGTGGTGACCAGCGCCTCCTCGTCGGAGCTGGCTTCCAGCTCGCCCAGCTCGGCCGTGAGCTCCTGCAAGCGGAGGCAGGTGTTATGGCGCCGGGGGAGGCTTTGCCACAGGCCGGCGTGAGCTCACGCGTGCTCCCGGAGGTCTGTGCACTGCGCTCTGGGGCTGCGCCAACAGGGCACACAGAGCTGCACACGAGGCTCAGGCTTCACAGAGAACATGGCTTCTTGTGCAGCGAGCGGAGAGAGACCCTGGCATCCAGTCTGACCGAGCCCCTGGGCAGGACCTGTGGTGAAACCAGTGCTTCTCACCCACTGGGACTGCCGCTCCTGCTACACACAGGTGGGGGCACAGACTCGCCCCCGCCCCCCGCCCGCTCTCGGGCTGCGGCTGGAGTGCCTGCCCTTGGTCTCGCCGTGTCTACTGCTGGTGCAGATGCTCCCATGGACCAGGTTCCCTGCGCCTCGTCCAGGTAGGGATGCGCCTGCGGGGCCTGGGGTGTCACACTCACTCGCAGAGTCCAGCCAGGACGGAGCCAGACGTGACCTCAGATTACAACATACGTCCTGGGAGCCACACCCCAAATCTCTCCCTGTGGAAGGTTTCTCAAGGAGAAAGAAAACAGCTACATGTCCCCCACATACTTCAAAATGCCACTGGTGTTTCTAGATTCCTTTCTGCTGCAGAAAAATACCTCAAATCTAGCCCAAGCTATACGCTGAAAATGCTCAGGAACCTGTTGCCTAGAAACCGGGCTGGCAGGAACCCGCAGACATTCTATCCTCAGGGCAGGGTCCTGAGGGGTCAGGGTTGTGAGAGGTCAGGGTCAAAATCAGAAGCAGAGAGAGCGGAGGGGCGTCCCCGAGAACACGGGGCCGGGGCCTGAATACACGGGGCGGGGGGGGGGGGGGGGCGGAGTGACATGCCAGAATGTGTTTATGTGCAGAGAACAGACTAAACGCAGGAATTTACCAGGTAATTGTTCCAGGTCTAGACTTCAATTAGCTTATGGATTCTTTGGCTCAATTTGGCAACTTTTAAGCCCAGGCATCACCCATGAGTTCTGTTACTAGAACTGACCTCAGCCGACTCTAGTGAGATGAGCAATTCTCTACAGAGGCCGACATAGAACAAAGACTGAACTCATTACTTTGTAACTGCAGAAACAGGGCTTCTCATGCCAGCTACACTCTTCGATGGCTGCTGCTGACAGGTGTCACCCTCACCCTATCCTATCTAATAAAACCCTAATATGCAAGTCGACCGGTGGAATGACCGGTCGCTATGACACGCACTGACCACCAGGGGACAGACGCTCAAGCCATCCCTACACCCACACCTCGGGATCACAGCTGGCGAGCGCAGCAGAGGTGGCAGGAGCCTTTCCTGCCTCCGAAACAGCTCTAAGGATCCCTTGGGAGTCCCGGACTGCGAGAGGGCATAGGCTGGGCTGAGGACCCCACCCCCCCCACCCCAGTGTACAAATGTCATGCACCAGGCCTCTAGTCGTAAAATAAACCAATAAATGCAGGTCTTCAGCCCAAAGATATGCTGAATTATTACCTTTCCCCCAAAAAGTTTTAATTCTTTCTTCTAACTCATTCTTTCTCACTAAGACAGGCATGGATCCTTTAAAAATACTTTGACACAGAATGTTTTTGAATTCTAAAAGGAGAAACAACACCTAATTTAATTTGCATTAAATTAAATTGAATTCAAACAGATTCACACTTTGCGCCTACTCCGTTGTTGCTGAAAATGCAGCTTCTCCCTCTGCCCCCCCAAGTTCAGGATCCTGTGGGGAGGGATGCCCAGGGAGCAGTGAGGGGGAGGAGCCATTCAGACCTCTTGTGGGGAATAAACGGTTCCCCACTCCGAGGGGGGGGATGCAGCTCCATCTCACGTGTGACATCTGGCAGCAGCAATGCCTGCAGGTGGGAAGCTCCTTTGCCAAGCCATCCCTACACCCACCCTCTGGGCCCAGCCTGTCCCACGCCTGTCACAGCGGGTCCCAGGCCACTAAATGTGAAAAGCCACCTCAGGATGTGGTTTCGGCTGATGGTCATTTTTCTCAGCAAAAACGGTTTCCAGTGATAAAATGTGGGCGGATGTGAAGCGGCGAGAATGGCACCCAGGCTGTGGGTTCCACTCACGGGTGCCCGGACTTAAAAAGGATGGCGGTGCACGGTCCAGGCCTCTCACCCGGTGGCTGTGCGGGGAGCACATCAGCCTCAGGGAACAGCGGGAGGGGCTGTCCACGTGGGGGAAGGGTAGAGGGCTCCTCACCTTCTGAAACGCTGAGTCTGCGTCGAGGCTCTCGAAGGCCGGTGGCTGCTCATCGGCCGACTCCACAATCACCAGGCTGTTCCTCCTCGGAGACCCGGCCTCCCTGAACTCCTCGGGCTCCTGCACGAGGGGCGAGTCTGCCCGCTCCCGGGGCGGTGGGGCCGGCTGGTGGGGCCTGTCCTCCTCGGGGGTCCTGCTGGGAGAGTCTGGGGCTGCCGTGGCCTTTGCGGTGTCTGGCCCTGGTGTCCACGGGCTGGTCACACTGAAAGGGAAGGCTGGGTTACAGCGAGCAGGTGCCCCCTGCCCGCCGAGACCTGCCAGGAGCCGGTCCATGCTTGCTGTTTCAAGGGACCCGGCATATATGGCATACTGTTCTTAATATGTTTGCTCACCTTCTTGGCACTATGTGTTTTAACCAAGGTCACCTCTCTGAGAAAGGTTGTTTCCCCAGGTAGGGATTTTCCCCTGAAGTTAGGGAGGGAATAAAACCTCTTAACTAAGTGCCAGGCGGGTAATTAATCACTTTAACTACGAACAATCATGCTTAAGCTACATAATCTTTACTCCCTGGAATGGAGATAAGAAACGCCCTAACCTTTGGAATAGAGATTGATAGGATTGGAATCAACTGGTATAAATACAGATGTAACAAGACAGAACTTAGAAGACAGAACCTACACAGAACCTAGAGACAGAAGAACTTCGCTGGAGAGAACATGGCACGAGATCCTGGACAGAAACTGGCCACAGAACCTAGAGACAGAACCTAGCGAGAGAACCTGGCTGAAGAACCTAGAGACAGAACCTGGCTACAGACCCTGGATAGAACATGGCAAGAGAACCTGACTAGAACCTGGTGACAGAACCTGGCTGGAGAACCTAGCAAGAGAACATGGACACAGAACCTGGCTGGAGATCCTAACCAGAACTTCGCTGGAGATCCAGACCAGAACTTGGCTGGAGATCCTGGCTAGAGATCCTGGCTAGGCTGCTGATCAACTGAATGCTGTCTCCCTGTCATTCCTTCTTTGCCGACTCCGTCCACACCTTTGGGGACCCCTGGACCTGCTGGGGTTGGACCCCAGCATCTGGCGCCCGAACAGGGACCCTTAGGCAAGTCCCCCCGTACTTGGGACGGATAGGACTGCACCGTAGGGTGCTGTAGACCGCCCCCCTAGAGAGGATAAGTAGGGTAAGCGGGTAGTAAGTACAGAACTTAGATTGACAGGATGGGTCATACTGAGTCTAAAAAAATAAGACTCTGTATTGATCTTTTAACACATATGCTTGCTAGCAGAGGAATCGTTTTATACAAGAAGTATGTCCATGCTTTTCTGATGAAGGAAAGGTAAATGTAAAGGCATGGGAGGAGGTAGGCCCAAGGAGCCTTATCCTTAACCCCACTGCAGCCTTTCCACCCCAGGAAAGTGCAGGATTGGAAAGCTCTCCCTGGGGTGATAGATCAGGGCTCAGGTAATAGCGGAAAGCGCCAATCCTACTCTTAAAATGGATACAAGAGAGCATTTGGGGTTTTTCTTTTTAATGCCTGCTTTTAAAAAATAAAAAAGGGGGAATTTGCCGGGAGCCAGTCCATCCTTGCTGTTTCAAGGGACCTGGCATATATGGCATACTGTTCTTAATATGTTTGCTCACCTTCTTGGCACTATGTGTTTTAACCAAGGTCACCTCTCTGAGAAAGGTTGTTTCCCCAGGTAGGGATTTTCCCCTGAAGTTAGGGAGGGAATAAAACCTCTTAACTAAGTGCCAGGCGGGTAATTAATCACTTTAGCTATGAACAATCATGCTTAAGCTACATAATCTTTACTCCCTGGAATGGAGGTAAGAAACGCCCTAACCTTTGGAATAGAGATTGATAGGATTGGAATCAACTGGTATAAATACAGATGTAACAAGTCAGAACTTAGAAGACAGAACCAAGAGGCACAGAACCTAGACACAGAACCTAGAGGAGAACCTAGAGACAGAACATGGCAAAAGATCCTGGACAGAAACTGGCCTCAGAACCTAGAGACAGAACCTAGCGAGAGAACATGGCAAAAGATCCTGGACTGAACCTGACTACAGAAATTGGCAAGAGAACTGACTAGAACCTGGTGACTGAACCTGGCTGGAGAACCTGGACAGAATCTGGCTGGAGAACCTAGCGAGGGAACATGGACACAGAACCTGGCTGGAGATCCGAACCAGAACTTCGCTGGAGATCCTGGCTAGAGATCCTGGCTAGGCTGCTGATCAACAGAACGCTGTCTCCGTGGCATTCCTTCTTCGCCGACTCTCTCTACGCCTTTGGGAACCCCTGGACCTGCTGGGGTTGGACCCCGGCAGAGACCAGGGCCACAGAGGGGAACACGGACCCCCTTCCTAGTCACGAAGGTCAAATAGGTTAGTGCATTAGAATGACATGTGAGTAAGAATCCCACGCAATGGCAGTGTAGAACGACAGCTCCGGGTGCAGCGTGGCTGGGAAAGATGTTTCCAAAGGCTCACGCAGGCACGCGAGTCCCATCTCCTCCTCCCCCTCCCTCCCAGCACAGACACCGTCCTTTATCCTTCCTTTGCCACCTGGAGGTGAGTGAAGAGTTGAGAAGGGCTCCCTAACAGATCTGTAGATAATAAGGCTTGTGAAGCAAGAATCAAAATTTGGCAAAGTTTGTGAAAAGCAGTAAATGCACCCGTGTGAACACGGGCCCCGGGATGATCCACGCAGGGAGGTTCCTCCTTCCGGGACACGGCGACTTGGTAGGAAAATCTGTGGCGTGGAAGCTGCTTCTATTGCTGTGGAGGGCATGACTCGGCCGTGATCCCGGTCGTCTCCATTTCCAGGGAGAAGATTCTCTGCTTTCTTGGCTCCTTTGAAACCCGCGCTGCCACTCTCTGCCTCTGCGCCTGGCCTGGGCTCCCTCCCCTCTCTGCCCCTCCTCCCCCTGCTGTGCTGTCCTGATGCTGGATGGTGGCTCCTCCAGGGAAGAGACCGCTCAAGGCACAAGTTCACAAAGGGCCTGGGACGCTGTCTCAGCCTGCGGAGGGGCCGGCGTTCTGTGTCCATGCGCCGTGCTCTATGGCCCTCCCTCCTGTGAGTGCCTGTAATGCTGCCTCAGCCACCCAGCTGAGCGGGAACCAGGGAGCGCCCCCCCCCCCCCCCCCAGCGCCGCTCTGCTCACCCTGCTGCCCTGCCACCCCGGGCGGCCGTGTGCTCCCACGGAAGGAATCTCAGTGTAAACCACCCTTTCCCAGGCGTGCCGAGCTACCACCAGGACAGGAATTAGGAGCACGTAACTATCCCCTCTGAGCCCTGGCCCGTGGGGTCCTTAGGAAGGCCACCACCTGCACCCCGGCCCCTGGCCACGCTGTCCCCGGACACTCACCAGCACTGCGACTGCGGCCCCGGGGCCGGCTCCTCGGGCGTCCCTGTCCCCGCCAGGCCCCCGCGCACCCGCTCCTGGGGGAGGCGCTCCCCAGCGGGGCTGTCCCCGTCCGTCCGGGAGGTGCCATCGTGGACCGTGGAGAAGCCGATGGAGAGGTCTTCGTCAGAGACGAGAGGGGGGTGACCACAGGCCTCGCCTGCTCGGGACGCTGCGTGCTCGTGGGCCTGCGGGTGCCGCGCGGGCAGCTCGTCCTGCAGCACTGAGAACCCTGCGGAGGACAGCGGGTCAGGAGCGGCCTGGCGCCCGGCCACGTCGGCCACCTTCCTGAGCTCCGGAGTGACTCCACATGCCCGTCCTGGGGGGGGGGGGGGGGGGCGTCCACAGCGCCAAAGCTGACCCAGATTCTGCCTGCCTTTGACGTGCAGGTCCTGTGGGGCCGGGCACGGAGTGGGCCACAGGAGCAGAGACGGAGGGCGGGAACGAGGAGCTGCTGAGGGGATGTGGAGAAGTGAGGCGTGAGCAGCAGCAGCAGCTGAACGCTCTGCAGTTGAGCAGGTCACTTGGGGCTGTGGGTGCTCTGGGGGCCCCTGCCTGAGGCCCAAGGCCCGGTGCTCTGCGCGAGACCCGACACCCCGGCCACTGTAAGGGCTCTGGGAGGCTGAGGCAGAGGTGGAGGCGTGACGGCCCCACCCATTTATTCACTGACACCTGACAGCCGGAAGCCCAGTGGGGAGGCCCGGGGGGCGCCTGGGAGCGTCTCTGCAGACACCCACGGGGCTGAGATGGGAGGACTGCCCACGCGGGGACAGAGGGCGGCCTGAACCGGGGGCACGTTTGCCGTCACTGAAACCCACGCAACTTGAGCGCTGCCGGAGGACAGAGCAGGAAGCCGGGGGAAAGGCAGAGAGAGGAGCAGAGCGGGGCGGGTGAAGAACGTTCTAGGAGGAAGGGGCTGGTTCTGTGCGTCAGACGTGACTAAAGGCGAAGCAAGAAGAGCACGGGAGCCACGGGAGGGTTCACCGCGCGGCATGAGGCCCTGGCCACGCGGCAGCCACCTCTGCTTGGAGGTGCCCGGAGAGCGGACTGGGGGGGGACGGGCGGGGAGCAGATTCAGGGCGTCCGCGCTTCTGAAGAGATCACCTGTACGGCGGGCGGAGAAGCAGCCATCCGCGGGCACAGTGCTGGGAGCCGGGGCAGCTGTAGGGGTGACGCTCTTAACTGGACAAAAGACCGCGGTCTTAGCCACACTGAGAGCGGGCGGCCTGCAGGCCTGAGATCACGCAGGCAGGAGAGGGGGTGCCTGAATATGAGTGTCTGCTTGTGATTGTTGCTATTCCTTACAAATGTACTTTTATTGATTTCAGAGAGGAAGGGAGAGGAAGAGAGACAGAAACATCAATGATGACAGAGACTCACTGATCGGCTGCCTCCTGCACGCCCCCTACTGGGGACTGAGCCCACAACCCGGGCCTGTGCCCTGACTGGGAACTGAACTGTGACCTCCTGGTTTAAAGTTCAACACTCAACCACTGAGCCATGTCGGCTGGGCTGATTGTTCCTACTTTTTCTAAGAAACACGAAACCTGATCCTCAGCTCAGAATTAAGTAGTGAGCCACACTGGCAGCATGAAGGAGAAGAGGAGCTGTGAGACTGAGAAGAGAGGAGAGGGGGGCAGAGTGAGCTGCCTGGCGATGGAATGAACTAGGAACTTCAATGCCAGAGGTCCTAGTGGGTCTGAATCACGGCTGGTCTGGAGCAGAAGGTGAAGTCAGGGCGGCGCTTCCTGGGAGAGGGGAGTCGTGGGGCCACGGAGACAGGCACAGTCTTGTGGGCACAGCACAGACGTGGCAGCTGAGCTGGTGGGAAAGATGTGGAGCTGAGGGGAAGCACTGGTGGGTCATCCCAGTCCGTGGCCGGGTGACAGAAGGTCTGTCCCCTTCAAAGCCATGTTGAAACCAGTCCCGAGGTGGTGGCCAGCAGGTGGCCGTGGGGAGGGAGGGTGCTGAGGTGAGCCTGTGGGGGTTCCTGCCTGAGAAGGAGAGGGTGCAGCGGGAGGAGGCATCCCCAGACTTCCTGTCTCCAGGACAGAGAGAAACCTCTGCTTTAAGCCACAATGGTGCTGCCTTCCAGCCAAGCTGAGCCTCTGATGAATGAACAAGGAGTGAGCGGCGTGGGGCACCTCTCAACGGCAGGGAAGCCCCAGGGCAGCAAGGAGAACGTGTGAGCAGCCACGGCGACCCCCCTCTGGGCAAGGGAGGCGGGCCCAGCTGCTTGAATTAGCCACAGACACACACACAGGCACACGCAGGCACACGCAGGCACACGCACACACACATACACACAGGCACACGCACGCACACGCACACGCAGGCGCACTGCCTGACCTTCACTGTGGTCCAGCGTGATGGTCTGCTCCATCTCGGCATAGCTGTGGCTGGCGCGCTCCAGGAGCGGCTCCGTGCTGGTCTCCAGGAGATGCACAATGTCCATGCGGTTGATCTTGGTGAGGCATTCAATGAGGCTGGTGTCTGGGATGTGAAAGGAAAGCATGGATTGCTTGGGGGCGTGCTCTTTTGAAAACCACCTTCCTTTAGCTGCCTTACTAAAATGTTGGTATTTGTACAGGAAACAACAAGCCCAAATAAAGTTATTTGTAAAAAGAAACATAAAGACAAACAGCAGATAAGCAGGAAAAGTGTGAACCGGCCTGGGTACAGCCCTCGCAGCAGAACTGAACTTAAGACAAAAGCCAAAGACTTGTTCAGCATGAGCACAGCCCCGCTATGGCACGGGAGATGCTCCTCACAGGAAAAGCGCTTGCTGACTCTGTGAAGGTGAAGTCTAACGGTTCCCTCTCTTCTTACTGGTGAAATCCTGCAAAGGCCCCAGACGGTGAGGGGCGTGCGGAGACAGAGGTGAATGAGAGGCTCTGGCCGGAGCCGTGGAGACGCTCAGGGAAGCGGCCTCTGAGACCAGCGAGGGTGGGAAGTGTACGTGATTGCCGAGGTCACATGGCCACACACAGCACTGGGCGACTATCTGCTCCCCCAACCTAAGTTATTTAGCAGTACAGGCAGGAGGAGCAGGAGGTACAGTCACTGCCAATAAAACATGAGAATGAACACAACTGTCTATCATCAATGTTTAGAAAATGTAGGACTTTAATAACATTCCTGCCTGGCTGCTGTGGCTCAGTGGTTGAGTGTTGACCTATGAACCAGGAGGTCAGGGTTCGATTCCCGGCCAGGGCACAGGCCTGGGTTGTGGGCTCGATCCCCAGTGTGGGGTGTGCAGGAGGCAGCCGATCCATGATTCTCTCTCACTGCTGATGTTTCTCTCTCTCTCTCCATCGCCTTCCTCTCTGCAATCAATAAAGTCTATTTGAACAAGTAATGTCCCTGCTAGCAGCTGGGTGCCGCCCTCCCCCAGTGACACTGGCCACAGGAACCCAGCACAGGGGTCTCAGGACAAGAGGTTTTAGAGACGCTGTGCATGTTCTTGTGGTGGCAGCCGTGCTCGGCACCTGTCATGTGACCCGACGGAAGGGCAGGAAGGCACGTGTGGGCTGCCACCTGCTGCCCCGCCCGCCCTGCCCGCGCCGCCTACCTGTGGCCAGCCTCCCGTCCCGCTCCAGCCAGTACTTGAGCAGCGCGTGGCTCTGGTCCTGCAGGGAGTTGGGGTTCTCCACCCGGATCTGGTGGATCTGCTCCTCGGAGAAGTCCAGCTCTCTGGCCAGTTCTGGAAGAGATGCCGCCGCCTGTGAGCGGGAGCCTCAGAGCTAGCGCCCCACGCCCGCCGGGTTCTGGGCAGGGCTCTCCGTGCTGCCCGTGACAGGACCACGGTCCCCACGCAGGAGCACGAGGCGCACACACCTTTGCTCTCCTGATGCTAGTTCTAGACTTCCCTTAAAGCTGCATCTAGAACTGTTCACTGTCCTGGTGGAAAGAGTAGGTTGGAGGCTCTGGTGATAAAATATGTGTTATGTGGTCCCGTTTAATTCAAAAATGCAAATGAGACCATTAGTGCCAACTCCTACTCTTAACCAACATTATGGGAAACAAACCACTGCAACAGGAGACGTGGGCCACTTCCCGCCCTTGTCATCCTTCGGGACAGACGTCTTCAGCACCGTCATTCCTGTGCTCAGCACTGCACGTGGTACACACTGGTTGTGGCTGCATGATGGTGGTTGAATAAATTCCTGTCTCTGATTTGATGTCACGGGAGTAACAGTCTAGGAAGACTTGCCCTAGACTTGTCCTTGCCAACACTGACATGCTGCGTGGAGGTCTGTGCTCTGTGGGGTGTGCGTGTGCAATGAGAGGTCTGCTTGGAGGGCAATGTGCCAATATCTTTCAGAATTAAAAATGTAGCCAGCTGGCGTGGCTCAATGATTGGGCATTGACCTCTGAACCAGATCACGGTTTGATTCCAGGTCAGGGCACATGCTTGGGTTGCAGGCTGGATCCCCAGTCGGGGGGGAGACGGCGTGCAGAAGGCAGCCAACCGATCAATGATTCTCTCTCATCATTGACATTTCTCTCTCTCCCTTCCTCTCTGAAATCAGTGGAAATATATTCACGCGCGCGCACACACACACACACACACCCTTTACCCAACAATTCTGCTCCTAGCATGTGCCCTCCAGCTTTGCTCACAAAAACATCCCAGTGCACGCGTACTGATCACATTAGCAGGACACAACCACATGCCCAGCAGGGAAGACCACTGGCAGTTACAGCACCTCCACAGAATTCAATGGTCATTTAAAAGGACGAGCTGGATGCGTCTCTGGTGATGGACTATTTATGCGATTTAAGTAAATTTGCTTCTTTTTAAATAAGAGGCATGCATGTGAGCACTGCATGTTTTCTGAATGCATGGACGTTCCAGCAGTCACCTCTGGGGCACGAGGTCAGAGGACCAGACGTAGGCGAGACACTTTTTTACTTTTCATTTTCATACCACTGTGTATGGTTGTAGGGTCTTACTTTTCAACATGTCTGATGATATGACATTTAATACGTATGTACACCTAAATCTAAGAGTCAAAATAGCCCTGGCTGTGTTATTCAGTGGTTAGAGTGTTGGCCCATGGACCGAAGGGTCACAGGTTCGATTCCTGCTCAAGGGCACCTACCTGGGTTGTGCAGGTTCAACCCCTGGTCCCAGTTCGGCTGCTTGCGGGAGGCAAGCAACCGTGTCTCTTCCACATTAATGTTTCCCTCTCCCCCCCCCCCCGTTCCCTCCCTCCCTCCCTCTCTCTCCAAAATCAATGGAAAAATATCCTCTGGTGAGGATTAACAACAACAAGAGCAGGAGGAGGAGGAGGAGGAAGGGGGAAGAGGGAGGAGGAGGAGGGAGGAGGAAGAAAGAAAAAAACGAAATAAAGTAATTCTGAATGTTACCTATTCATTAAGTCAACTAGGGATATTTGCTGTCCTTCCTTCCTCTGAATTCCTCAATTAAATAAATCTGATCAGTTTTTAAAGAAAATGGCTATTCTTCCTGCTTCTAGTCACTTATTGCACATTACTGATTATCTTTGCTATGGGCATTTTGGTCTCCTATTCATCACCAATCTTTAAGAACCTTAAAGATGACAAACATTAATTTTACACCACTTGTTTCAATCAGGTAGTCACAGGTGACACAAGAGGAAGTCAGGCCAAAAAAGGGAAAGAAAGAAAAGAAAGCCAGGGCTGTAACCTGTCCAGCCCGGGCGAGGTGAGAGGGAGCCGTGATTTATAAATCATGCTGATCTCAGGGCTCACTTTTCCTCAGTAAGTCACTGGACGTGTATTATAATCCCTCCTCTCAAGCACCCCGTTTCTCATAGCCACGTGCACTTCAGCATTCGCCCAGAGCCTCTGTCAGCACCGCTCCCCACGGAGGCCCTGAGACGGCGCCCGAGACCAGGAGCCCCGGTCAGTCTCCCATGAAACGCCAGAGCGGCCTCCGGCAACGGCTCTGAAGACCAGCCCCTCCCCGAAGCTCGAGTGCCGCGGGGCGGGCACCCTCTGACTCTCCCACAGCCCCTATTGTCCTGCGTCCCAGGGGCGCGAGGCCTGCCCCAGTTCCCAGGACGGCTCACAGAGCCCCGGTCTCCTACCCTGCACTGCCTTCTTCTCGCTGCCCCTCGGGCCTTCCTCAAGGGAAGGAAAAGGAGACCCTTCTCACTGTTCATGACCCGTGGCTGAGGCCACCTTGTCGTCCACAACCAGCGGGCTCTGTTGGAAAGGGGCCGCTCGTGTTACCTGTCCAGCTGAAGCCCAGGTGGTCGGCGATGTAGGCCAGCCGCTCCTCCAGCCGCTCCTGCGCATCCTGCTGATCTGCACAAGGTCAAGAACAGAATGGCCATGGCTGTCTGTGCCGGGAGAGGATCCCGCACTGACCATCCACAGAGAGGAAGTCACTTGTCCAAACAGTCGATGGTCGCACCATCGCGCTATTACCCTTACATCACGCGCGTGTGTGTGCCTGGTTTCTGGAATGGAATGGGAGGAAGTCTGAGACATCATGGAAACCACGTGCTTCCCATCTCTTCAATCAAGACCAGTCCCTGCACTAATTCTGAAGCTGTGATGTCTAGCCAGCGTCACACTCCCCTTCCCGATGGCCCCAGAGAACACTGCCCACCAGGAAACGATCACCCTCCTTGTCAGATGCCCGGAGCTCGGAGCTGGGCTGCAGACGCAGAGGGATGGGTCGGGCCTCCCCTCGCTCCGGGCCGCGCAGGTCCTTCCCACCCGAGGGTCACATGAGACTGAGGCCTGGTCTGGCCCGAGACCACACCTGCCTTGGCCGTGGTGACCCTGGGGGAGGGCAGTGAGGGACGTGTTTGCATGGACGTCTTTTGGGCAGTTTTTGTCTGCTGACCAACAAGCAAGCTCTTCTATTACCCCCACAAACTGTGACGTTCCATTCATGTTTAACCCCACGAATGGATGGGCAGTGTTCTAGATCACGGGTGTGACACCCCCTATCACGCAAATTTAAGAGCCCTGGTCTTTATTGCAGAGAAACTGGAAGCTCTGGGGCCACTTCTCAGCGCCATCTGCGGTTTCCATGGTGATAACTCAGCGCCATCGGCCCTCACAGTCCACTAAGGCATGCACAGCTGGAGTTTTGTTGTCTGCTGCTTCCAACCGGGCCGCGCCAATGAGAAGCACCGTTTACCTTACGCTGGTGTGTGAGCATGTGACCAGCGGGATCTGAAATCCAACCTTTCTGAGTCAAAAACAGATCCACTAAACTGGAATTTCCTATGTGAAATCTTCTTGAGCAAAGGGCATCCTAATGATGACAAAAATTACGTGTCAATTATCTTCAAGTACAGAAAGGTGAAGAAAAGCCACGGATCCGGATAATACAGACAAACCCAACACACTCGGTGCAAGAGCAGGCGTGCTGGGCTGCAGGCTGGGCCCGGCCCTGCAGAGCAACAAAACTCCCTGTGGGCGCGGCTCGCGTGCGACGGCCGGCCGGACGAGGCAGGGCCGTGGCCGGTGTGGTCACGTTCCCACAAGCATTCTCACGGCTCAATCTTGAGATTGTTTTCACAGACAAGAGTGTACAGAGAAAGCACACAACACGAAGGGCTCACACAAACACAGGAGCCACTGCGGAAGCTTAAAGAAAACGAGACTCGAGCCACCAAAGGAAACAAACGGCACAGCGACACGGCTCGTGACATGCGGGGCCCGGGGAGCCCGGGGGGCAATACCTTCCGTGGGGTCATGGCCACTCTCATCGGGGATGCGCTCAATCAGAGTCTCAATGGGCTCATCCCAGATGGGCCTGGCGTCAAAGATGTCCTCGGGGCCCGCACGCTCGGGCGCGGCAGGTGGCAGGCTCTCGATCACCGAGGCTTCCAGGGCGCTACTGCTCTCGTCATCCGAGACTGCCTCCTGCTCCCTCTCTGCCTGGCTGAGCCTGTCCACTAGCTTGGACGCCTCCTCACTAATCTCCTCGAAGAACTCTATGGAATCCCTGTAAAGGTCAAGGAAGTGCTCCCTGCTCTCCCGGGTGGGGCTTGGGGCCCCCCTGCAGGAAGATGGGGCGCCTCTGCTCTTCACCGGCAGGCGGGAGGCAAACACCTTGGGTCTCGAGGCTGCGGCCTCCGACTCGAGGGTGAGCTCCTCCGCCCACTCCCCGCTCTCTGCTTCGGCCTCCGCACAGCTTGGAGCTTTCGCTGGACTTCTGGTCTTTGAGTCCCAAGGCCTGGCCTCTGAGTCAGAGGTGCCCCTGTCATCTGCGGCCCTGCCTGGCACGTCCTGTCCCTGAGGAGGCCCCGTCTTCTGCAGGGAGGAGTGCAGAGGCGAAGGCTGCGGCCCGGCTGCGTGGGGGAGCACCTTCACGGGGATTTTGGACCTGGGCTTTGTCTCCTGCTCGCTCCTGTCCTCACCTGGGCTGGGCAGCGGGCTCTCCTCGGCAGGGGCCGGGGCGGGGGCGGCAGGGGGCCCGGGCCGGACCGGGACCTGGGACTGGCTCTCCGAAGGAGGCACGCTCTCTGTGGCTGCCGTGGGGATCTCAATGACTGACTTCTGCTCCTCCGGGGAGGAGTCAGGAGAGGCACCGTCCTGTCCTGAGACTCCGGACCCAGTGACCGCGGAGACGTCCACCGGGACCTGGACAGCGGGCGGCGGAGGTGTGGCGCCCCCAGGCGTGGGGGGCAGGTCCTCGGTGCCCACAGAGGCAACCGACGTGTCCAGGGGGGCTGGGATCCCTGTCGGGGAGCAGAAGTGACTGTCGGAAGCCGGGGCTCCCGCTCCCTCCTCACTCAGGTCCGAGGGGAGAGCGTCAGCCAGGTCTGTGTCTTTTGATTCTGAAGGTGCCAGTGACCGAGCTGGTGTCTCCGGCGCTGAGGGCTCGGCGGCAGCCCCGCCTCCTGCCACGTCCTCAGAGACGGTCTCCTCCTGGGAGTCCGGCCCAATTTGGAAAAAGTGAAAACCGTCCTCGGCGTAGGACCTCTTGGTCATGTCGATGGCGCCGCTCCGGGTCATCTCGAACAGCTTGCCCTCCTGAAACAGGAACGGGTTCTGGTCGCCAGTTGGGGTCCCCTCTTCGGTGGGGGTCCGGGCCGGCGTGGTGTCTGGGGTGGTGCCCTGGGACGGCCTGTCCGCCATCAGACCGAACACCTTCTGCTCCTCCTCCTTCACGCGGGCCTCGAAGGCTTCGTCATCCTCGCGGATCTCGCTCCAGGAATCTGAGTCCACGTGGCTGGTGGTGATGACGACTGTGCTCACCTGCTCGCCGGGGACTGCAGCGGCGCAGGGCCGCGGGGACCCGACGGATGCAGGGGCGCCATCCGCCTGCGTCTCCCACAAGGTGCTTTCTTGCGTGGATTTTGTGCTCTGGCCCTCAAAACTGCACTCTCTGCTTGAAACGGTGGCACATGAAGAGCGGACCACCGCCACGCCTTCCGCCGAGGACGTGATGGCCACAGAGCACGCTTCTGCTGAGTGAAAGCTCGTGTATCTTGCCTCTGTCTGGGTTTTGCTCTCTTCGCTGGAGAAAAAAGACTGGGGAGGAACGTTTTCATACGGGCTTGTGATGTGAAGGTCACAGGCGTCCTCGGTCCCAGCGCGGTCGGAGCCCGGGCCGTCTGTGGACAGTGTGTCTGTGTGAGTGGTGGTGGCGGCGAGCGTGGGGCAGGCCCTGGGGAGCCTCCTGGGGGCGTGGCCGGGTCCTGCGGCCCCCGTTTCCGTGGTGGGAGGTGCAGAGACGAGGTCTTCGTCTGACTCTCTTCCTTCAGATGCTGGACCATCAGGCCCCAGGGGCGGCGGTGAAGAGCCTTCGCTGGGAAGCGCAGCTCCTGGGTGCGCCTCTCCCTCTGAGTCCTTCTTCTCTGGGGGCTGCGGGGCCGACGGCTCCTCCCAGCCAGCCAGCTGCTCCTGGACCTCAGCATGGGGGGCGCCACAGGGACCTGAGGGGCTGGGCGAGGCCCAGCTGCCTGTGCTCCCCGCTTCACACCCGAGGCCCGCGCAGAGCTGGGGCTGGTCAGCGTCTCTGTCCAGGCCGTCGGAGGCCGGGCCCGGGCCCCCGGGGCGACCCGCCGGGCTGCCTTCCGGCAGATGAGGTGCGCACGCTTCTTCTCCCGACGCCCCGGGCCCCTCAGCGTCCTCGAGCACCCTGAACGTGTACTGCTTGGAGGCGGTCGGCTGGAAGGGCATTTCCTCGGGGCTGGAGCTGGAGTCCACGCTGGATGGGAGCGGGGACGGCGGCTGCACGTGGATGACCGGCTCCGGGAGCAGGCCTGGGTCGGCGCCCGCTCTCTGCAGCCCCAGCTCCGGCTCGCTCTCCGAGGAGGAGGAGGACGCGGTCCTGCTGCCGGCAGTCACCACCACGGGGACGGCACGCCTGTCCTCGGTGTCCTGCCCCCGCGGCCCGCCCACGGCCGCCGGACGCGCGGTGTCGGGCTGGGAGGAGGAAGGGCCCTCGGGCTCGGGCTCGGGCTCTCTCCGGAGGCCCCTCTTCTGCTTGGCTTCTAGCTCGAGCTCGTCAAAGGTCTTGATCTTCGCGGCCATTTTAAACATCTCCTCCTCAGGGGTGAACCTCTTTCTCTCCCCGTTTTCCATGTCCTCCTCCGCGCATTCGGGAATCACAGCTGGTTTGGGGGGGCTTGTGTCTGAGGCCTTGGGGGTGACCTCGTAGCTGATTTCTTCGGAGCTGGGGGTGTCGGGGGACAGGGGGCTCTTCCCTGAGCTCTCCACGAGGGACGTCTGCTCGAGACTGTCGTCCTCGGCGCTGCCGTCGGGGTCGCGGAGCAGCCGGGCCCGCACGGAGGCCCCCTCGGAGAGGAGCTCCGCTCTGGCGACAGCGGCGGGGAGAGGAGAGGGGCCCGGGAAGACGCCGGCCTTCACCTTGGGCTCCACAGGGCTGCCCTCCAGGGAGTCGCGGCACGGGGACTCGCGCAGGGGGCTGGGCTCCAGGGAGTCCGGGGTTTTGTGGGAGGAGTTGTCCTCCAGCACGGGGCTGGCCTCCAGGGAGTCCTGGTGGCTTACCGCCAGGGACTCGTCGGCCCCGGGGCTGAGGACCTCGGTGTCGGGCTGACGGAGGGGCAGCTCCAGGCCTGGAGGGCTGCGGGGGGCGGCCTGGGCCTGGCCAGTCGCCACGGGGGCCTCGGGCTCGGGGCTCGTGGGTCTCTGAGCTTGGGGCTCAGTTCGTGTCTCGTGGGCAGGTGGACCGTCCTCCCCGGGCACGCCCTCAGTCGGACGGGCAGGAGCCTCCTTCGCTGGGGACACAGTGCAGTGGCCCAGGTCGCCGCCGCTGGGGGTGGGGCCCGTCTCTCTGGGCAGGTCCGGGGTGGCCTCCTTCACGCCCCTGGCTGCGGGCTCAGAGCCCCCAGTGACAGCCATGCCAGGCTCTCGGGTAGCGTCGCCAGTGTCTTTGGTGGAGGACCGCTCTTCACCCGAATGACTGTCTGTTTCTAAGGGGGTGGTTTCACTGGGCTCCCCAAGTTGCTCCTGGCTTTGCTTTGGTGAGAAAGAAAGGCTCTCTGGGCTGGTCTCAGGGGTCTCGGCCAGGCCCTCGTGCTTGTAGCTCTCCTCTGAGCTGGCCTGGGGGGTCCCCTCCATCAGGCTGCCACACGGGGACCCCACCGCTCCCTCCTGCCGCAGGTTCTCCCAGCTGCCATCCAGGCGGAAGGCCAGGCCTGGGAGCAGCTCCCCGCTGTCCGGCTCCGGCTGGAAGGCCCTGGGGAAGGGGCTGGTGAGCACCTGCTCCGGGACCAGCTGCGCCTCCGCCGGCTCCGGCTCCTCCCGGTGGCAGAACTGCTGGTACCGGGCGTTGTCCTCCAGCTCCTGCCTAATCACCGCCGAGAAGTCGGTGGAGGTTCTGCGGTCGGGGCTGATCTGGGGGTCCCCATTGCCCCGCTCGTCCGGCTCCTCCCCGAGGGCCTGCCCCACAGGTGGCGGCATCCTGTGGCCTGACACCGGCTCCTTCCCTCCAGCGGCGTTTTCTCTCGGCCCGGAGGCGCCTGTGGCCACAGCTCCCGGGAACCTCTGGCCGGGCTTGGGGGGCGGACTCCCGGTTTTCTGGGTCTCTCTCTGGGCGGGCCCCTGCCCCTTTTCTTTCTCTGCCCGAGCCCGGCCCTTTTCCTGCGGCGGCTTTGGTTTGGGGGATTTGTGCTCGAAGAGTCCGGCCTTGTGTTTGGACGGGTCCTGACCTGACTGAAAGGCCTTCATCAATTCCCGCACGGACATGGTCTCCTCGATGCGCTCGGTCCTCGAGGTGGGGGACACGGGGGCTGCCTTTTCCGTTTTCCCAGACGGGGGCGCCGAGAGGCGCTTCTCTGCTTTCCCAGGGGCTGGCCCTGGGGGGTGCTTTTCCGTCCTGGCCGCCTGGGACACGGGCAGGCGCTTGTCTGTCCTCCCCGGCGATGCGGGTGCATGTTTATCCGTCCTTCCCGATGGCGACGCAGGTGGGTGTCTGTCTGCTCTGCCTGAAGGTGACACAGGTGAGTGTTTCCCGTTTTTGCCTGACAAGGATGCAGGCGAGGGTCTGTCGGTTTTCGCTGAGGGAGACACGGGCGAGGGTCTGTCGGTTTTCGTTGAGGGAGACACGGGTGAGTGTCTGTCGTTCTTCGTTGAGGGAGACACGGGTGAGTGTTTGTCCGTTTTACTCGGTGGTGATGGGGGAGGATGCCTGTCGGACTTGGCAGAGGCGGCGAGGGAAGAGTGTCTGTCTGCCTTGGAGGTCGGGGGGGCAGGTGCCCGCCTGTCGGACTTCAGAGGGGGCGAGGCGGCTGGTGGCAGCCTGGGGCTGGCCCTCCGGGGCACCTCCTCTCTGCCCTTGACTCTGACGGGCAACTTGCTTCGACCTTTCTGTTCATCTTCCACCCGCTTCTGAAGGGCCTTCACTTTGTCCTTGATGGAGCCGATGGGTGTCTCTTCCACCAGCGGCGACGTGGCCTTTCCCGCGGGCTGCGGCTCCGGAGCCAACCCCGCGTCCTCCTCCGCGGACTCCTCGGAGCTGCCCTTCCGCAGCCCCAGCTTCCCCGTGCCGGCCTGTGCGCCCTCCTCATTCTGCGTCAGGTCCTCCCTCAGCTTCCTCCGTGCGGGCTTCTTCATGCCCAGGCCCAGCTTGCGCTCCTTCTGCCCTCTCTGCGTCCCATCTCGGGGAACGTCCTTCCCTTGGCTCCCAGCGCGCCCGGCCCCGGCCGCACGGGGCACTGGCTGTGGGGCCCCTTTGGGAGAGGCCGTGTAGGAGCTCAGGTCCTCAATGAGGTAGTTGACCAGCCCCGTGGCATCCTTCTGTCCCTGGGCTGGGGTCTCCCTCACTAGTCTCACTTCCACACAGGGGACCTCGGGGACTTCCAGGGGTGCCCTCTGCTTGGCCTCCGCTATCTCCTCGTCACTGACAACTACCCACTCCTCGTCCTGCTGGGGCCCCTGCTCACGGCCTTCCCCCTCTGAGCACCCCCCCCTCAGGATCTCGTTCACCTTCTCTAAGTCCTCCTTCACTTTCTCCACGATTTCAAAGGGCTCCCCCGGCTCCTCCTGGGAGGGCCCGGCCGGCTCCTTGTCCCTGAGCGGCCCCGCCCTGTCGGCCGCATCTGTGGTCAGCAGGGCACTCATCTTCAGCAGGCCCTGCTTCATCTCAGAGACTTCCGAGAGCAGATCCGGGCTCGCCAGGGCTGGGGCCTCAGTGACCAGCTGGCTTTTCAGGACAGATGTTTCTGTCGACTCTGTCTCATCGTCTTGGATATGCATGGAAAGCATTGGAAGTAAAATGGAAATCAGACAAGAAATTGGCAAATGTAACCAGGACCAAGGACACAGGGTCTTCCTGGTGCGGTGGGAGGGACAACAAAATGGGCAGGGTGGCGGATCCACGAGGTCTCAGGAGACAAAGCAAAGCAAGGCTAAGGGGAACTGAAAGGAAAATGAGCAGGAAATAACTTGCTTCACTCCTCACTTGTCGCACACCCACACTTACAACAGCGCTGAGACCAGCCATCGACACACACGCCGATGGCGTCACAAGCCAACACAGAGACAGGCAGGGACAGCACACGGGGGCATCTCAAGATTGTTCAGACGGCACAGGTGGATGTGGGAAGAAAAAGGCACGGAGGAGGGAGCGCAGCCCCAGGAACTGCAGAGCCCATTTCCGCTGGCAGAAAGCCAGGCGCAGCCACGCAGGGTGCGCGCTCCTGCTCGCCGTGCGCCTCTGACCGCACGCAGTCTGGAACCGGCTCCGTTCGGCCACACAACGACTATACCCCAAGTCTCTGAATCCGCTGCAAACCGGCTTTTCAGCTAAGGAAATGCACACCTAACAGTGAGACACAGGGTCTGGGGCGGAGAGGCCTGGCCCTCTCCTCGGAGCCGCCTCCTTGTTTAGACACTTACAGGAAAGACCAAGGAGGGAAGAAAGGGAAAAAAAGAAAAACCACAAGACAACCGTGGTGAGGACACATCTGTGAGTCCAGAGTTAAAACGTGATGCAGAGCAACCCCAGTCGGAGACACGCACACAGACACACACAGCTGTGTAAGCCAAGTTATTTCCATGCAGAGCGGAGCGGGTGAGGGGAGGCAGGCAGGAGGCGGTCGGGAAGGGACAGACAGCGGGACCCACTGTGGGGAAGCCCAGCACTGGCTGCAGTGCGACGCTCAGGGCGGCCGGTGGGCCCAGGCAGGGCAGCGCTCAGGGCCCGCTCACGGGTGGCCCAGGGGCAGCCCTCCTCAGCCCCTGCAGCGGCACTGTTTTACACCCAGCTGCGTGTTATTTAATAATCACCTTTAAACTAAAATACAGCCAAACATCAGTCTATATTTGAAAATGTACAACGGTCACAGCACCGAGGGGCCGGGGAGGACCCAGGCGTTACAGGCGCGTTTCTTCATCACAATGGAGCCTGATGCTTGGCTTCAATTTTAATCCCCAAGTTTGTATCCACGGAACAAAGAAACTGGCAGTTTAAATGCACACAGTGGTTCTGAACAGGAAAGGGGAGAGCAGAATGAAATCTCTTTAAAAAAGGAACTGTCCCACTTGCGTGATTCAGTGGTCGAGCCTCGACCTACGAACCGGGTCACGGTCCCATTCCCGATCAGGGCACAAGCCTGGGGTTGTGGGCTCGATCCCCAGTGTGGGGCGTGCAGGAGGCAGCCGATCACTGAGTCACTGTCGTCATTGATGTCTCTCTCTTTCCCGCTCCCTTCCTCTCTGAAATCAGTAAAAATATATTTTAAAACAAAGAATTAATGAAGGTAATCTAACCTATCATCTTTTCAATAAACGAAAAGTGCCTTCTCTTGAAAAAAATAAGTATTTGTTGAGAAGACAGTCTCTGTGAATATGCATTTATAAAAATATATTAAAGTAATTTGTATCAATATAGATTTGCTCAAATATAAACCAATGAAAACGTCCTGTTCCCAAATGCTGCTGTAACACGAGGGTGAGGAGACTCACTGAAAAGCGTTCCTGTGAGTCAGCAGCAAACCACACTGTGCGCGCAGAGAGCTGTTCCCCAGCCCCCAGACCACTGCTCGGGGCCAGGCGACCACACCAACCGGGCTCTAGGTTTTCTCCTCTGGGAAGCACACCCCCGAATGTAGCTCATCAAAACAAACCTTAAATGAGTGACCGTTAAAAAAACGGATTTTCTTCTGAAGCATATGGGGCAGAAAAGCAAAAATAAATACATAAATAAAACCTAAAAAATTGCCAAGCTAGTGTGGCTCAGTGGTTGAGCGTCAACCTAGGAACCAGGAGGTCAAGGTTTGATTCCTGGTCAGGGCACATGCCTGGGTTGTGGGCTCCATCTCCAGTAGGGGGTGGGCAGCGGCAGTCAATCAATGGTTCTCTCTCATCATTGATGTTTCTCTCTCTCCCTCTCCCTTCCTCTCTGAAATCAATAAAAATATATTAAAAAACTAAAAAATTCAGGTTCTTCCGCACAAGAAGCCCAAACTGCCAGAACAGGCCGGCGACCTACAAGGCTAGCATGCTGCGGCTCCAGCGGGTGCAAGGGCTGGGCGCAGGCCCCAACCCTGCTTCTCTCTGCACTGGGTGGTTTGGGGACCCGCATCCTGTGTGAAAGGTGCTCCATGACGACACCGCTGTGCGATTAGAAATCCTGGAGGTTTTACTGTGGGAACCCATGGCTCTTTCCCGGAAAGCTCTCACAGAGGGCGGCCCGGCCTACAGCGGGCGCTCGGCTGCTTCACCACAGTGGGGGGGGGGGGGGGGGGGCGGCGAGACAGGATCACATTCGCAGGTGCGGCCACAGAATCAGGAGCCCTCGAGGGCTCAGTGCTGGCTGCACAGCGAGTGATGCTGTCGTGTCGGTGGTGGAGGTGAGGTGACAATGGCGCGCTAACAGAGGGACAGACACGGGGGACCCAACAAGCGGGCGCAGCGGGGAGCAGGGTGTCACAGAGGGTGAGCGCGTAGGAGAATCACAGTGCTTCTCTGCCAATGAGGTCACAGTTAATGTCTCTATCATTTAACTGGCCAAGCGCTTTCTAAAGGCATGTTAATGATGACTCGGAGTATAAAACATAATGACTGCAGCAGTTAGTAATGGCCGCTAGCGCGCATGTCTGTAGTCAGCTTTCAAACAAAGGTAAGTTTACTTAAAATCTTACTTTTTTCTGATGTCACATCGATCTGAAAAAAAACACACATAAAGTGAATGGTTATAACAGTGTTTTCTCTCTCCCGTCTCCCTCCCCGGCCCCAGCTCTGAGCTCCGAGTCACAGTCACATGCGTGAGGACCCTGTGCATGTGGGGACCCCGTGCGCTGGGCACAGAGCCCTGGCGGCACTTCCTCATGCGTTTCCTTGATTCTTATCCAAACTCTGAAAAAAACGAATCTCTTCTAGATACCGTAGACGGGGAGCCCTCTCTAACATGTTTTTCCAGGGAAGACGGGCCCAGGGTACGCCTGTGTCAGAAATGCACCGTTACCAGGAAAAGGCCAGGGAGAGAGGGAAGCAGGCAATCAACGTGTCCATTTTGTGGAGCACAAATCGCATGCCAGGTGGCACGTTCCACGGACATGGTGCCCCTGTCACTCATCACAAGCCGAAGGACAATTCCTGGACAGAATGCACTGATCGCTGAACAGGTCCTGAGAGGAGTCAATAGGAACCGTCCAGCGTGGGAAAGGCTCATCAGAGGGTGGCTAGGTGGCTCCCAACTGCACTGCTTGGCTGGAGGGCGCGCGGCCTCCTCCTCCCAGCTCTGGGGCCGAGTCACCAGGCACGGGAAGGACGTGGATGGGAGACGGAGTGACTGGACAGTCGAGGGAGAAGACCTCAGTCTGGCCACAGGCTCCTGTGTCTGGTGAGTCTGTAACCCCCTCCCGCCCTGCTGCAGCCAGAGTGTCCATGAAAAAGCGGAGTCAGGCTTCTCTGGACCGATAAGGCCTTACATGTTCAGCAGGTGGGTACAAGGGCATGTATTACGTTTTTCTATTTTTGTATTTTGAATCCATCAGAATAAATTGAAAATAAAACTAGTATATTTGAAAACATTAACGTGCAACTACTAACAACCACACTTGTCTATCTTAGAGACAGAACCCTTATGCTCCTCGGTAAGTACAGGCTTCCCCAGGGACCGCTCTCATTTCCACGGTAACGCTGGGCGTTTTCAGGTTTCTACAAGGGACACCCCCCCAGCTTGAACTGCAGGAGCAGGTGTGACTGAAATGGCTACTCCTGCACGGTCTCCGAGCCACGCTGCCTCCCTGCGGTGGGAGGCGCAGCCCTGCTTTGCTGGGGCACCAGGAGGAGCTGCCAGCAGCTCATGCGCACCCCCTGCCCCGGCACTGCCATCCCCTGACGGGGGAACGACAGGCTCCCCAGTTTTGGTCTCAGGGGTTCTCGGACTTTCTGGCCTGAAGACCCTTTAACTCTGACAAACGACCCAGGAGTCTGAGGAGCTATGGTCTGTGTCTGACCCAGATAAGGAACATGTGTTACAAACATGGAGCTGAGGAAATGCTGGGACCCAAGGACACGTGCACCAGTACCACGCACACGTCCCGGAGTGCCGTGCGGGCGGCATCAGGTGAGGGGGCCCTGGAGGCCCCTGCGGTGAGAGGCGAGTGAGGGCCCGGGCTACACGACCAGGAGATGGTCTCTGCCAGCAAGCCTGTGAGAACCGCCGAGATGACGGGGCGCCTCAGCGGTGGGTAGAGAAGTAGGCACATGGCAAAGACGGGGCAACGTTCTCCAGGGAAGCACGCCTGTCCTCACTGGCTCAGGGCGTTGGGCTACGGCCCAAGAACACAGGGCACCGGTGCTCTGATGGGTCAGCGACAGGGTCACACAATTACCTCTTCCTCCTGCTCCGGATCCGACTCGGACTCCTTCGCCAGGCGCCATGCGGGATGGAAAAGAGCAGAGAGTTAGGAGGAAAGGTTAAGAACCGCCCGGCATGGGTGGGCGGCATTCAGTCAGGGCACTCTGACATTTTCTAACCGTTCAGCCGAGAGGCGCACAAGCTAAAAAGGGTTGATTTAAACTCACAAGTCTGGAGACTTGAGACACAAAGGAATCAAAGTTACGAAGATACTCATTTCAGACGCTAGATCGCCGGCAGCCTCAAAGCTGGACCTTTAATGGGTTGGAGGGCACGGTGCTGGCTGGACGGGCTGAGAGCCACAAAGCAGCGTGTGGCGAGTACCGGCCTGACGCACGGCAGCATGTCCGAGTTCTAGGGCTATCAACACCAGCAGATTCTATGCCCAGCTGTCTGGCTCTTTATACTTTTGTTTTGCGTTACGACTGAACGGAGAGCCGCCCTGGACCGTCACAGCATCAGCACCGCGTCTGCCCCGGACAATGTGACGACAGGTGAGCGAGCCCTGGCTGTGGCTCAGGTGGTGGGGCGGAGTCCCGTGCACCAAAAGGTTGCAGGTTCCATTCAGGTCGGGGCACATGCCCGGGTTTGCGGGCTCAATCCCCAGTAGGGGGCATGCAGGAGGCAGCCAATAGATAGTTCTTTCTCTCCTTGCCTCTCTCTCTAAAAAATCAATAAAAATATTAAAATAAATAAAGCAAATGCTTTCTTCACGGCACACTGAAGGCTCACTGAACTCAGAGTCACAGCTCATTATCTTCCCAGGAAAATAAGATTTATTTATTTTTATCAAATGAGAAGTTGCAATGCTGCACACGATGCCGTCAGCTTTTCCATGTGACTGATCTCTGTTTACAGGAATCATTCGTTAAGGAAACCAGACGGCGAGTGATAAGCAGTACCGGAAGTGCTTGTTTTATGGAGTCCAATGTAGGACTTTAAACATATTTCCCTCCGCCAGGGCTCACCCCGCCGCACCCTGTCCCCACCTCTCAGACACACTGCCTGGCAAGAGGCTGCAGCCTACTGGGCATGGCCGGGTGGGCTTCCCATGAGGAAGGGCTACTGGTTAAACTATTTTTAAATAAAAAAAGTTATTCCCAACATATAATCCATTCAGCTGTCTTCCTTGGCTTGACAGAGTAATCAAGAATATTTCTGTAGAAGCAGGAGTCATCACAGACAATCTGCATCGGGAAGAGGCCTGCCTGGAGAGTTATACCCAGATGCAGCTGGACCTGGGGCAGGAATGAATGAATGTTTCCTTTGCAACAATGTCTCAAATCTGCTCCTTGGAACATGGAAATGTTTTGCATGCTAATCATGTTAAAACAGTTGAAAAATTAATTTGATACTCCTAAGATATTACAGGTAATAAAGTGAACAGGTAATGCCTGGCTGGCGTGGCTCATGGTTGACCTAGGAGCCAGGAGGTCACAGTTCGATTCCTGGTCAGGGCACAGGCCCGGGTTGTGGGCTTGATCTCCAGTGTGGGGCGTGCAGGAGGCGGCCGACTGATGATTCTTTCTCATCACGGATGTTTCTCTCTCTCTCCCTCTCCCTTCCTCTCTGAAATCAATAAAAATATATTTAAAAAATATAAATAAACTGAACAGTAATTATTTTAGCGACAAGACGCAATGTCAGGAGGTTGCTCTGCATGCGGTGTTTAGAACCCACCTATGAGCTGGCGGAGAACCACAGCTAACAGCCCAACCGGTTTGGATACCAGAGGCCCCAGCCTGGTCCCAGGAGGGCACACAACAGCAATAATGAAGATGAAGTCAGTTATTTGCTTTTTAAAAACTAGTCCAAAAAGTTAACTCTTAAACATTTCTGTCTTCTGTATCCAATATGCGTGCATAGGAATCTTTCATCACAATGAATTGGCTATGAAATAAGGTGGAGCTTCTTTTGTTCTGACTTCCATGGAAACTCACGGACTGACAGGGAACCCAAAATGACTGCTCCCTGCGGTGCAGGCGAGGCCCCCGCGGTGCACGGTCCTGGATGGCAGAGGCCACCCCCCCCCGGCCGCACGCAGCGCCTCGCGGTACCTTGATGCACACAGGCAGGGTGATGTTCAAGTTGCAGATGGCCTGGTGCACCAGGCCTCGCGTGGACTTGGGCTCCTTCATAAATGACAGCCGTCCGCACGGCTCCTGAGTCGTGTCTCGTACCTTGGACAGGAAAGGCACGTGTGTCAGCACACAGGACGCATGTGGCTTCTTTAAGGAGACGATTCCCCCAAGAACTGGGGGACAGACAACGCATCTGAGAATGCCGAGTAAGGGTCTGAGGCTGCTCCTTTCTCCCTGTCCTTTTACAACTGACAACTGTTTTTTTAAAAATCATTCAGCTTTTAAAAAAGTGTGGTCAAATGACATGAACAAAATTCACCTTTCCCACTCACCGTGTGTAAGTGCACAGGCAGTGGCGTCAGGCCCGCACCCAGCTGTGCGATCGTCACTCCTGTGCAGCATGTTGACCATCCCAAGTACCAACTCTGCCCCTGCCCCCGGGGACTGCCCACCTCCTCTGCCCGGCCCCCAGGGACTCGCTTCCACCTGCCTCTACACGTGCCTCCTCCGGGACCTCGGAGAGATGGACTGAGACCATGTCTGTCCTTTGTGCCTGGTTAATTTCACCCAACATATGTCTTCGAGGCCCATCCGTGTTGTAGCATGTGTCAGAATTTCATTGCCTTTTAAGGCTGAATAACATTCCATGGTGTGTACAGACCACTTTTGGCCTATCTATTCATCTGCAAATGGCTATTCGAGATGTTTCTATGTTTGGGGGAATAACGCTTTCGTGATCATCAGCGGGAAAGTAGCCGAGTGCCCGCCCAGTCCTTTGGGGCCTAGAACGAGGAGTGCAGTCCCTGGACCTACGGTCGCCGTGGTCTCACGCTGAGCACTGCGCACTGTTTCCCAGGGGCTGCAGCCTATGACTTCCCACCAGCAACGCCTCGGCCCCCGTTCTCACTCGGCCTCACCAACGCCAGTTTCCGTTGTTTGGGTGACAGCTATTCTCATGGGTTTGGAGCAGTATCTCACTGTGGCTGGAATATGACTGCTGAGCATCTTTTCATGGGCTTACTGGCCACTTAACACCTTCCTCAGAGAAATGTCTATCCAGGTCCTCCACCCATTTCTGTATGGGGCTGTTTATAAACGGTGCTTGCACAGCGATGGTATCAAATGTTAGTTCAATCACACAGCTGTCTGTTCGGTGCTCTGCCGCCCTCGGCAGTTACTGCTCCATGGAGTGGCCTGCAGGACAGCTGTCATCAGGCAAAACTGGTGACCAGCAATGGCACCATGAGAGGCTCAGCAGAGATCTTGGGAGAACTCAATCGATCTAAAAAATTAAGCAGGTTGCCCAGCCTGAGTGGCTCAGTGGTTGAGCATCGACCTATGAACCAGGAGGTTCAATTCCGGGTCAGGGCACATGCCTGGGTTTCATGCTCCATCCTCAGTAGGGGGCGTGCAGGAGGCAGCTGATCAATGATTCTCTCTCATCATTGATGTTTCCATCTCTCTCTCTCTCTCCCTTCCCCTCTGAAATCAATAAAAAAATATTTTAAAAAGATTAAGCAGCTGAACAGATTTGTGCTGGGAGAAACCATGAGGGGTTTGGTAACAAAAGGGTAAGAGATGATGAACTGCTTGGGAATCAGTCGCCTGAGGCTGGCCTGGGGAAAAGCGAGGGAGCCCAGCGCTGTCCTGTCCTGTGTGGGCAGGGTCTGGGGGCCTCCAGAGAAGTGCAATGCTCTGTGGGCAACGGGACGGTGAGTGGCGAGAGACGGTGCGGAACGGAATTATTACTTCCTTCCTGTTTCACAAGCCTCTCATTTATACGTGCTTGTCCCTCCTTAGGCGTGGAGTCTGGGGGAGACGTAATTATCATCGCCAAACTCTGCCCAGGACGAATGGTCTGAAGCAGACAGGGAGTTCGTGTGCACTGGGGTGTCTCTGGCGGCTGCTGAGTGACTGTGTGGAGGGGGCCTGGCCGCCTGGGGCCATCGCACATTAGGCTGAGCGGGTTCCTGGGCCTTTTGAGAGCACTTTGCTCTCCTCGCTGGTGACATTCGCACATTTAAATCACTTCAGCACAGAGATTTAAAAGGAACAACACTTTAAAGAGAGAGGCTTTCCTTTAAAATTTGAAAAAGCCAGTTTTTCTAATTAATGAATTGGCTGTTTGTCCTTAAACATAGTCTTAAAGTTGAATTTGAACTTCAAAAATGAAAATGGTTGGTTTTCCAGAACTTTAACATTTTATAGATATGGTTTAAATAATCGCTGAAAATGATTGAAAAGCAAATATCCTCTCCTTCTAAAGGAAGTTAAACCTGACTTGATGTAGAATAAAATGTACGTAAAAATTCCATATAGATAATTACCTTGACAAAGAGAGGAAGTCTGTTTTCTTTAAAGGCAAAAAAACTGAATATGTGATGTTGGCCACTCTTGGTTAATGGCACGAGATTGCCAAAGCAATCAACGTAGATGGGCTTTCCTTCCAGCACCTGGTGAGGCAGAGAAAGCAGCACAGATTATAGTAAGTGCAGTTATTACCTGTTATTTACATAAAGGAGTGTTGATCCCTGTTGGAATGTTAAGACCTGCCTACAACCATCACTCAATTGCTATGTCTTGTCCCCCGGTGGCCTCTGATGCTGACGCTCTTGTTTCTAACATTACCCCCAAACTGACAGAGCTTTAACTCCTGGAGTCCATCTTCTGATTGGGTCGTTTTTACATCCAATGAGTCACACTACTTGACCTCACCGTCCACACCCACGCCGATGACGAGGCCTGAGATCAGCAGGAGTGACAGAGGCCTGGGCAGCTCACGTCCACACTGACACCGAGGGTGCCCTTCCTGACCGCTGTCCTTACCACTGAAAGTTACTCCGAATGAGGAAAGACAAGCCTTCTCTGCTGCCGCCGCTTACACACTTCACCGCTGAGTCCTCCTCCCCCATGATGCTCCGTAAGAGAGCCCTTTCCCTCCTCCTCTCAGGATGGAGGCCGAGACGATCCTGACAGGACTGGCCCAGACGGACTAGGAAGAGCTCATGTTGGACCTTGACCTTCTAACTGCCCAGGAGGAGGACTGGTCTTTTTATCGTGCGGTTCTATTTACTAGCCACTGCTTTATGTGTAATCTAAGCAGAAAGGCACAGACGACGTGTCATGAGCTGCTTTGGAACCCGCACCTCCACGTCCCGGCTGCGGGCCACCTCCGCGAAGTGCTCCTGCTGCTCCAGGGTCTTGTCCACCTTGTCGTCAGTCATGCAGAAGCACCGCAGCCGTGCCTCGATGGGGTCGTGCGACTTGGCGAACACCACGAACTTGGCCATGTACGGCACGCAGATGATCTCCCTGTACACCTGGGAGGCGAAGGCGACGGACTCCTGGATTTGCCGACAGTCGATCAGCCAGAACCTGCAAAGGATTTTAGGTCAGGCATCCAAACCAATGGACGCCAGCCCGGCCGGCGTGGCTCAGTGGCTGAGCATCAGCGTCAACCTGTGAACCAGGTCACAGTTCAATTCCCGGTCAGGACACGTGCCCAGGTTTTTGGGCTCCATCCCCGGTGTGGAGCGTGCAGGAGGCAGCCGATCAATGATTCTCTTATCATTGATGATTCTCTCATCATTAATGATTCCTTCTCTCTCTCACTCTCTCCCCCCTCCTCTATGAAATCAATTAAAACAAATTTTTAAAAATCTTTGAAAAAAAATTGAATTAATGGGTACCAGGTGAAAAAAACCCTCAGTTCCTTCAATATGATCGAAGTCATTAAGTGCTTCCTGGAAACAGGGAGGTGGGAGATGATGAGACGGGTGGGCAGAGTGAGCAGGAGGGCACTGGGGACCAGGTGTGCACCGCCAACCACTGGACCCGTATTTGTGATTTTCTTCCTTGGAAATGCTTCCCAGGGTCCAGCTTCTGAAATCTGCCCCGAGTCCCAGCACCGTCCGTGGAGGGAGCCTGGGGCCATCGCAATGGGTCCTCATGGGGGAGCCCTGTTCCCCCTGATGCCCCCAATCTTCCTCTCATATCCTGAAACTCTTCTCAATAAACTCTACCCAGTGTTTCATCGTGTTACTCTTTTCCAAAACACTCTCCCACCACCGAGGTGGATCAATCCAACCATTTGGAAACCTGCTTTCTCGGCAGAACTCGCGGGCGTTGGGCGTGGCTCCCAGAGGAAGTCACTGCTCTGTGCTCCTTCCTGGCTGGTGGCCTCATGGGCCTGTGACACGGCCTGGCTATGTCCCCTCAGTGTCACTGCTCAGGGCACTGAGGTTGCTGAGCCTGCCCAGCGTTCCCTGACCACCACCCCCCGCACTCCCCGAGGAGGGGCCATTCCGCTGAGAAAGCTGAGGCCGCCAGATGCAAAGTGTTAGCCATACCCCGTCGCCCTGAAACCTCGCTCCGCCTATTACTGCCTCCTCCCCTCGACTCCTTCCCGCCATCTTTCCACGCCCCTGAGGTTCCCTTTCCCTTGTCACCGGTTCCTTCCTGTCCCTCGTCCACGCCTCCCCTTTTTATTAGCGTTTGATGAGATATACGTAACATAACACTCGTCATGCTGGCCACACCGAAGTGCACACGCAGTGGCATTATCACACTCACAGCCCTGGCTGCCGTTACTGACCATTTCCGCCCCTTTCCGTCTTCCCGGACAGAACAAGGTCCCCCAAACCCTGACTGCGAACTGCCCCATCTCCGTGCACCTGCCTATTCTGGGGACCTCGCACGTGCGAACGTCCGGCTACTTCCTGCAGCGTCACGCTCTCAGGGCCCAGCTCCGCCGCTGGCTCCTGGCGGCGCTCCGCATCCCTGTCCTCTTTGCTCAGACTCACTCACGGTGCTCACTGCTCCCTCCGTCGTCGGGGGGTTAAATGGGGAACACGGGACACAGGAGCGGCCTGGCCTCCCGAGCAGGCCTCCCTCAGCACTGCCGCAGCCACGTGGCAGCTTTGGTCTGACCTCCGACCTCAGATGTCTGCTGCTCGCCCCCACCCTGCTGTGTCTTGTCCATGGTCCTCTCTCTTGCCCCTCAGGCTCCTGCATGTCTCGGGAGGCACCTCCTCTCGGGCGCCTTCTCTGCCCCTGGCAGGGCCCCTTAACCCTCTCCTCAGCACCTGTCATCTCTGGAGCGACAGCGGGGCCAGCACCCCAGCTGCTGCCCATGTGTGCCCTTCTGCTCTGTCCCCTGAACAGGAGTTTAAGCTCTAACCCCCTCAGCCTGTTTTCCCATCTATAAAATGGACACAGTACCAAGTCACTGTAGTGATGAAATCAAACGCGTGGGAAAGTGCCCAGCATTCCCTTGCCGGTCACACACGGGAGGGAGCTGATGGTAAAGGGAGTGAGCGAGCACATGAAACAAGACTAGACAGCATCCGCGCAGTGAGGACGCGAGACACAGACACACACGGGTCAGGCCTCCTGGTCACCTAGACCTTGAGCCCACCTGCACACGCATGTGCTCTCGGACCCCTGATATTCTGCTGGGAAGCAGCTCAGGATGCGCTGGGCAGCAGAGCGTCTACCATCCCCCAGGCTCTGGGACTGGACCATCGGTGGTGGCCTCTCCGGGAGGCCGCCCCACAGGCAGAGCTGCCAATCACTGACTGTCCTGAGATTTCAACCTGACTGGCTGAGCTTTGTTACTGTATCATCACTATTCACTTTGCTGGCAAGCAGGCCCAGTTTAAAATATGAAAGTGAATACAGATTGTATTTAAAACCAACCAGAAAAACTCACTTTTAAAGAACACAGAAACAAAAGAAAAAGCAAAATCCCTGGGGGTGGGGCCTGTGTGGCCTCGGGCTGGTCTGAGGGCGGGACGTACCTGGCAGACACGTTGGTGGTGAAGGAAACACACTCATTGACAAACGTTAATGGCGTGGTTCCCGTGATGTCTTCCCACTGCGCAGGAGTGGTCCCGCCTGAAACAACAGGATTGCTGACAATGAGGCAGCGCTCCAGCCTCCCAGCGCCAAGTGCGTCTGTGGTCCCTGCGCTCGGCCGCGGACGCTGGAAGGCCACACAGAGCAGCAGCGCCGACAGCACCTCCCACGAATGAGCTGAAAGTCACTGGAGTCGCTGCTTCAAATGTCTACGTGTTCTGCCCTCGACCTGACCCCCTGAGGCTGTTACTGTAGTAGGTCGGCCCTGAAGATCAATTTGAATTGTACAGGGTGGATGAATTTAAAAGATCCTTTAACTGACCAAGGAGCTGACGGCTTTGTTAAAATAATGAAAAAATTCAGGTAGTTTTTTGTTCCTGAACTCCATGCTTTATACAATTATTTTCATAAGAGAAAATATTCTCTCCATTTGCCATGGAAGGTCACAAAAATGTACTTGGGAAACATGAACGGCTGAATGAACTGCAGGCTGATGGACAGGTGGACAAAGGCCCAAGGAAGGCCTAACCAGGTCGGTGGCGCCTCGGCCACGTGGTCCCTCGCTTGACCCCTGGCCAGGGCAGGGCATACCTGCCCGTGACATCTCACCTGTCTCACCTCCACACATGACGTCTCATGTGACAGGGAGTAAAACCTGTGGGAAACTCACCCAGGAACGTGGGGTGGGAATGAGGTCGTGACCCCCTGCGTCCCTGCTCGTCCACGTATTTTGCATTTTATTAAACGTATGGGGCAAGCTCCATGGCTCATTACGGTGCATACAGAAAAGCATTAATAAGGAGGGAGAACTGGAGAGAGAGCAAGATAAGGGAGAATACAACTGCCAACACGAGGGGAGGGGAGGACTTCCTCACCCCCGGGCGGGCGAGCAGGGCAGCTGACCCGAGCCCGGGCGGGCGTGGCTGAGCCCAGGAGCGTGCGGTGCTGTGAAGGGGGCGTTTCCAGCCAGACGATGCCTGTGAGCTTTCCCCTCCCACTCCGTGATGGGGCCGAGACAACCAAGAGCTGGGAGTGTCTCCCTGGAGGTTGGTAGTTGTCTGAACATTAACACAACTTCCAATGGAAAAGACCGTGTTCAGTGAATCTTGAAAAACCTTTACTGTTTTCTCAAGGCTGTCCCACAGGTCCGTGATGACAGGACCGACTCCCACACACAGGTCAGGTCTGAGCGGCGGGGCAGCGGTGCAGGACGATGGTTTTCAGCAGGTGGACGATGCGGTCTCTGGTGAAGGCCGACAGGTGTGCGGGCCCGGGTGGAACCCCACTCTGCACAAGCCTGTGGTATGGTCTCGGGAAGTCACAGAGCTCTCGGAGCCTGGCTTCCTTTTCAGGGGGATGGAGCTAAGTGCGGGCACAGGGCCGCGAGGCAGAGACGACCGTGAGCGCTGCCCAGGGGCCTGCGGCTGTACCGGCAGGTGGCTCATCGCCTGCGCCTTCTGCTCCCTACTGGGGATGCTCCTCCTGAAGCCGCACGGGCCCTGCAGGCACCTCACGATAAAGCGCTAACACTGGCAACCGTGTAGGTGTCTCCTTCCAGAGCTTTCTACGCACACCTCACGGGCGCCTCACCTGTGATGCTGCACAGGAGTCTCAAGGTCGGATCATCTCCCCCAAAACCGTTCAGCATGACGTCGCTGGCGGCCTTGGGGATGGGGATGGTCATGGTGATGGGCTTGTGGAACTTCCTCCGTCTGGGCTCCAAGGTGACGATTGGGCTGAAGGTCGCTTTGTTCCCCAGGATCTTCCTGACCAGCTCGCTGTGCATGGGCTGCGCCTTTTCCAAGGAAAGCAGAGTGAGCACCAGACCACGCGCCTCAGGTCAGTATCTTTGAAAGCACTTTTTGTCTCGTCAGCACAGTAGCTTCCAGCATAGGACTGAAATAGCAGGTCCTCAGCCCTCCTGCAAGAGGCCTACTGTGTGCTGTGGCAGCCCCTGCTCTCCAGTGCGATGTGACCCTGTCTGTGTGGGCCCCCCCGTTCCCATAGCCAGTCCCCTCCCCGCAAGGTGCCCCTGGCCACGCACGCGCCCAGCACCGCACCTGCAGGCCCACTCGGATCCGCTTGGTCAGTGCGCCCTCGGGGAACACCGCCTGCACCTGCGGGACCACTGTGCTGCTCAGCACGCCGCCCTCGGGCCCGATCAGGTGGCTGTCCTGCTTGACACGGGATACCACGGCGAAGTACTGCGGGAAGTCACGCGTGACGATGCGGCAGATGCGCTTACGGTCCAGGTCCTCAGCGCTGTCCAGCACTGCGGATGACAGCGCACACGGTCCAGGTCAGCACCTCCACAGGGCAGGAGCGCTTCCACCAGAGCAGCGCCCGGTCCCTCTGCGGGGCCTGCGGCCTCGGGGTGGGCGGGGGGCTCTCCCTGGTTTACTCCACTCCCACCAGCTGCAGAGGAAACGGGTCCCGCAGGCTCTCCTCTGCCAACATCAACGTTGGCTCAAGACTTGTTTCTATGTTGTAAGAAGAGACACGCCCTTCTGTCCTGCCAGGATGGTTTGCGGGGTCACCCCGGGGGGGGGGGGAGGGGACTGTCTCTGAGATGCACTGTGTGTATGGAGAAGGGCCACAATGGATGACCGTGAATCCAGCGTTTGAATTCCCGAAACCAGGAACTTGCCCAACACGTCCCCCACCATCAGCAGGCGGGGTCACAGGCTTTTCACAAACTCAGTGCACAGACGTAGGGCAGGACGGAAAACCAGACCACTTAACTGAGGAAATCTAGACTGACAGGGTCACTGGGATTGGGGTTTCATTTTCCTGAGTAACAACAGGAGACCAGGCAAATGCATCGTGTGCTGACTCATCGTCACTGGCGCACACCGGTACCTGCTGGGCCAGAACCACACACTTGCGCACACATGCACGCATCACACGTGCACACACGCACAAGCAGACATGCGCACACACGTGCACACAAAGAGTGCACACACGCACAAGCAGACATGCGTGCACACACACAGTGCACACGCGCACAGACGTGTGCACACACACAAACACACAGTGCACACGCACATGCACACACGTGCACACACGTGCAGCCCGGTCCGCAGGAGGCGCCGCGTACCCTCGTCCATGCCGTTGAGGATCTCGTTGAGCTCGTCCTCCGTGTGCTCGCAGCCGTGCTCCTTCCAGCTGTCCCCGCTCTCGCTGCGCAGCACCACCAGCTCCCGCTCCTTCCCGCGCAGGGCAGCGAAGTGCGGGATCTCCACGATGACGGGCCTGGCAGCAAGCAGAGCACGCGGTGTGGGCGGCAGCAGCCACGCACCGCGCGCCCCGACCGTCTGTGGCAAAGTGACCTGGAGGCCTCTCTCTGGGGATGGGGACAGGGACAGGGCTAGCGGCTGGCTGCGCAGTAGCACTCCACCTCAGGGCTCCCGTCCCGGGACACGCTGCTCCCCGGAGCCCCGGTGTCTGCCTGAGTGCAGGTGGCACCTGGAACTTCTCCTCGGAGAAACGTAAAGAAACGGACATGCGTGTCTGTGACGTGCACCGACCTCCTGGGACGTTCTCAGCGAGGGGTGACGTGACAATGCTGGAGGGGATGGCCTGGTGCGGTGTGAGCTGGTGAGTCTGAATGAGATGTCAGAGGAGCTGACTGCGTGGGAACGACGCAGACATGCATGCGGGGTCTGCCCAGGCTCCCCCCATCCAAGGGCGCAGTAGGCATTGCACACGGCCCTCGCCGAGCCCGCGACAGCATGTGCGATGCCTACTGGGCTCAGCTCCGAGCATGCACGGCCCTCGCTCCCAGGGCACAGCCACTCTCAAGAGTCGTGGAGGCTCTGGGTCTCCGGTCCAGGTTGCTTTGAGACAGACTCCAAGTTCCCATCACAACACCGCAACTAGCACAGAGTACGACTAGGCAGATCTCATGCTTAAAACGAAAATGAAGGTCACAGCACTTTAAGGGGAAAGGTATAAAAACATCACTCGAAAGAAAAGTCACATACCACAGGGTCAGAAATGGTCCACTAGAGAGTTGGTACAGAGTGTAAATCATAGAGAGGGACATGTCACGGGCACAATGACAGAAAGAGAAATCATATTGCAGGAGGAGGAGAATGGGGCCAGCAGCCATCGGTTGGTTTAAGTCGCTCCTACCCAAGGAACTTGGTTCCAGGAGGCCCCAGCTGGAGGATGCGGCTGACCAAGCTTTCTCCCTCGTTAAGTGGGGGGGGAGCCGCTGGCAGGTGGAGTTTACTGAGCACATCCAAGCAGCAGTGAGAGAGAGAAGACAGTGAGCTTCAGGGGCGGCGTCCACCCCGCACCGCCCGCTCAGCCACCGGGAGGTCTGCTTTGGTTCTGTCCCCTCCACTGGCCACAGGGAGGGCGGCACCGATGCCCAGCGTGCCCGATGGAGGCATGGGGGCGGCACGTGGGGACGGCCTCTCCCTGGTGAGGTCCTGCCAGGGCGCGAGCCGTGAAGGAAAAATATGCTGCCCAGGCGCTGGGAATGTCATGAAAACTCGGACTCTGCAGAGGCCGGTGCTTCCATGGATATTCCTGCTCAGATGTGGAGGCTCTTACACAGCCCAGGCGGCCTGAGCGTGAGGGAGGGAGGGGGACCTGCGACAGGGGGGACGGGGTCGGGATGCGCCCCACCCAGAGCCCCCAGCGCCTGTGTCTCAGGTCTGCCTGAGGGACGGCGGAGGAGGCTTCTAGAACCGGGAATACGGACACGCCCCCTCTGGCGTGAACGCGGTTTGGAGCAACCTGTGAACAGCTTCCTCCAAGTTATGAGACTTTAGGCCGATTCCTAGTTCTAGCGCGAGCAGCTCTCCCAGTGTGATGCCAGCACAACAGAAGCTCCCGGGCAACGGGCTGTGGGCCCCACATTCAAGCACAAAGACTTGCTATGAGGAGGCTTAAACACCACTGATTTGTTTCAAAACATTTTGAAACCTGTCCCCTCCACCGCCTCGTCCTTTGGTCGGTTTTCAGCAGAAGCCACACACTTCTTGGCTTGTTGAAATGCCACTTAATACGGCAGCAGCTGCTCAAGCACATAAAAGAAAGAAGAAATGCTAACTTCTGCTCAAAATTGCTAAAATGAGGCTGGCGGCAGTGAGCCCGGACTTTGCCTTCTTAAGGAAAACTGTGACCAGACAGGCGGCCAGTGAGTGTAAGCCTCACGGTAGCAGTTTGGGAGCAGAGAAGGCAAACCACACACCGACTCCTGGCCACGCTTCTCCCCAGGTGCAGACGGTTCTCAGGACGTGGGACCTCGAGTCCATGTTTGGAAGAGAGGAGGGTTTTTCTCAGGACTCTGCCACTTCAGTGTCAGAGGGAAAAACAATACCTACCATTGGCTGAAAACATGATTCGCACGGGAGCCTAGCAGCTGTGATCACATCCAGAGAGAGAGAGAGTCACCTGCCTGCTGAGCTCACGGATGCTCACAAAGGGAGAGGCGTGGGGAGGGGTGCAGCATCAGTGCTACTTAAATGTCACAGGAGCCCGGCCGGTGTGGCTCAGTGGCTCAGTGGCTGAGGGTCGACCTATGAACCAGGAGGTCACAGCTCGATTCCCGGTCAGGGCACATGCCCGGGTTGTGGGCTCCATCCCCAGTGTGGGGTGTGCAGGAGGCAGCCGATCAATGATTCTCTCTCAGCACTGATGTTTCTCTCTCTCGCTCCCTTTCCCTTCCTCTATGAAGTCAATAAAAATAGATTTAAAAAAACGTCACAGGGGTCAACCTTCGTTCAAAGCACTGGACGTACCTTTGTGCATCCGTCCCGGGGGCGCCGGGCGAGATGCCAGCACACAGGTGACTAAGTGGGAGGCTTAGCAGAGATCCTTACCCCAGGAACTGCGCGCCAGAGGGTCCGACTTCAATCAGGCGGCTGGCCAGGCCTTCTCCCTCCACCATCGGGGGCATGGTCGCCAGGCGGTGGCGTTTCACCAGGCGGCAGGTGACCCGTGTGGGGGCCGTGCACTTCCTCGGCGGGATGATGATGCGGAGCCCGTGGTGTCTGCAGCCGCGCATGGCGCCCCCGCGGGCGTCCACCATGAAGCTGACCAGGAAGCTGCAAGGGGGGGCAGAGGTCAGACGCGTGGGCGAGGTCGGAGGCAGGGGCCCAAGTCCCGGCCAAGCAACTTCTGTCCGTCGCGCCTGGTTCTCAGACATCGGGTATTCATACGCATGGCGGGGACAAACTGGTCCTTAAACGTTATCTCGCTTTATGCCAATGCCTTGATGGCTGTTGTGTTGCTTTAATTTTTGTGTTGTTTTCACCTGTAACCTAAGACAATCTCTGCTACCTTGTGTTGACTGTGTGTGGACTGTAAATTTAAAATCTATCCAACTGACAGAGTGGCATGGACTTATGTGACAACTCTGAGGGTCCCCCTGTGCAGAGCTTCCGCCTGCATGTCCTGAAAACCCATGGAAGTCAGGGCGGGATGGAGCAGTTAATTCCACTGGACTTTTCCAAGTTACATCGTGTCCAGCTCATTTCAATATGGCTTAAGAAAAGAGGCCCCCACTGGGGCACAGGCATCAGCTCCATGTGGACGGGCGGGCCCTGCGGAGGAGGGTGTCTGGGCATCGTGAATGTCCCCAAATTACAAGAGAGTGTGGAAAACCACAGCTAGTAATTTAGCAACGTGGAGGCATCTCTTCCTTTTGCTCCGTTCCTGCCAGGCTCGAGGTTCATGGACAGCCTGGTCCACGGGACCGGCACGCGCCTGTGGCGAGGCAAGGGCTGGTCTAACCAGAAGGGCTTCCTTTGGGAGGGGCGGGTGCATGCAGTGGGGACTCGCTTGGTCAAGAGGCAGAAATTAGGCGACCTGACCGGCATTTCCACTGCACCTGCGAGGCTCTGATACCAAAACAGGAAGAGGAAAGCAGCCTCCAGGTGAGTTAGGCTCAGCCAGCACACCATGCCGGACCCCCGCCCTGGCACCGAGTCCATGACTGCAGCCCAAACCCTGGAACACAGTCAATCCAAGAAATGATGGGCAGAAGCACCATGCGTCTGCTCTGTTAGACGAGTGGAGGAAGAGCTTAGCGTCCCTCACAGCAGGCCGGAGCTCACGCACGTGGCTAGGCAGGAGTCCTGCTGCTCTCAGCACAGAAGGGACGGGCAGCCCAGGGCCTGTCAGCAGGCGTGCGGGGACAGTGAGGCCACAGCCGTGGCCCATGCGTGGCCAGCCAGCCTGGGAGAACAATCCACAATGCAGGACCGAATGTGGATGTTTCTGGTCTTGATCAAAATGCAGTGAGAAGAGGTCAGCTGCTTTTCTTACCACTAGGTATAAATTTAAGTATAAATTCTCAAAAAATATTTTTAAAAATGTACTGTTGCGCAAAAGAATGGGAGAGCTAGTTAACATGGATGAATCTAAAGGTTTCCTGTCCATTCTGTCCTTTTTATTGGGCTACATTTACACTGACGTTCATGAACCCTGAGAAAGGCTACTCAAGTGCCAACCAGCGCTGCTGCCACTCACTGCACTGTTCCTGGCGTCCCCTGGTTTGCTCATCTCTTGCTGTCGCCCTGCGGGGGACGGGCCGCAGGCCCCGAGGAACCCTGCGGCCCGTCCGCCTGCTCCTGCAGGACCCCGCACTGTCTGCCCGCCGGAGGCCCTGGGCAGTGTCTGCTCGGGCACCTGCTGTGTCTGGGCCTGTCCATCGGGGATGGCTTGCTGCCTCCACACCTGTGCACCTCGGATCCTGTGGCGCGCCCCCTACTGGGGACTCTACCCAGGGGATGAAGGGCTGCATTCCTGGCTGGAACCGGGTCTCAGTACATCAGATCCTGTCTCTGTGTCATCGGCTGCTCCTGTGAAACCCTCTTGTTCTCGTTTGCTCGTTTCCAGCTCCATGTTCCCCTCCTACCACGTGTCACCCTCCCACCGAGGGCTGGCCACCCTGCTGGCAACTGAGGACACAGACAGCGGAGCCGTGGCGACTGCCCCCGACGTCCCCGGAGGGTTTCGCTGACTTCCCTGGTGACGGGGAAGGTGGTGGCAGCAGCCCGGGTCCCCAGTCCCAGCACAGTGTGTGGAGGTGACAGGTAACGGCTGAACCAGCGAACGAGTGGGGCAGTGCAAAGAGCAAGTTGTGCGACGGCCACAGTTGTGTCTAACCACCAGAGAAGATGGCAAAGGCAGTTGTTTAACTCTCTGGTCTCTGGACAACCATCCAGTCACAACTCCTTCAAGCGACCACACACAGGCGTTTCAGCTTGTCGGAGAGCAAAAACCCGTCTCGAGTAACGTGATGACAGGATGAACAGCTAATAACAAGGCTGAGTGTAGACTTGTAAACGCAAAGCTGTCTTCCAATGAGAGGGAATAAGTGAGACAGTTCAAGTTCTACGAGGTGATGATGGAAGGTTTTAGATAAAAGTCAGCATGCTGATCACTTAGCCCCCACAGTTCCTGACAGAACATCAGGTAAGCATTTTCCGAAAAAATGTCACATGATAAAAGGTGTCCCTACTTGGACCGGGAGTAGAATGAATGGATGTTGTGTGTAGAACAATTTCAACCACAGAGCAGGGTGGAAGAGACTGCTTTTTGTGCCGCAGGAAGAGGGAAGGAGTAGGTATGGCCATGCGGTGATGGGCACTAGACTTGGTAAAGCAAGTGCACTTTCCTCCCATCGTCAGGAGGTGACCACTGGGAGACAGCGCGTGAAGGACTGAGGCGCAGCCGCAGGGAGAGCACAGCTGAGCACGTGCAGGGCTGGCGTGCGAGAGCCGCGTCTGTGAACCAGGGGCTCGCGGCTGCCGACAGGGGTGCGGACTGAGTCACGTGGGCAGAGACACGGAGGCCTGAGCGCTCGTGCCGCCACCTCCCTTCCCCTACGCCCGCACGATGTTATATATCCCGAGAGTCTTTAAATTTACAGTACAAGACAACACCTAAGAAACCAATGGAGGAACTGACATGTTCTGAATGCCCACAGTGAACCCGGAACTCGGCTGAAGCAGTTTCATATGACAATGAAGTTTCTACTAGTTTATGAATGCCCCTGTTTAAATAAAATGTAAAACACTGTCCCAGAGCAGGCACCCTGCCTCTGTGTCGCTCCGGGAGCCACTGATCGGCCCGGGCCGGGACGTGCTGCTGGGACCCCAGGCAAGTCACTTCCTGTCTTTAGGTTTCAGTTTCCTTGCCCATAAAATGAGACTTTCACCAAACACGCCACAGGGGCCTCAGTGTTCTGTGTGTGCCGGTCACTGTAGCCAGGCAGGACCCCCTGAAAGGCTCTCTCTCAGATGCTCCGGAAGAATTCCTACTTGGAGGATAAACAGCTATCGCTCTGGGAAGTAGGCACCATGCTTGCTCCGTGGTTAACCCAGTAAACGAGCAGTTTTGCAGAAAATGTGCACACACTGCACTGAGCATTGACTTTAAAGCTCTATAGACAAAAAAAAATCACGTGACATACTCGGCTTAAACCGCATATCTTACTTTAGGTGGAATTCAGCAATCATGCAAATTAGAAACTCTTATTGAGAGGTTTTCGAAATTGTGAGATAAGTGTTATCACAATTTAAAAGGGAGGAAAGCAAAAGCAACCCACCATTATTATGCAGATGACTTGCCTACAAAGAGGCGATTTGATTAGCTAAACAGATACATGCTTCAGAGACAGAAAACAGGGCTCTGCCTGCTGAGGAGCACGCCTCCACCCCAAAGTCACCAAGGCTTCGGTTCCCTTTCAATGCACCCGGGACCGCGAGGGCGGGTGGGGAGGAAGGTGCAGCATTCCGTTAGTTATGGGGTCAAAACAGGAAGAAAACGTCCAGGGTGCTTCAGTGAGCCTGCACACCCCCAGGAGGCCCGTCAATTCCACCTGATTCTGGCGAGAACACGAGGCGTGGTGACGTGGGGAGCTCTCCCCCCTGCTCTCCCTCCAAGCCCTCCTGCGCCCCGACTCCCAGACTGAACATGATGGGAAGTGCCTCTGAAGAAAGTGGCTCAGATTTACCAGAATCACCAGTCATTAATCACTCGCAACGTTCATGTGTAGAAACATCCCATTTAGTGTTTCAGAGAAACTAAAGGGATGGCCATGATTTGCAAAATGGGGTCTATGAGGCCGTCTTATCTGTGCACGGTCTGCATGTGACGATAACTATAACAAAAATGCCCTGCTCGGCAGTCTGATAAGAACCTTCAGGAATAAACTGCTGGACTAACACAGCACGATTCCAAGCTCTCAGAAGCTGCACTCAGAGCAGCATCCCAGGGAGATGGACCACTAACCAACTCTCAGCCTTCGGTTCACCTAAGAACAGTTTTTAAACCACTTAAAACCATAACCTTTCCTATGACTTTAAAACAGGCCAACTGATTTGTGTAATTGCTGGGAATAACTTTTCAGCTTCATGTGGCCCTTTTCCTCACAAAAGGAGCTAAGATGTGGAGAGCCTCGGCCAAGCCTTTCCCAGGAGGTCTGCGTGAGTCCTGGCACCATCCCAGCCGCTTCCCAATGAAGTAACTGATGCCCACGTTCCCTCCACTGCAGAGCAAGGGGCACTCAGCCAGGGCGCGGCCTGGAGACACGCCAGCCCTGCATCCCTGGGAGGTGTGCGCACTGAAGCACCCTGGGGTGCGGGGGGAGGCGGGGACGGGCAGGAGGGGCGATGCAGTCACCTGCTGTTGTCACGGTCGAGACATGGAGAGGTGCGGCTGCAACAGAACAGACACTTTAGCACAGAGAAGGAGTGGGCGAACATCAAGAAGGAATCAGAGGCGACTTCTGACCGAAATGCACTGTCATTCCCCACCCGTCTCCATCCGGAGGAGATGGAAACAGCCATGAGGCATCCCTGTGTCCACATGCTGAGGGGTCGGGGTGGGCTCTGCGGCTCCCCATCAGGGCCGTGGGGCTCGGGGAACCCTGGGTGCCCCTGCAGCCCCGCTCCCTGCTTAGCACTGGCCATGGCGCCCTGCGCACAGCCAAGTGTCCAGGAGACCACACACCAGCAAAGGCATTCAAAGGAGAGGGACAGAGCCTGGGATTGGTGACCATGGTCAATGCTTCTACGTCATGGCAATGCCCTTTTGGCCACTGCGGAAGACACGTGAACACAAAAGGCACAATTTAAAGACTGGCTTCCATGACAAGCCATGACATAGCAACTAGGAGGCAGAGAAGGTACGTGAATTACCTACTGGCAGGGAATGGAAGCTATGCAAGTCTGAGCACTTGTTCAAGGCTGCCGGCTTGCTGGGGGGGTGGGGGGAGCTGCTCAGGGTGCCCCTGCTCGGGGCTTACCCTGCTTGCTGCTGTGGCTGGGGCTGCCCCACTCCCCAGGCATTTTCTCTGCCTCTGGCTCACTCGTGTCTGACGTACAAAAGGATACATTTATGGGACCAGAAAGCCAACCTTACAAAATAGTTGTTTAACAACTTAAACATCGTTTTCTTCATCCAAAAGCATTGACCTTCATGTACCTTCAGAAAGCTGGGGTGTTTGGAACATGTGAACCACCAAGTTAACTGCTCTGCACACTTCAACATTAATGCTGTCCAAGGAGCAGCCGTCTCGGCCCTGAGCTAATGTCCTCACATGCTTTTTAATGGACTTTATTTCTGGGCATAGTTTTAGGTTCACGGCAAAATGGTCTTCAACATGTTTTTCTGAAAAAGACCAATTTTTTTTTTTAAATATATTTTATTGATTTTTTACAGAGAGGAAGGGAGAGGGATAGAGAGTTAGAAACATCAATGAGAGAGAAACATCGATCAGCTGCCTCCTGCACATCTCCTACTGGGGATGTGCCCGCAACCAAGGTACATGCCCTTGACCAGAATCGAACCTGGGACCTTTCAGTCCGCAGGCCGACGCTCTATCCACTGAGCCAAACCGGTTTCGGCTGAAAAAGACCAATTTTTTAATGGACTTCTGGTTGCTATATCTTACAGGATAACATGATGCATTGACACTTAACTGTTGGCATGCAACTACCATTGAAATGGTAAAAATAAAGGCCTTCGGAATCATATTAAAATGGATCACAAAGCTGGCCGTTACCAAGCACGGAGCCTCACTCACTGAGCGCTTGGGAAATGGAGAAGAACCGTGAATTCAGGCTCGTGCCCAAATCCTGCCATGTAACACCTGGGATGCTAGCAACACCTGCTGGCCGGATCCTGAGTGAGTAACAAACTCTCTCAGGAGCAGCAACAGAAATCTTGCTGCAGCCCTTCCTTTGCCGGGGACCGGCTGTGATGGGTCGTCGGATGGTTTTAGCTGCCGACACCTCCTCTTGGGTGGCCGTGGACACGAGCCACTAGAGACAGGCAGGGGCGGAAGGAGGTGCCAACATGGCCTGCGGGTGCAGCTGTGTCCTCCATGAACCTAGAGGCCTTGTGGGCTCCACAGGAACCACATACACCGTGAGCCGCAGTGCACAGAAAAGCTCCCTGAATTACTTCCTCTGTCAAAAACATTTCTTTTCTAACTTTCTGGGCAGATTTGAAGTGGCTTAACAATTCACCCAAGAATCTCAGTTCCTTGAAAAATACATGTAAAAACGACAACTCAGGAACGCGGTGTGGAATGAGTAAAACTGTAACAATCGCCCTGGCCAGTTTGGCTCAGTGGATAGAGCATTGGCCCTCGGACTGAAGGGTCCTGGGTTCAGTTCTGGTCAAGGGCACGCACCTGGTTTGCAGGCTCGATCCCTGGCCCTGGTTGGAGTGTGGGCAGGAGGCAGCTAATCAATGTCTCTCATATACACGTTTCTCTGTCTCTCCCCCTCCCTTCCCCTCTCTCTAAAAAATCAATGGATATCAATGAAACAATATCTTTGGATGAGGATTAACAGCGACAAAAAGAAAACACAAAAAAACACCCCACCAAAAAAACCCCCAAACAAAACTAAGAAACCAACGTTACATATGAAATCATGAACGCTATTCGTGTACATTAACATGGTGACAGCGTTTAAACACCAGGAGCGGCAGCACCGAGCGATCAGTGGGAGCCCCTGGGTCCAAGTCCTGTGCTGTGTGTTTGTTCAAATGCCACAGCACAGGCCTTACTAGATGCCCAGTCGCCTGGCAACAGTAACAGTGAGGCCCACATCACACCAGGACCAGGACTGCACAGGGAGGTTCTTTAGATGATTTGGAATACACTTTGCTTAACTCAGTGGTTCTCAACCTTCTGGCCCTTTAAATACAGCTCCTCATGTGACCCAACCATAAAATTATGTTCGTTGCTACTTCATCACTGTAATGTTGCTACTGTGATGAATCGTCATGTAAATATCTGATATGCAAGATGGTCTTAGGCGACCCCTGTGAAAGGGTTGTTCGACCACCAAAGGGGTCGCGACCCACAGGTTGAGAACTGCTGGAGCTGGTTTGGGATTTGTGAGTGATCTGGATGGTGTATGGGGAGTGTGTAAATACTGACGAGACCTATTGAGTCCTCTTCTTTCTGGACAAAATGCTAATTGTATAAGAACTACGTGCCCCTACAGTCAGTCCTCTGTGGGATCCGTAACATAACGTGCACCTTCCGGGTAAGGAAGGGAAACGCTGACCATCTGCCTGACGTGCCCAGGTCACATGCAGAGGGTGAGGCGGGGCTCGGGGTCTGGTGGGGGTGCCCCGAAGGGAGCATCACGTTTTTCCTTCCACAGGCTGTCTGCCAACTTCACATCACACACAGGTGTGCTTCTTCAAGGCCGCCCATCTCACTGGGCCCTGCTCCGGAGTGCCTGGCACACGCAGGTCCTTTGCGGAATTCAGCCACGTGTCCGGAGTTTGCACAGGTTAATTATCTAGGTCTGCATCATAATCAGAGCTGTTAGGCCAAGACGGTCCTTTCTCACAGTGTGTGTAAAACACACATATCTGGGTACCGGCACTTGTAGAAACCATCCACAGAGACGCCGCTGCGACGGGCGGGGCCTGGCACGCTAAGGCTCCCGGGTGATTCTAATGCCCGGCCAGAGTTTAGAATATATGGTCAGCGACCACCTTTCAAGTTCACAGAAGAACTGGTTTATTAGAGACCAAGATTAAAGACCCTTATCTCACTAAGTGATTAATCTTTAACCACTGAGGCTCTAGGTTTTGACTCTTGTAAATTCGGCCATTAATAGTAAATTACATTGTGCCTGGCCGGTGTGCTCAGTGGTTCAGTGACAACCTATGAACCAGGAGGTCATGGTTCGATTCCTGGTCAGGGCACATGCCTGGGTTTCAGGCTTGATCCCCAGTAGGAGGCGTGCAGGAGGCAGCTGGTCAATGATTCTCTCATCATTGATGTTCCTCTCTCTCTCCCTCTCCCTTCCTCTCTGAAATCAATACAAATGTATTTTAAAAAGGTAGTACATGACACTGTGCTTAAAACCACCCTTCGCCCTGGGCTGGGGCGGCCGGGCCGCGCTGGGCTGGGTCTAGCCGGCCGCCTTCACGCTCCAGGGCCAACTCCTTTCCCCTCCTCACTGTCCAGAAAGCTGGCAGCAGATGCAACGTTATGCTTTTTGAATAATCGATAGGTCAGATGTTAATGATCTCATTTTACACTTAGGATGTGTAAGTAAATTGGGATGAGGTTTAATTTGGTTTTCATTCCCTTGCATAATTCTTGCATTAGGAACCTGCTTATGTTTTTTTAACAAGGAAAAGAGTACTTGGATTATTTTCTATGTCTATGGACCTAGTTTTATAGTCTATGAATCTTTAGTAGAAGCTTAGACTATGAGGTGCAAACTTTGTAACTACAATGCCTCTGAATGCCTTCCTGGAAAGAGACTTATTTTAGAATAATGGCAACAAGGAAGGTCCACAATTCAAATCATGCTGGTCATTACGGATAAGGAGTTTGGAACCATTTAAGCCAAAATGTTTGATTTAGTTAGATAACATATGGGTAGGGCTTTAAAAGGTGGTTAAGTGAGCAAATATTGTAAGAATTTACATATAATTATGAAATTACTAGATGAATAAAAGTAATAGAATGAAAGGGAAAATGCAACTGCGAAGTGCTACCACTTACAACTCCTTCCAGAACTTATGGTCCACGTAACTGAGTTCTATGCCTTCAGGACATCTTTCAGTAGGTTACCATTATTAACTCAAAGCCCTACGTTTTTAGAGAGCTGATGTGGAAGGCAGCATTTCTCAGTGGCTGCTGGCTCCGGGCAGGTGACTGAGCTGACAGGTGCCCTCCAGGCCCTACTGCCTACTGCACAGGACTCCTCCTTCCGCCTGTGTAACTCCAGCCTCCAGCCTCGGGGAACATCCCTTCAGTGCCTTCACTTGTGGGGAGAGGCATTTGTGACCTGGTCAGTTCACCTCAGTAAATAAAACCGTCCAGGACGCAAACACTCCTGCCCTTCCTTTCAAGACGTCTTAAAGCCCCGGCGGCTGCTGGTTAGTGAGCAAGCTGTCTGACGCAATGCTACCAGTTACTTTAAAACGTCAGCTTTTCTAGGTGCAATTCAACCCTTTCTGCTGGTTTGTCCACGCAGATGGGGCCCATGGTGGACAAAGCTGTGTTATTTACAAGTTTAAACGAAGGTCACGTCCCTTGTAAGCTGGCCGCCAGCTATGCCACCGCACAAAGCTGCTGCTGTCCACTCGTCCCTTCCCTGATCTGGACACAGGACACCACGACTCACCCTGAGTGGATGGGGCTGGAAGAAAGGGCCACATTGTCCAGGTGCTCGGGGCCCCAGCTGAGGCGGTAGGCGTTCCTCTCCGCCTCCTTGGCGAGCGCTGACACCTGGACACAAAGGACACGGCTCAGGGACACGGCTCTCTCCCTTCCCTCCGACGACAAGGTACCCGCCTCGGAAAGGGGCACCTCAGACAGTGGCACTGCCTGGAAAAGCCCCTTTAAAATGTGAGGCCGAGGTGCTCAGGTATTTGGTAACACATTCCCGCTGAGGATGTTATTGATGTTGGATCACTGTCGCTGTCTTTGAAGAGGGTGGGTGTCCGTGTACCCAGCCAGCCTGAACTCTAACATCCTACCCAATGCCAGTATTTCCTAATAAACGACATCTTTTCTCTAGAGAACCACCTAACACGGAGACGCAGGTGGCCGCGCCGTTCATCTCAGGCCTCGGACGGACGCGCCTCCCCGCCCCACCCTCTAATGGAGACCTCCTGGAGGAGGCGGTCTCCATACTCAGTCTCCACAGAGGAGCTCAGTAGCTGGAGAAACAAGCAGTACATTGTTTTAGAAAAACTCCGCTATTGAGAAATCTAGGGAACATTTTCCGTGTTTTAGGAAAAAATCCTCAAATCTCTTACCCTAGCCCATGACTAGCTCAGCTGATTTTTTGTTGTTGTTTTTTTTAAGACGAAAAGGCTTTCTTTGGCTCCTTCCTGCAGCGGTGAGGCTCCCTCCCTGCCGCAGGGACAAAGTGCACCCGCAGTCACATACCTGGTGGCTGGGGATCACAACGGTGTCGTCGATCATGGCGCTGTCCCTCAGGTAGGAGGCGTGGCTCAGGGTGTGCGACCTGTCGGAACTGAAGGACCGGAGGCTGGCAGGTGAGCAGAGGCCGTGATCACGCGCCCACGGTGGGGCAGGGCAGGGAGGAGGGCATGGCGAGCCGAGCAGGAGAGCGAAGAGAGCGTGCAGTTAGCTGCCGGGACCTTCCTGGGGACAGGCCGCGGTGCAGGGAGGACGCGGGCTCTGTGCCACCCGTTCCCGTCACCCCGAGGGAACACACCCTCTCCCCGGCTCTGCCACCCAATGGCAGGGGCCCCAGGGGACCAGGAGTTAGAATCTGACACTCCTAATCTGACTCCTGCTCTCCCCAGACAGGTTTGAGGCCGGCAACTGGCACTCACTAGCCGCTGGCACACAAATTCACGCAGGAAATAACTGCAGGGCTGATCTCCAACATCCGAGCCAAATGTTCATCGCCCTGCAACTGGGAAATATCAGGGGACAGCCAGCCCGAGGCGAGAACAGGGCGACAGGCAGGTTTCCGTGTGCCCTAACCCGTCCGGCGGCGGTGACCGAGGGCCAGGAACCCTGGGAGGCAGGGACGGGGACAGCCGCATGCAGACTTCCTGAGGAAACAGCCCCTGGCTGGGTCCCGCATGGCCACTCAGAGGCCAGCACTGCCCCTCGCATGTCCTGTGCTGCACGCAACGTCGCGGGCGGGCGGGTCGCTGTGCGATGACACAGGCACACAGAAAGCGTTTCTAAGCACCGACCAGACCCAGACACGTCAGCCAGCACAAAGCAACTGCCGGGGGGACTGGGGGAGGCTGGTTCACATGGGCTCAGGCCTGGACAGCAAAGGCTTTTGTGAGAGCTGAGCGTCAGAGCTCTGAGCCACATGCTCCGATGTAGGAGTGAAAGCTGACATTCTCATAGAGGAAGTGACATTCCTTCCCAGCCCACCTGCATGCTCAACTGACCAATGGGTGGATAGCCTCAGTGAGCGAACTTTGGTGCGTGTCAGCCCAGGTCTAAAGATCTACATTCAAAGTATCAGCCCACAGCCCACAGGGGGCTGAGCCATGGTCCCGCGGTGTCTACAGACGCCAAGGCGTGCACCCTCCAGCTGGCAGGTGTGGCCGTGAGGCGTGTGGAATTGTGAACTAAATGTCGAGCTGGCCCACTTATCAGCAACTGTTTTCATTTTGCAACTACACCTAATTTTTAAGCCACACACTGACCTTCACGAGGTGTCAGCTGAGCCAGCCTGTTGTCTCTGAGAAACTGCTGCTGGGCGGTAGTGTGTGCGGGGGGGGGGGGGGGGGGGGGGGCTTCTCCCCACCCTGCTCCAAGCCTTATGCCCGAGCATTACAGGTGCGACGTGACACGAGTCCAAGGAGGGGACTGCCTGACCGAGCGTTTACACCTACAGGGACCGCGTGTTTCCGCTAAGATGGAATCTAGGCCGAGTGTGAGAGGTCCCTCTCTTATGTTTCCCAGGCTCCTGGTGAAGACAGAGGGTCTAGACAGCCCAGGGCAGCAGGGCACCACGGGGCCACTGGGGGCTCATTCCTGGGGGCAGGGCAGCCCCACTTATAGGTGTGCCTTGGGTTTCAACAGTGCACGTTCCATAATGGGGTGCAGGGCACTGTGAGTGACCTTAGCCTGGCCTTGAATTGGGGATGGGATTAAATTACTGGGGGGGCGGGGAGGGTCTTTCATTTCAGCCAATCTTGTCTCCCTTAAGAAACGGAATAACTGTTTTTCTCCTGCTTTAAACTGCAGACACTTAAGCTTCGCATTTGACTCTCCTTGCTCTGGTGAGAAGTGGGCCAAGGGAGAGACAACACAGCGGGCGCCTCCTGAAGTGCCAGGGCCGTCCCTGGGCTCCACCAGCCCCCGGGGCTCCACAGGGCTGACCTGTTCATCCATCATCTCTCTCCACGGCTTTGGACTGCGAAGACCCAGACGGCGACCTCCACGGTTACAGGCACTAGATTTACGTAGGCGGGCAGGGCCCCAGGTTCAGGGCGGAGGCCTGCTCCTCACAGCAGGTGGACACGCCCGCCAGGTAGGACTGGCCCTGACATGCAGCCCTGGGACAGGGGCAACAGGTCAGCAGGGATAGGAGCAGACCCCACGGTAAACAGGGCCTCAACCAGACCTAGTGACGCGGCTGCTGCCATGGTCCAACATAGACAGAGGCAGCTGGGACTGGATTCCACTCCCAGGGACACAGCACCACTGGCTGTCTGTTCACTTTAGGGGTGAGGGGTTAAGGAGCTCATTTGGCCCTTAAGATACGAAGCCACATTCTGCCGTCACCGTGGCCACCTGCCTAACCCAAGGTCAATCTCCCCGCTGGTATGCACCCCAAGAGGAAAGGAATAGAGAGAAGAAAGGAAAGGAAGAGACGAGGTAACACAACCTCAAAAAGAGATTAGGGAAGAGAGAGAGAGAGAGAGAGAGAGAGAGAGAGGGGAGGGGGAGGGGGGGAGGGGGCAGCTGGAAGGAGAATGAGTCCCCTGGAACCATCTGTCTGCATGTCTCTACCTGTGGGATTTTACTCTGGCTCACTCTGCATCCCACAGTGCTAATTGTTATTGAGGCAATGCTTATGGTTTCGAATTGCTCTTTTGTTCTATTTAGTTACAGACGTACTGAAGTGAAATAATGTTAAGTGTTCCGATAGCAGAGAATTATTCTCTCTGAAGGAAAATGACCAGCACAGGAGTCTAGGATAACTCACACCTTTGGCCCAGAAACTCTTCATCTGATCTGAAGCACCACAAACAAGTTAGAAACAATAGAGCAGCCATGTTTTTTGCATTAAGTCAGAGGCCGCAGTCTTCGGTGGGTGAGTCTCCCAGGCCACGGCAGGGAGCCACAGGAGTGGCCATTCCCACCTGCGGGTCGGCTAAGGCGTGCTGAAGGCTTGTTATGACCTAAACGCAGCCTTCCCGCTGGCACGCTGCTTTACAGACACGCATTAGCTTGGATCCAAGTCCCTTCAGTCCGAGAAGGGCAGCGGTGACAAATACGTCTCAGACATTCAGTCATGGTGTCCTCAAGCCCCACTGAAGAAGCAGACACTGACAAGTGTGCATGTGTTCGCTCTCGCCCAGGGAGCAGCTTCCGTGGCTCGCTGCCGGGCAGTGCTTTACACTGAATCTGGGTAGCATTTCAGCGTGAAGCACTAATAAAATAAAACGGAAGCAAAACCCGGTCGACTGTGTTCTCATCGCCGCACATCAAAATTGTGCATCTATTTTTAGTCTTCTGTGCGCCCACAGACACTTCAGGCATCACCATGACCTTTCTATCATCTCAACTGCACACGGGCTAATTGGGTTCCTTGCTGGAGCCACACTAACGCCCCCCAAACACAGGGGGCGCCGTGACAGGTGAATTCATGCCGGGCTTGTTCTAGTTTTCATTCTATTAACACATGTACCTTCCAGCCCAAGCAACTACTCAACTTAATACATAAAAACCCTAATTTGAGAATACACCCACGATTTCAGAATGGAAGCGCCCCTGTGAACACAGCACGCACACGCACATCGAGCGGGGAGCAGGGAAATGGATGGGCCGGGAGGGTTATGCTGCCAGCCACGGGCACCTACCTGGGCACGGCACTACTGGAGGCACCAAACAGAGAAACAACGAGAAGGTAAATGGTTACCGACAAAGGTAACATATTGAATTGTCTAAGCAAAACAAAGAAGCACACAGACAACCGTGAACGGAGCCACTGCCTGCAGTTCCATCCGAGACGGCAGGTGGCGGCCTCCTGCTCTGGAAAAGCAACTGGGGCTGAGACCCCGCCGCCCACCCCGTCCTGACCTGCGGACCCGCGGCAGTCTGAGCAGGATGGGCCAGCCTCAGAGCCCTGCTCGACGGAAAGCATCACTCTATTCCTCCCAACCTGAGTCCTTCCAGAGGACAAGGGATCCACTCGAGCACTTGTTTCTAATAAAAAAGACGAGGCTGAAAAGAAAGACCTCCCGGCTGACAGCACGCCTGTCCATGGACTATTGGGAATGTGCCACAGCCATCAACAACTCACTTAGTAAAACCTGAAGTCTTTAAGAATTCTCAGAACGTGATGTCCGCATCCATCCGCGTGTCAGAGTTCACACGGAGCATGCCCGTGACCAGTCCCTGAGGGCCCCCTCCGGCAGCCTGACCCCAGGACTCCGTCTCATCTTCCTCTGCTCACCCAGCCTGAAGCCCTCCACCAGGGCTGGCCGGGCTCAAATCCACGACTGTGATCACTGAGCTCAGAGTTCGAGTCTTCACACCAGCTCAACCGGCAGCAGCTGCCCGCCGAGTCCTCTGGCACCGCCCCAGTAGGATGGGTCTCATGTCCCACCTCAGAGGGACCCCGCCCGGCATGCAGACGTCACCACCTCCTTCACTGCACTCAGCACCCACTGAGGAACACCATTCCCCCCCAACCAGGAGCCCTGCCTTGGGATCTGACAAGACCTCGAAGCCCTCCCCACCCTCCCTCCCCGCCACCAGGGCCCCCTGGCAAGCCCAGCCTGGCCTCTCCCACCCGCTGGGCTAGGAATTCAGCCATTAGTCATACCTTAGTCACGTCTCTACCTGCAGTGCCCAGGCAAGGCCGGCCCAGGGGGACGCAGGTCACGGGCACCCTGAGCTATTTTAGAAAATGGGGGAGGTGGGGGGGGGGGGGCAGCACTGGCGCGCAGGGAAAATACCCAAGAAAACTCTGTGTCTATCCGTTTAGAAATGCCTCCCCTTTGGGGCATGGATTTCCTGGACTCAACATGCCGGACAGAGCGTAGAAACGCCAAGATGACAGGTGCCAACTGATGACTGAGGAGCAGAGACACTGCGTGCCCTTCGGGCTGACCACATGCACACCCACACCACAGCCCTGCTTCTGATGGGGAGCCGTGTTCTTCCTCAGAACTTAACAGCCGCCGAGTGCGGGCAGCAGCACCCAAAAGCAGCGCTCTCTGGTACTGCAGGCGCCATCACGCCCAGATCGGCCCATCAGCCGGCTCCTGCAGGTCCGGCTCCGAGCGCGGTGCCAGGCCCTGGCGGGTTGTCCTGCCTCCTCTCTCATCGCGTCTCTCTGACCCTCCCTCCAGACAAGCTTTGCTCACAGAAATGACAGCATCCACCAACGCCAGGGCTCAGAGGGCCCACAGGCAGAAATGTCCTTTTTACTGGGCCAGAGGGAGGTGGCCGGTGCCTGAAAACCTCTACTTAAAGGGGGACGTCTCTGCTCCTTATAGCTGCTCGCATTACTATTTAATCGCTCCCAGCCTCAGTTTCCCTTCTTGACATGGGAGGAAGCAGAGAACCCGCTAACGCCAAGGGGGTTTCCTCTGCGTGCCAGCACTGAGCCTGCTCTCCTGTAGCGGAGTGCCCCCTCCCCGCTGGAGTGCCCCGCACGCCGGCTGTACCTGTCGGAGCGCCCGCCCTCCAGGCTGTAGCGCAGGTACGTCAGCCCGTCCAGGAACTGGCTGCTGGGCAGCGAGTCGTCCCCCAGCTCCTTCAGGTCCTCGGGCCGCAGGTACTCCCCGCCGTCCCCCGTCATCGTGTCGTCTCCTGGAAGCACGCGGGAGAATTACTGGCTGAGTGAGGGCAGCATGACGGAGCCCTGCACAGCAGAGGCACGCAGAGCCCGTGTGCCGAAGAGCGTGGGAACGCAGAGCAACTGCGTCCGACCCGCATCCCCACTCCTCACCGAGGAGAAACCACCCCCTGGTTGCAATTCTTTGTTCAGTGTTTTTCCTCATGTCCCTGTCGTGGCAGTGGATTTACAGCCGACGCCAAGTCATCAAGATGCAACAGCAACGCGCCCCTCCCCCCACACACACCAACACAGGCACACAGGACATGCACTGACGCTGCTTGACGGGAAGGACTAACCAGGCCCCAGGGGGCAGAGGCTGCTTCAGGATGGTGCCCACTGGGGGCTTTGGGGAGGGCGGCTGGTTTGGTGATAGGGGCTTTGTAGGGGTGATCAGGTGAGCGCTGAGATTCAATCTGAGCTGAGGAACCACTGAGCATGTCCTTACAGGACAGGCAGACACGGGACAGCAGGCCCCGCGAGCTGCAGGGCTCAGGGCCAGGGCTCAGGGTCCCTGCAGCCACTGAAGCGGAGAGGCTCCCGAGGGCGCTGGCCCCAGAGGAGGGGCGGGTAAATAGGAGCCGCCAAGCTGGTGCTCGTCTGTCGTGACCCCTTCGCAGGTTCCAGCGAAGCTTGTCTGGTGCAGCTCTGGTGCCAGGCGTGGTGGGGGTTCTGGTGAGAAGCGCGTGCGTGAGGGTCAGGGGCCCAGAATGGTGTGAGCGCAAGAGGAACACGGGTCCTTTGAGGGTGCTGTGTGGAATAACTGGGCGAGAGGACACGCTCGTGCTGGTGAGCGAGGCGGCCAAGGAAGGAAGCCGGGATCTGCGCACAGTGACAGGTGGAGCGGCTCAGACATCCATGACAGGCCACAGCCACACCTGCCCCCCGTCCCCTTCCTAACGTGTAAATCGTGACTAGCAGTGCTTTTGTGAGTCAAGTAAGTTGGGAGAAAAAGATTCCAGGATCCACTCTAAGCATTAGCTTCCCTAAACACAGGTGTTGTCTGGTTTGGAAAGAAGCCTCAGTGGTTTTTGGAGAAACATGTGTGAGCTTGTTAACACGTGGGAAGACTTGGTCTGCTCTCCTGATGCAGAAGCGAAGGCGCCAGGGAAGGCGGTCGGTCTGTCGCATAGAAGACGCTGTGCTCTGCGGTCCCTTCAAAGTGGCTGAAAGTCATCTAAACCCAGTCCTAGCTGCCTTAGGACGGCCACGTCACTCCTCGTCTAACACGTTCATCACATCAAAACGTACCTTCACCAACAATTTAACCTACGTTCACTCCAAGCAAACTAACTCAGTTGTTGCTAGCTCAATGTCAACTTATCAAAGGCTTACTGTTTCTCTAAATTCGTATTCTAAGAAGAAATATTACTTTGGAGAAAATACTCATACAGAGGTCACTAGATAATTTAACTATGTTAGTAAGCCTCAATGATAGTTGCGAAATCATTAATAGCAGAAGCAAATCATGGCTTTAACCTTACAAGTTAGTAAAATCCACACTCAAGTGCACAATCTCATCTGTATCACACAATCATCTCACCCATGTCATACCTCCTCCCCGTCTCACACCTCCTCCCCGTCTCACACCCCTCCCCGTCTCACACTATTCTCACCCGTTTCACAGCCCCTCACCTGTCTCACACCACCTCACTTGTATTATACATGCTGTTTCAAAAGGAACAGTTAGTGTTAGGCACCCAGATTTAAATATTAAGCACGTTTGTTTCTATGCAGTTAAGAAAAATTAAAAGCAAAGAAAAGCTTTCACTCCAATAGTTTCCTCTGAAGGTACCTGAGTCACTAAGTACTTCCCCATCAATAACGCGGTCACCAGGCTGCTTAAGAGCTGTTCAAGATATGAATGAAAAAAGTGACCCCACAAAACCCGGGGTGGTGCACACATATGAATGGGGAGGCAGCCAATCAATGATCCTCTCTCCTCGTTGATGTTTCTATTTCTCTCCTTCTCCCTTTCCCTCTGAAACCAATAAAAATCTATTTAAAAAAATGACACAAAACAAACACCCCCCCCCCCATGCTAACAATTGTCCTATCAGGCAGGTATTTTCACAGATGGCCCAGTTCCCAGCCTTTCCCCTTCCCAGCTGGCTACTTACAAGACAAAAAGGATAACACCAGTTGAAAATAGACTAATGGATCCTCCTTCCCCAAATGGCAAAAGTCAATGTAACAAAGGTGAACACATGACTTTCTGGTGAAGCCGCTGGCGCCCACACCCACCGCCCGCTCGGTCCCCAGACAGGCCAGCTCCTGGCGGGACCAGGACAGATGCCCCAGAGAACGCAGAGAAAGCCTCACCCTCTTCGTCAGAGACGTCCAGCACCTCGGTCATGGTCTCGGGAACATTCAGCTTGTGTTTCTCAGTGATCGTCTGCCAAGAGAAAGAGCATTCACGCTTGAAAACAAACTCCCAGCAGACGCCAGGAGCCAGGGGAGCCAGACTCCGCGTCGGCCCAAGGCCTGTCTGTCTGAAGTTCTCTCTCTGCTTTTCTCTCAGGAAAACCCACGTCCTCCTGAGGACAAAAGGCCACGGACCCGCGAGGCTGCACCCGAGAAAGCCCGCTGCTGTGAGCTCCCACTCGAACAGCCAACCCGTTCGCAGCGGCACAAACGGCCCATCGTCCAGAGCCGGCGGCTCCCCGTGCTCAGGGCCTCCCTGAAGTGAACTCCAGAACAGCCTAAAGGAGCAATGAACATATGCGATTTATTAAAAACCAAGCCAGGGGAAAAGACGTGGTGAACCATGTGAAAGATGTAGATCGTCTGGGCAGAAAACGGGTCTTCTGGGCCCAGAGGGGGGGACGCTGGTCCTCTCTGCGCGCCTGGCCTGTGTGTGGCTGGTCAGCCTCCCGGCCACGCTCCAGCTCCCAGCTGTGGGGGGAGGACCAGGCTCCAATGCGAACTTCCCATCCGCTGTGAGGCCTTGCGAGGCCCTGGCTTCTCCGTGCCTCAATTTCTTCATCTGTGAACAGTGATGACAACACTGCTCACCAGTTGTTATGAAGATCAGATGAGGTAACACACACAAGAGCCCTAAGAGCGGCTGGCAGACGTCAGTGCTCACTGCACATCAGCTGGCACGAGCTGTCCTACTGTAACTCGGCACGAAGGTGTCTGGGCGTTTGGTCACTCAGGCACCAGGGAGGCCGAGTGGCCACTGCAGGCCAGGAGCTGTTTCAGACACATCCACTGGCATCGTTACGGGAAGTTTAAAATAACGAATCTCGAAATGAGAGTAGAGCCTTCACCAAAAGCCACTGAGACACAGGAAGCAGGTTGTATAGGGCTTTAAGCTTTGCTACACAGACGTTATTAACCTGGAAAAATTATGTGAAAAGTTTAGAAGGTTCTGTTCTCAGCGTCCTGTCTCTTTAAGATAATGGCACACGGGATAAGCAAGCGTCACAGATGTGGGTGTTCCGGGCGCACAGCAGAGTGCAGGAGTGACGCTCCTCGTGCAGACGGACACCGAGCCTTCTGGGCAACGGACTAGATTCCCAGGAAACGCCCGACTCCGCCTCGAAGGCTGTCGCGGGGGGACAGGCACCACGGCATCGGCGGCGGCGATCCGCTCCCGCTAGGGAAGAGGTGGAACTCGGAACATGGCATCTTCTTAACGGCTGCCAAAGAATTCCCCAGCATTTAAACGACAACACGGCGCCATGTCATGGTGGCGGCTTATTCCGTGCTTTAGGCGCTGCCTATCAGTGGTTACACACAGCATAAAAGAGGGTGGGTCACTTTAAAATTATGCAAATAATACGTAGAACTGACAGCTGACCCACAGTGGCCGCCTGGCTCGCATCTCACGGTTCTCCCAGCCGCCTCGGGAGACTGCCTCCTGCTCCACTGCCAGGAACGGGGCCCGTCCCAACGCCCCTGCCCGCACAGCGACCTCTGGGGCGAGCTGTCCCTGCCCCGGCGCCTCACGGAGCAAAGGTTAGAGAAACAGCCACGATGCCAAACGCCTCCGCCACGCGTGCAGCCGCGACTTCTCCTTCCCCAGCGGCTGCCCGACGCCTCTCCCTGCGCAAGGGCTTCGGGGGAAGACCTCGGAGGGGGCGCAGCTCAGACACCCACGTGGCTGCTCCAGGGCACGTCCCACGAATCCGAGGCGATGTCTGTCGGCTGTGCAGCTGTCATTCAACGCTTCCACTGAAGAGGTGACAGCGTAAAGTTTAATTGAATTTTACTTTACATAATTATTAAGTTGTCTGTGCTGTTTGCCTGTCATGGTGAGTGGCTGTTATTTTAGTGAGTCTGTGGACTTTAGGAAATGATACTGAACATGATGCTTCCGTGAACATACAAAGGGGCCAGGTAAGAGGGTTTTTCTTAAATTGAAAATTAGGTGAAAAATTTTCTTTCGCAAAATTCCTGCGAAGCTCCTTTTAGCAAAGCCAAGCTCGGTGATGCCGGAGGGTTAAGAGCATGGGCTTTGGGATCCGACAAACTCAACTTGAACCCTAGACGCACCCCTGCAGTTCCGGAGCTTTGTTGCGTGTTAGCGTCATCGATGACACTGCTGTGCGGAGGAAGGAATGAAAATCTCTTCCCCAAGAGCAGACGCGCAAGACTCGCGTAACAGAGAGGAGGACGTTCATTTTTCAATGCTTAACCCGATTCCATTTCAGAAAACAATAGACTTGCAATCACGAGAGAAGAACTGACATGAGAGGCAGGAGGGAAGACAGGCCCATCAGCGGTTGCCAACCCTTTGGGCCTCACGGACCATCAGTGATCCACAGACCACTGGTTGGCAGCCACTGCATTAGACCACGCAGCCAGGGAGACCCTTCCCCGCTGACCCCTGCTGGAGCGCATGCCAGGGGCCTTGTATTTGTCAGGGGCTTCTCATCTGCAGGGTCCGGTGGTTTTGCTGGAGCAGCGCTCAGCTCGGCAGCGTGAGAACAGCAGTTACAGAGGAGAAACACAGCCCACAGAATTCTGAGGCTTTCATGCCCCCGAGCTGGGGGTGGGGCTGGCCGTCTATCGGCTCACAGGGGAGCTGAACCCCCCAAGCTGGGTGTGGGGACTGGCTGTCTATCGGCTCACAGGGGAGCTGAGCCCCCCAAGCTGGGTGTGGGGACTGGCCGTCTATTGGCTCACAGGGGAGCTGAGCCCCCCAAGCTGGGGGTGGGTCTGGCCATCTATCGGCTCACAGGGGAGCTGAGCCCCCCAAGCTGGAGGTGGGTCTGGCCGTCTATCGGCTCACAGGGGAGCTGAGCCCCCCAAGCTGGGGGTGGGTCTGGCCGTCTATCGGCTCACAGGGGAGCTGAGTGCCCCGAGCTGGGTGTGGGGCTGGCCGTCTATCGGTTCACAGGGGATCTGAGTGCCCCAAGCTGGGTGTGGGGCTGGCCGTCTATCGGCTCACAGGGGATCTGAGTGCCCCGAGCTGGGTGTGGGGCTGGCCGTCTATCGGCTCACAGGGGATCTGAGCCCCCCAAGCTGGGTGTGGGGCTGGCCGTCTATCGGCTCACAGGGGAGCTGAGTGCCCCGAGCTGGGTGTGGGGACTGGCCGTCTATCGGCTCACAGGGGATCTGAGTGCCCCGAGCTGGGTGTGGGGCTGGCCGTCTATCAGTTCACAGGGGATCTGAGCCCCCCAAGCTGGGTGTGGGGCTGGCCGTCTATCAGTTCACAGGGGATCTGAGCCCCCCAAGCTGGGTGTGGGGCTGGCCGTCTATCGGTTCACAGGGGATCTGAGCCCCCCGAGCTGGGTGTGGGGCTGGCCGTCTATCTGCTCACAGGGGATCTGAGCCCCCCAAGCTGGGTGTGGGGCTGGCCGTCTATCGGCTCACAGGGGATCTGAGCCCCCCAAGCTGGGTGTGGGGCTGGCCGTCTATCTGCTCACAGGGGATCTGAGCCCCCCAAGCTGGGTGTGGGGCTGGCCGTCTATGGGTTCACAGGGGAGCTGAGCCCCCCAAGCTGGGTGTGGGGCTGGCCGTCTATCGGCTCACAGGGGAGCTGAGCCCCCCGAGCTGGGTGTGGGGCTGGCCGTCTATCGGTTCACAGGGGAGCTGAGTGCCCCAAGCTGGGTGTGGGGCTGGCCGTCTATCGGTTCACAGGGGAGCTGAGTGCCCCCAAGCTGGGTGTGGGGCTGGCCGTCTATCGGTTCACAGGGGAGCTGAGTGCCCCCGAGCTGGGTGTGGGGCTGGCCGTCTATCGGTTCACAGGGGATCTGAGCCCCCCAAGCTGGGTGTGGGGCTGGCTGTCTATCGGTTCACAGGGGAGCTGAGTGCCCCCGAGCTGGGTGTGGGGCTGGCCGTCTATCGGTTCACAGGGGATCTGAGCCCCCCAAGCTGGGTGTGGGGCTGGCCGTCTATCGGTTCACAGGGGATCTGAGCCCCCCAAGCTGGGTGTGGGGCTGGCCGTCTATCGGTTCACAGGGGAGCTGAGTGCCCCTGAGCTGGGTGTGGGGCTGGCCATGTGTCTGAGAACCTGTGGCCAGTGTTTAGAACGCCGACTGCCTCGTGATAACGTGGCCTGGGTAGCGTGGGTCTCTCACTCTAAGTGACAGAGCTGCCATCTCTAACAATGGACACGTCTGACCCACCGTTTTGTTGAGCTAAAGAAGAATTTTTTTTCTTAAAGAGCCCATGTGCCACCCTCCAGGCCACCATGTGGAGCTGCTGCTGGGGAGGTGATGTCTTCACCGCTGACCACTCCTCAGCACTGGTTTCTACCCAGAAACCCTTCAAGTGGATTAATGAGGCGAACGGAAGGGGAAAAGCACAAGGTACAGAAAAGGATGCAGGCGCACCCCTCGCTGGGACCTGATGAAGATGCACACATGCCTAAGTGCCCAGAAAAGCAGTCGTCAGAACAGCCGTGCTTGGCCGCCTGGGATGCCCACGCCGCTTCAGAGATGCCCAACAGGACAAGCCTCTCCCTACTGCGGAGGAGACGCGGAGGGAGACGCGCCGGTCTAAGCCGGCAGGGAGCAAGGACGGCCACTACGATTCGCCTCCAGAGCGACTCGGGGTGAGTGCGAGCAGAAACGGGCCTGTGTTTCTCCTATGTAATTTCTTGAAGAAACTTCACTTTGAACGTTTAAAAAGAGCCCGGCCAGGTAGCTCCTTCAGTTGGAGCCTCCTCCAGTACCCCAAAAGGTTGTGGGCTCGATTCCCAGGCAGGGCACCTAGGTTGCAGGTTTGCCCCTGGTCAGGATGTATATGGGAGGCAACTGATCGATGTCTCTCACATCCACGATTCCCTCCCTCTCTCTTCCCCTTTCTCTAAAGTTAATGAAATCATATCCTCGGGTGAGGCTTAAAAAAATCTTTAAAAATACTGTGGCACAGGGCACAGGCTTTAAAACTGCCCGAGAAAACAAGCGGCGTGACCCTCTGCGTCCGCGACATCGCCTCGCGTCCAGAAATAAACCCGACTTCCCCCACATAGGACAGGTCCCGGCAGCTGTGCTCACCCACTGCTGTGTCACGGGGCTGCTGTCGCCCCGGGAACACACTCCTTCCTCCCACCTCCCACCTGACCCATCGTCTGCGCCTGGGTTGTTGCCGGAACCTCCTTCAGTGTTCGTATTGGCCGAGGTTTGACCGCAGGGCCCGGTGCTCTACTGTCCACTTATCCACTTTCCACATAAGCCACCGAGCTGTTGTCTGCAGCTTCAGAAACGTCACCAACAAGTCGATGCAAAGAGACTCGCCCTGGGAGGCACCCAGCTCTGCTCCGCAGGCCCCGGCCCCAGGACCCTCGTCCCTCTCCGAGTCCCCCCAGCCTTGTGGGCAGAGGCCATGCACCCTGCCCTAGCAGGCTGTTTCCCTACTAAGCGCACTCAGTTCGTTTTGAATAAAACATCATCAGAGACAGAGAGGACGTGGGGCAGAACGGGTCTCCGGGGAACCTTCAGATCAGCCGTGAGCACTGCAGGGACCAGGGCCCTCCCGGGGCTGCGTCCCCTCTGCTCAAATGAGAAGTTTGCCAGGACTGTCCCGCCCCTGGGCTGGCAGCTGAGGTCACACCCAACCTCAGCGCGAGGGCAGAGGAGCAGGAAAAAACAAGGAGGCCCTGTGAACTCACTCACACGCTCCACCCGGATGTGCAGGACGCAGGAGCTCGGCCGCTGCCTGTGAGTGCCCTCCCACTGTGGCCCTCAGTTGCTGCCCAGATTCACCCCCAGAAGTTGAGACCGCGGCGCAGGACGTGGGGTGAGGGGAGAGGGCGCGACGGGAAAGCTGAGCTCAAGCAGAAGCCCTGGGCCCCTTACTCACTGTTGTGGTGGTGGTGACCTCTTCCGTCACAACCTTCAGGGTGTCCACCACCGAGATGTAGCCCAGCCGCTTAGCGATGGCCAGGGCCGTGTTGCCATTCTTGAGGGGGGGGGCGGGAGAAGGAGGGAGGGGGAGAGAGAGAGAATGGAGCCAGTGAGCTCACCGCCCCAGGAGCCAGCGCCTCCTCCAACGCCAGGCAGGCGCGGTGGAGGAAATCACTCCTTTTTACCATCACATCTGAATGTGTCTTGGTAACTTCTCCAGCCTGGAGAGCGGGTCACCATGGAAACACAACAAGCTGCATCTGCCCCTCCTCCTAATGAGAAGCACTTGCGGCTTTAACCCCTGGGTGGTCAGCTCTGGGGGCTGGATGGTGCTGGGAAAGGGAGGCCTCCAGACCCAGCCTGGACAGGCCGGTTCAGGGAGGGCAGGCCGCCTCAGGGCACAGTCCCTGTGCGCAGACACCACAGCAAACAGCAGGCCCCTGCACAGGCCTGGGGAGCCCGGGGCGAATCACACCACCTCGTTCACATCTTAATGGCCCCTGTCCCAGGAGCCTGTCTAAGCCAGAGGGAGCGGCGGGCCCAGCCTCCAGCCCCCAAGCCGAGACCGCCAGCCGAGACCGCCAGCCGAGACCGCCAGCCGCACTGAGGCTACCCCAGAGCTGGGGCCTGAGGGTGGAGGCCCATCTCAGGAGGGGTGGGGACTGTGGCACCCTGTTCTGCTCAGCCTGAGCACGGCTGGGGCAGGTGACACACGGACACGTGACACACGGACACTGTCCTACTTCAGACACCACATGAGGAGGCGGGGCTTTGGAAAAGACAGCGATGCCGGGAACAGAGGCAGCAGGAGAAGAGGAGCCCAAACAGGAGGTGGAGGGGCTCACGGAAGAGCCACAGGCTGCGCCTCCAGGCTGCGCAGGACGGTGAGGCTGGGCATCGGGCAGCACCATTCACGGGTCCCCAGGAGTCAGAGGTGACTCAGCAGCACTAACAGAGGGTCCCCCCCACCCCTGGCGTTGGCCGTGGCAGAGGGACCGGGGTACGGGGGGCCTTACCGTGGTGGTGGCATCGGGTCGCGCCCCATGCTGCAGCAGCACATTGATGATGTGTGTGTGGCCCTGCTGTGCAGCCTGGTGCAGGGGCGTGTAGCCACTCTGGGGGGGGGGGGGGGGAAGGGGGGGCGAGGCGGGAAGAGAAGGAGAAGCCGGTTAGCCTGCGTTCAAGGCCATCTTACTTATGACAATGCTGTGTATGGGGGCGGCTGCCCCAGGAGCCTGCTCCCAGCAGCACACACGCCCGCACACCTTCTGCCCCGTGAGTAAAGGGAGACAGGCGACTGGCGTCTCCGACACTGTTCTGAGCCGTGAGCATGGAAACGTGAGCCCGGCCGCCACGGAAGCAGCGGTGGCGAGGAGACGTCCGAGAGCTGCAGGCGTCACCGCCACTGTGCCTGGCCCGGGCGGCTTCCCAACGGGTCACTCAGGGCTCACTTTCCAGACCTCGGTCTGGAAGTTCCTTCCCCTGAGGGGGGTCGTGGGAGGCCCACTCTGACCCACGGTCTTTACATTTTGGTTCTGTCCCCACCTGGCTGGGCTCGCCTCCAAGGAAGTGAGGAGGAGCCATGAGGTGAGTAGGGCCGCCTGGCTCTGGACGTGCTGGTGCAGGGACACGGGCAGAGTAAAGGGACAGCCCCGTGTCGGGGGACACAACTGGGAACGGGGGAAGGACTTTCTTCATGGCCACGCCACAGCCACACCCGTGGAGAAGGTCATGGCAGCCAGAGCTGCGCTACCCTTATCCGCTGGCCTCGCCCGACAGAAGCTTCCACGTCTGTCAGACCCACCCGTGTGCTCTGTGCGCTGCGTAGCCGTCAACCATGAACCTGTCAGAGCGTCTGTCCCTGCGATATGGTGTCACAGCTGCTTCGCGACCAGCACGCAACACGCTTCTCCATCTGCATGTGTCTACTGTGCACACAGGACGCCAGGTCCCCCCTGCTGTCCCTCCACGACCCCTGCTGTCCCTGCACGTCCCCCTGCTGTCCCTCCACGTCCCCCTGCTGTCCCTGCTACATCCCCCGTCACTGTGGCCTTCTGTCTGGGGGCTGTGTCCACACCTGTGACCCACGGTCTGAGCATGGCTGTGTCCATGCATCCCAGGAGTGACCCAGGAACCTGGGAAACTTAACAGTCACAGAGACACTGCTCCCGTCACATCACCTGTGGACACCGAGGAGCCTGGAAGAAGTGAGAGTTCTTCTAAATATCCCTCCTTCCCACCATGTTTACAGATGTGCCCACGGCGCTGTCACCTGGCCAGGCCCAGCAGCACTTGCAGTCATTCCTGGGCTGCACAGGAGACCCCGTGCTACCCAGTCGATGTCGCCACGGCCATGTTCTTGCCCCAGCAGCTCACACTGATTGCGGGACACGGTCTATGTGGGCACTGCGGCCAGAAAGATGACCGTGGAGGTGTTCCCAGGGCTCGGGGCAGCTCACAGGCTTCGCAGACCATTTGGCTGAAGCTCCACCCGCCGCCTTAGGCCCTGCCGGGAGCCCCCAACCAGCACTTCTCCCCACAACCAGCACCCCTGACCTCTGACCTCCCCCCCCCACCCCGCCCAGTTACAAATGAAAACGACAAAACTTTAAATTCTGAGAAGGATCAGATATGCAGTCCACACTATTTTTCTTTCGTTTCTCTGAAGTGACAGGAAAATGCTAGCAAACACTGTCTTTCTTTCTCTGAGACTCTTCACCTTAGAGCAGTGATGGCGAACCTATGACACGCGTGTCAGAGGTGACACACGAACTCATTTTTTTGGTTGATTTTTCTTTGTTAAATGGCATTTAAATACCTACACTAATAAAAGAGAAACATGGTAATTAGCGTACGACCGCTACCCTTCCCATTGGCTAATCAGGGTGATATGCAAATTAACTGTCAGCCAAGATGGCGGCCGGCAGCCAGGCAGCTTGAAACTAACGTGAGGCTTGCTTGCTTCAGTGACGGAGGAAACCAACGTTCCCCTCCTGACTTGCGGCCTCTCAGCTGCAACTCTAAGCAACTACGTTGCAAATATAGAAGATAAACAAAACCCAGAAACCTGCTTTACTCAGCCGGGCTTTAGCCAGCCGGGCCGCAACATTGTATCAAATACAGAAGGTAAACAAAGGCCAAAAACCTGCTTTCAGCAGCCGAGGCCTCAGAGCTAAAGCTGGCCCAGAATAAAAAAAAAAGAAAAGAAAAAAAGGAGCGGTTGGGAGCTTCAGTCACCCATCAGCCTGAAAACGGCCCTCAGCCCCTCCCTCAGCCAGACTGGCCAGGCACCCCATTGGGGACCCCACCCTGATCCAGTACACCCTTCAGGGCAAACCAGCCGGCCCCCACCCATGCACCAGGCCTCTATCCTATATAGTAAAAGGGTAATATGCCTCCCAGCACCAGGATCAGCAGAGCCGCGAGGCCTCCCAGCACCGGGATCAGCGTGACAAGGGGCAGCGCCCAAACCCCCTGATCGCCCTGCGGCTCTGTGTGTTACAGGGTGCAGCGCCCTAACCCCCTGATGGGCCCTGCTCTGTGCCTGATAGGGGGGAGCTCCCCAACCTCCTGATTGCCCTGCGCTCTGTGTGTGACAGGGTGCGGCACCCAACCCCCCACCCCCCCACGGGCCCTGCTCTGTGTGTGACGGGGTAGAGCCATAACCTCCCCATCGGCCCTGCCCTGAGTGTGACAGTGGCGGCGTTCCAACCCCCTGCTCTGTGGGTGATAGAGGGCGGCGCCCCAACCCCCTGATCCGGCCTGCTCTGAGGGGCGGTGCCCCAACCCTCCTGATGGGCCCTGCTCTGTGCATGACAGGGGGCAGCGCCCCAAGCCTCTGCTCAACCCTGCTCTGTGTGTGACAGGGTACGGAGCCCCAACCCCCCTGATGGGCCCTGCTCTGTGCATGACAGGGGGCAGCGCCCCAACCCCCTGATCCGCCCTGCTCTGTGCGTGACAGGGGGTGGCGCCGCAACTTCCCTATCAACCCTGCCTTGAGTGTGACAGGGGGCGGTGCCCCAACCCCCCAATCGGCTGTACCCTGAGTATGACTAGGGGTGGCATCGCAACCTCCAGATCCGCCCTGCTCTGAGCCTGACCAGGGGCTGCACCTAGGGATTGGGCCTGCCCTCTGGCACCCGGGAGCAGGAGTAAGCCAGCAGGTCGTTATCTCCCGAGGGGTCCCAGACTGCGAGAGGGCACAGGCCGGGCTGAGGGACCCCCTCTCTCTCCTGAGTGCACAAATTTTTGTGCACCGGGCCTCTAGTATAAACTAAATATTAAAAATATAAGTCTTTTTTTACTATGGTTGCAAATATCAAAAAATGTGTATATATGCCACGGCACCAGAGTTAAGTTAGGGTTTTTCAAAATGCTGACACGCCAAGCTCAAAAGGTTCGCCATCACTGCCTTGGAGTCTAATTCACAAAGGCTCTACACCCAGCATGTCAAACTTGCAAGCTGCAGGCCTCATTTATTTCGCCCATGTTAGTCTTTGAGTTTGACATGCTTGCCTTACACGTGGACTTCGCAACTCTCTTTGCAAACTATCCTATAATTAATCCAACCTGTTTGCCTCAAGCTGCTGTTACAGGGTTCAATTCTAATTCTAAGTGACGAGCAGTTCCGTGAAAGAAGTTCACTTTGCCAAACGTTTACACCAAGTCACGAAAGTTTCAGTAGTAAAGTCAACATTTGTTTGTATTTTCATAGCAACCAATTTTAGTAACTATGGTTACACGAGACATGAAAAAAGACTTCCTTCTACAAAATGTCATTCTCTGTGAAAAAACCCTGTTTACTAAAAGGACATCCTCTGAAGATGTGTGTTTACCCACTGAAGACACATAAGATTCATTTACTTCCAAAAGCAAATAAAATTGGCATCGATGAGAAAAAACACACAAAAAACAAGAAAACCTGAAAAGTTAAAATGAGAACTTTCTCTCAGCCACAAATCCATCTGAGTGCAGGTCAAACCCCAGGAGGCAAACGCTTCATCGTGGGGCGCCTGGCTTCCCAGCTTACAACCGTGCAGCCAGCACGCCACAACACGCGTGAGCATCACCAGGCGCCGCCGCCGCCGCGAGCGCCCTGACTCCAGCGGGAAGCTCCGCCCACGCGCTCTGTGGGGCTGGCCCAGCAAGCCCGTGCGGCGCTAGCGCCCGTGTGAGGAGCGCTTACAGTCGCCGCACGCCAAGTTCAGGAGAACTCGGAACAGGCAGCGGCTCTTCTTGCTGGAGTCGGACGGAAGGCTCTGAGTTTGCCGGCTGGGGCTCCGCTGGTTGGAGCCCTGTCCTGTGCACAGAAGGGCCACGGAGGCTCCATTCCCGGTCGGGGCAGGGATGGGAGGCAACCAGTCCATGTTTCTCTCTCTCCCTCGTCCTTCCTGTCTCTCTGAATCGATGAGAACATGCCCCGGGGTGAGGATTAAAGGAAACGGGGAAAAGGTGCTGCAGGAAGCATCACGGAGGTGGCTTAGGTGAGTTTAGCCACTTGAGGCGGAGAGCAGCTGAGGAGAGGGAAGGCCATGAGCAGCACCGGGTCCTCGGCGTTGCAGACAGTGAAAGCTGTAGGGAGGGGTGGGTGTCATCTGAAAGTTACGTGAGGTTGGGTCACACTAGGAGGCTAGGAAGAACGGGAGGGGGACTAGGTCCGGGTCAGGGGCACGTGGGAGGAGGAGGCAGCATGGACTCACGTCAGGGGAGGAGTGAGGCTGCTGAGGTCTCAGACATGCGAGCGCGAAGAGCCCGGGCCTGAACCACACACAGTGCCTGGGTCTGAGCTCCGATCCACCGCTCCTGCTCTGTGACCTCAGACAGGTGACGTGAATTCAGTGTAACACAGACGTGGGATCCGACCGGTGTGACTCAGTGGCTGACCTTCAGCCCATGAACCAAGAGGCCCCACTTGAATCCCGTCAGGGCACATGCCCGGGTTGTGGGTCTGATCCCCAGCAGAGGGCGTGCAGGAGGCAGCCGGCAGGTATTGCTCTCTCACTGACTCTCTCTCTCACCTTCGTGAGGAGTCCTTTAAAAAGAGGAAGGCCCTGGGTCTGGGCCCGGCTGCTTCCTCGGGTGAGGGCGGGGCGGGCCAAGACCGGAGCGCAGCGTCCCAGCAGCCCAGGGTGAGGTGCTAGCTCCTCAGCTCCCTGAACTGACACCAGCTCTGAGCCCAGCCTGCAGGCTGTTAAGATTATTCGAACGAAAAGCCTCAGCCCCTTGCACAACCCACACGGTGTGCTCAGAGTCACTTTAGAAAAACTAACATAAAAGCACGTGTGTACGACAGTGAACGCACGGAGCGTCCACGTGGCTGAAACTATCGTGAAAGAAACGAGGTGAGAACAGCATTTACCTTGGTTTTGGCGTTGACATTGGCTCCGTGCTTCAGAAGGAAGTTGACCATTTTCACATTTCCATAGTGACAGGCCACAATTAAAGGAGTGTAACCAAGCTGTAATAACAATAAACAAGCAATGGCCACTCACTAAACACACCTTGGGGCGGGGGGGGGGGGGGGGGAAGGACAGAGTTTCAGTCCCAGCAAGACATTCTACCTGACTGTACAGCTATTTCTTAGTGGGTGTGACACACTCTACCCAACTGCACAGCTATTTCTTAGTGGGTGTGACACACGCCACCCAACTATACAGCTTTACTCAGCGGGTGGGACACACTCTACCCGACTGCACAGCTATTACGTAGTCGGTGTGAGACTGACTGTACAGATATTACTTAGGTGTGCATCCTGTGGACACAAACACGGGGGAGCAGACTGGGAACAAAGGACTTCACACCAGCAAAGGAGACCAAGCATGCATGTGACTTAACCTGAAAAAGAGCTGAGAGGGGCACAGATGGTGGGGTCTGAAAACAGGTGGGAGAGATGAGGCCAGAGAGGGCCAGGCGGGGATGCAGGAAAATGCAGCAGAGGTGGAAGGCGGGGTTCATGGCAAAGTGAGGGTAAAGCCACGTCAGCGAAGGGCATGGAGGGAGTGGGTGCAGGAGAAAGCAGGTCACCGCCTGGCTGAGCAGCAGGGAGCAGGCCGTGTGGGCGGAGCACTGGGATTTCTGCTGCTCTCTCCATCCGGACTTGGTTCTGGGAGCAGGAGGCCCAGCAGTGTGTGAGCAGGACGGACTTGTGAGGAGGGGGACAGGGACGCGGGTGCCCTGATGAGGTGGCTGGGAGTCACCCAGGGCGGGACCCGCCACAGTGACAGGAGCCTGTACCTTCGTGTGGGCATCCTGGTCCGCCCCGTGCCTGACGAGAATGTCAGCGACGTTCACTTTGTCCTCCTGGGCTGCGAGGTGCAAGGCTGTGAGTCCGCTCTGCAGAGAGAATGGGAGCGGCGGGTACAGGGGAGAAGATGCACTGATCGTCTGTAATATCCCATCTTGAAAACAGTCCTGCAATTACAGCTTCTCCCTGGAAACCACATCTTTTGAAATTGAAGACAAACCCCCTAAGTTATGGCCACTTTCCACTCAAGGCAGGTCCTCTGCTCCCCAACACTGTCAGCCAATCGTTTTCTCTGTTGGGCACTTACATCATGACCTGCGACATTAAAACAAGTCAGCGAAGGTGCTCCCAGGAACACGCCCTTCAGCCATCTGTGCCTCTGGCTGAGTCCATTTATTCACTTAAGTAACTGGCCCACCAGCCACCACTTCTACCTGATAAGCACGGCAACAGTCTGCCTTTCCCTCAATAAATCATCACATCGGCGCACAAATGTCATTACAGGAATGAGCTCAGCATGGCTTTCTCCAGCCCAAAGGCAGGGCACTGCTGTCTAGGGTCCTCCAGGGGCTAAATTAGAGGTGGCCCCATCGTTTGTACACAGCACCATCAATTGGCCAGCTTTACGTAGAATGCCTGGCGTGTGAGCACCAGCGATGGCTTTAACCGGATGCCAGCGGAGCACTGCTCACAGTCAGTCAGGCACAGGGCCCAGGGCCGGAGGGGAGAGGCTCAGTCCGTCTCTGCCACAGTCTGGCAGCCTCCACACGGGGGAAGGAGCTCCCATCGAGATAGGCATTTAAAGAGCACTTTTTTTCCAGAGAAGAAGGAAGAAAAAGAGAGCTAGGATCATCAGCCATGAGAGCGAATCACTGACCAGCTGCCTCCTGCCCGGCCCTCACTGGGGATCAAGCCCACAATCCAGGCAGGTGCCCTGATTTGAACTGTGAGCTCCTGGTTCCTAGGTCGGTGCTCAACCACTGAGCCACGCTGGCCGGGCAAAGGGCATCTTTAAAAGCTGAATCACTAGTCTGTCACAGGTGTTTTTGAGTACCATTCACATGCCAGGAATTGAGCCTATCAGTGGGCAGTTCCTGCCCCACAGCGTCCTGTGCAGTGCAGTCTCCGTTCCGCCTCTCCCCCGCTCAGACAGAAGCAGCGGAGCGGGGTCACCCTGGAGCCGGCAGCTCTCGCCCATGCACACCCAGTTAAAACCGGCAGGCCTGTCTCCACAGCCAGGCGAGGCCAGGGCGGCTAAGCCATGTCTCCAAAACCCGTGATCTCCAGCCACGGGCTCCTCAGGGGCAAACGTGTACGTGTAAAAGTCACGTCTGCATACTGGATCATGTATTGTCCCTGACCCTCATTCTATTTTTCTTGTTGCTGTTAATCGTCACCCAAGGATATTTTCCTATTGGTTTTTAGAGAGAGTGGAAGGGAGGGGGAGAAACACAGAGAGAGAAACATCACTGGTTGCCTCCCACACATGCTGCGACCAGGGCAGGGATCGAGCCCGAAACCGAGGTTCATGCCCTTGACTGGAACCGAACCTGGGACCCTTCAGTTCACAGGCCAACACTACCCACCGAGCCAAACCGGCTAGAGCCCAACTCTTATTCTTGTGCAGTTACTGTGTGTGTCCACAGGCCATTCTCCGGGAAAGGCTGAGATGACTGGGCTGCTTTATCACAGACAGCGATTCCCTGACCACCACCCACGCCAGGCGAAGTGGGCTCAGGACCTGCGTTCCACTGTGTCCCTGCCCCATGCACAGGGCTCCTGAGGCTCAGGGCTGGACAGTGACATGGGCAGTGGGCATGGACCAGCAGGCAGATGGCCCCAGATGGCACCACCACCTTCCTCCAGGCTTTGGAGTTAGGACTGCAGGCAGAACGAGCAGGCAGGACAGAGCGTGGACGGCCCGAACCCTGGGCCTCTGGGAGTGACCGCACGCTCAGAGGGGCACAGAAGGCAGCTCCCAGAGGGACGGACTGTAACGGGCTCACAGGAAAAGGCAGGGCGCGAGGACGTACCGCAATCTGTGTGCCTGTCCTGGCTCCGTGGTCTCCCGGCCCCGCGGCCAGTCCTCAGCTGCCCTGGAATCCGTCACAGGCCCGCCTCCCTTACAACCCCTCGCTCTGTCCATGTCCGCACAGACGACTTCTCCGTTCACTCATCCAAAAGGCTAGTGGCCGAACCCAGAGACAAAGCGAATACCTTGGTCGACGTGTGGACGTCGGCGCCCTTGTCCAGGAGCGAGGTGACCATGTCCGCGTGCCCCTCCTGGGAGGCCAGGTGCAGCGGGGTCACGCCCTGCTTGGTCACCACATTGGTCTCAGCCCCGTAGCTGAGGAGCGTGGATGCAATCTGCGTCTGGTTCTTCTTGGCGGCGATGTGCAGGGGAGTGTAGCCATTCTGCAAAGAGTGAGAGGAACGGGGTGAGCTCAGCTGCTGCCCTGGGGGACGCACATCTCTGGAGGCGGCCGACAGAAGAGCTAGAAGCCACCGTATGATGGTCAATGCAAGTCCCCACCCAACACCAGAGTCGCTGAAGCGGTGTTGCAGGGCACCGCAGGGTAAAGGGAGGGACATGGGAGCCCCAAACCTCCAAACCCGCCCTCGGACACGGTCCCTCCTGAAGAGCAGCCTGAGGGGGGCCGGTGCCCTGTGCACGCCCCCCCCAACACCAGAGGTTCCAGGCCTCCCTGCTCTCCTCCCCCCAGGCCAGCCCTCCCCCCTCAGCCTCCCTGGCAGGACCTGGTTTCCAAGCCTCTGCACTGGGGGGGTCGTCCTGGACCAGCCAGTCAGGCTGCCCTTGGACCCGCCTGCGGGACCCAGCAGCACGCACACACGCACACAGGCACGCATGCACGCACAGGCACGCACATACATGCATACACGTGCACACACGTGCACACACGCAGACACATGTGCACACACGCACACACAGACATACACGCACACACATGCACACATACACACGCACGCAGCACTACCAGCACAACCGCGTGGAGCTCCTGCAGGGTCCTGTTCCCACCTCCTGCCCACATGCTGGGCGTTTGCACGCCTTCCTCACTCAGAGGCCACCCCAGGTTCCGGCCCCGGGCCGGGGTCCCGGCAGCAGGCAGCCCCGCGCCTCACCTTGGCCGTGGCGTGCGGGGACGCGCCTCGCTCCAGCAGCAGCACGGCCACGTCCTGGTGGTCATAGTGGGCGGCCACGTGCAGCGGGGTCAGGCCGTTCTGCAAGGGCGGGGGGGGGGGGTCCCGGTGAGCGAGTGACCGGGGCGGGGCGCGGGTCCGTCCGAGCGCATCGGTTCCCACCAGCAGCGGGAGCCCAGGGGTCAGGGCCCAGCTGCCCGCGGGCTTCCCTCCGGGGCCCGCCCACCGGAACCCAACCCACCGGGAGGGCCGCGCTCGCAGGTCTCCACCCGCTGGGACCAGGGCGCGGCGCGGCCGTGGGGGTGAGGACAGGGGCGTACCTTCCCCGCCGAGTCGGCCGCCACGCGCCGGTGCAGCAGCAGCTTGGCCACGTCCAGGCTGCCGTACTTGGCGGCCACGTGCAGCGGGGTGAAGCCTTTCTGAAAGGGAACGGGGAGCGGCGCTCACCTTCCGACCGCCCGCCCGGGAACACGCGGGGCCGACGGGGTGACGCTGGCCTCCCGGGCGGACAGCAGGACGGGGAGTGTGAGCGCGGCGGCGGAAAGGGACTCCGTGGGGAGCCCGCCCCCCGTGAAACTCCTCTGGGAAAGGCCCCGCTCCCCACGGGCACGGGCTGTTTGCACGCGCTGCTGCCCCAGGCCCTGCTCCCTCCGTCTCTATGCGGACGCCAGGCCTGCGTGTCAGCGCCTCTGTAGTTCCCACGCGTCCCCGACTCAGAGCGCAGGGCGGAGGGTCCCACCGCCACCTCCGCTCCATCGTCTCGGCCGCAAAGGATCGCCCACGCTGTCCCGGCACTCCGTGGCGAGGGCGGCCCGGACAGCGAGGGGGCGGCCTGTGCTCCTCCCCCACGTAGCACGTCCCCACGCAGCACGCCCCCACGCAGCACGTCCCCACGTAGCACGCCCCCACGCAGCACGCCCCCACGTAGCACGCCCCCCCCACGCAGCACGCCCCCACGTAGCACGCCCCCCCCACGCACAGCAGGTTCCCCCGATGCAGCACGTCCCCCACGCAGCACGTCCCCTCACGTAGCACGTTCCCCCTCACGCTGCACGTCCCCCACGCAGCACGTCCCCTCACCTAGCACGTCCCCCACGCTGCACGTCCCTCACATAGCACGTCCCCCACGCAGCACGTCCCTCACATAGCACGTTCCCCCTCACGCTGCACGTCCCCCACGCAGCACGTCCCCTCACCTAGCACGTTCCCCCACGTAGCACGTCCCCTCACGTGGCACGTTCTCCCCCACGCAGCACGTCCCTCACATAGCACGTCCCCCACGCAGCACGTCCCTCACATAGCACGTCCCCCACGCAGCACGTCCCCCACGCAGCACGTCCCCTCACCTAGCACGTTCCCCCACGTAGCACGTCCCTCACATAGCACGTCCCCCACGCAGCACGTCCCCTCACCTAGCACGTTCCCCCACGCAGCACGTCCCTCACATAGCACGTCCCCCACGCAGCACGTCCCTCACATAGCACGTCCCCTCGCGCAGCACGTCCCCCACGCAGCACGTCCCCTCACCTAGCACGTTCCCCCACGTAGCACGTCCCCTCACGTGGCACGTTCTCCCCCACGTGGCACGTTCTCCCCCACGCAGCACGTCCCCCACGCAGCACGTCCCCTCGGGCAGCACGTCCCCTTCACAGGTCACCACACGCGCTGTTTCCGAGGAGGAGGCCGTCCTCCTTGCGCTTCTTTGAGAACCGGGGGCGCTGGCAGGGCGTTGGAGGAGCGTGAACCCCGCCTTTCCGCGGGCCCACATGGGAGGCGTCCTCGTTCCTGCCGGAGCGCGCGGTCCACGGAGCGCCATCTCCCCGGCACCCTCAGGGCCGGCGGCGCCGGGGAAGCTCCGGGGTCCGGCCCGGCTGGGAGGCCCCGGGATGCGGGAACTGACTGGACGAAGCTGCAGGAGCCTCCGCTGCGGACTGGGCGGGCGCTGGAGGGCGCCTCGGCCCCGCGGACCCCGGCAGGGCGCACCCCCACCCCTCCCCCGACCCCCTTGGCCGGGCTGCGCTCCCTGCTTCCGGGCTGGATCCCACCGCCGCCTCCTGATGAGACCATCGCCCGGCGGTAGGTTGTCATTTCTAGTCGTATATGTTGCTCAGTTTCGGATTTTTTTTAAAAAATTTTTTTGAAAGCCCTTTGAACTCTCCGGGTTTGAAGAATCAGCTGTTTCTTCCGCGCAGGCGCGAGGGTCCGAGGGGCAGCGCCCACGCCCATCCTCCCATCCGTGCGGGACATGTGCACGCGTCGCTCAGAAGCCGCGTCCCTCCCGCACTCGGGGCGGTGTTCAGCCTGCAGACACCCCCCTGCTGTGGGCGTCCCCGTCTGCTCCCCACCCCTCGGCGATAGTCCCCTCTGGACTCCGAGGAGCTGGGCGGGCTCAGTCCCCTCCAAGCTGGGCATTTCCAACCGGATGCATCGGGAGAGGACATCCCTTGGCCCAGCCCAGGGTGAAGGCCGGTGCGTGCAGGCCGGTCACCCACGTCCTGGGTTGGGGGGCAGCGACGTGACGTCAGAACGCGGCTCTGCAGGCGGGCCTGAGACCCGAGCTCCGCGCCGGCGGCGGGAGTGGGCGGAAGCCGAGAGCAGCGCGCAGGGCACATGCAGCGACCTGAGCTCAGGAGGCGCCAACCCCCTCGCCAGTGCGGGACGCCCGGCCGATGCTGCCGTCTCCTCCTCGGGAGCCACCTGGCTCCGTGCGCCTGGGGGTCTCACTCTTTTCCTCTTGGGACACGGCCTGGGTTTGCTCTCGGAAGGAGGGAAGGTGCCCGGCTCGATGGGCACCTTCTCGGTTCGCGCCCCAGGGGCCGCCTGGAAGCAGCACAGGCCTCCGCTGGAAAGCAGGGCCTCCTCCTACTGCCGAGAGGACACGACCCTCCCAGCGCCCTCCGACCGCCAGGAAACGGCTCTCCACCGACGCAAAGAGCGGGACCGCGCAGGCCCGAGAGACCGACCCGCTGGGCAGCGTCCGTGGCAGAGAAGGGGGAGCTGGTGGGTTCCTGCCGCCGCAGCCACCCTTACCTTGGTAGCTAAGGAGTGGGCAGCCCCGGCCTCCAGGAGGACCGAGGCCACGTCCACCTGGCCTTCGCGGGCGGAGATGTGCAGGGGCGTGTACCCGTTGGTGGTGGCCGCGTCCGGGTGCGCCATGTGCTGGAGCAGCAGCTGCACGATCTCCGTCTTGCCCAGGCGCGAGGCGATGTGCAGAGGCGTCTGCTCCTCCTGCAACGAAAGGCAGGTCAAAGGTCAGTGCCCGGGCAGCCCCGTGCCACCTGTTCCTCCTGCAACCCAAGGCAGGTCAAAGGTCAGTGCCCGGGCAGCCCAGTGCCACCTGTTCCTCCTGCAACCCAAGGCAGGTCAAAGGTCAGTGCCCGGGCAGCCCAGTGCCACCTGTTCCTCCTGCAACCCAAGGCAGGTCAAAGGTCAGTGCCCGGGCAGCCCCGTGCCACCTGTTCCTCCTGCAACCCAAGGCAGGTCAGAGGTCAGTGCCTGGGCAGCCCTAATGCCGCCGCTATCATTTGCATCATGGTTTCCTTTTTCTGGGAGCCCCTAGGCAGAAGGAAATATTACTACCCTGGCCGCAGTTATTTTATATTTTCCTACGAGGTGACCTGTGTGGTCACAGGTTCTTCCTTAGCTTTTACTGTTGGAGGGAAGGGGATCTAGAAGAGGGTGCAGGGGATAAATGGTGAGGGAAGGAGACCTGACCTGGTGTGGTGACACACAGTACAATATACAGATGACGCCCCATAGAATTGTACACCGGAAACGTGTAATTTTATTAATGCCATCCCCATAAATTCAACAAGATAAATAAGTTAATCGGTTAGTTAATTAAAGTATGTACTTCCCTCATCTTGGCCGTGGTTCTCTAAGCACACCCACAGGCCAGGCTTCAGCCTCATTCACATTTAAATAGAAACCAACCCTTGGTTCTGAATAAGAAAGAAATCGCACCCAGAAGCCCTAAGACCTAGATTCCCATCCGGAGGTTTCACTAGGAGAAGGTGCTGATTGCCTGGGAACCAGGTCAAGAGAAAGCCGAGGGATGCTGGGAAACCGGCTCTCCCTCCGCCCGGCAAGCCAAGGCCACACGCGGTCCTGGCTTCAAGGAGAGGCTGAGGATAGAGGGGACATTGTAAGCGGATCTGTGGAAATGTCCCAGGACGCGGTGCAGGTCCGGGACTGGCATCCCGATGCAAACGGGAGCTCGGGCAGGAAGGAAACAGGCTGACGCAAGCCAAGTGCGCCCCCAGGAAGCCGAGGACGGGGCTGGTGTGAGGACGCAGGACACGCTGCGGAGGCTCCAGAAACCCCTGGCTCTCGGGTGTGGTCAGGAAAATAGGTTTAGTGTTAAGGGAACCAGACCAAACTGTTCTCTTGTGAAAAGAAAGGGCGGGTAGCCTCGGTGATGGGATGAGGTCTGTGCACACTGGCCAAGGGCACGCCAGTCAAAGAGGAGGGAGAAGCTGGGCCCCGAGCTGAGGACACACGGAGAGACGGAATCGGAGCTCACAGGATGCCGCCCCTCCCAGGGGTGCGAGGATCTACAGGAAGACGGCAGACAGGACTGTGTGGACCTCGGTGGTGAGAGGTGGGCATAACGGGCATTTCATGGACCTGTGCCCTCCATGAGCTGCTTCCTGTGAGATGCACCTGGCCCTGTCCTCAAAGCAGGCCCGAGAGGAAGCACAGCACCCACCATCAGGCCGTTTTCCAGAGGAGAAGCTTAAGAGGAATTAAATGAGTCTCCAAGATTACCCACGGTCCCTCAGCTACTCACCAGGACAGACAGACAGAAATGCTACAGTATTTCCAAGAAAAGACCCCGAGGCCAGTGGTTTTGAGGAAGGATTTCAGGTGGCACCAAAAAGGCAAGAATAACAGGTTAAATAGGCAACATAAAAAATTGGCAGAGATACAGAAAAAGAGCAAACGTCTATTAAAAATAAAACACATTAAAATTTGAAAATAGATATAATGAGTTTTTATTTTGAGAGATAATGGGAAACCCTGTTATGTTTACATAAGGACCACAAAATAGTGATTAGGCATGTTATCACAATTTCTGGTAAAAATAGTGAAGTTCATGCTCCTCAAGTTGCACTGACTGACCATAAAGTTTCTGTAAAAATAGCCGCGTGCAGGTGGCCATCCCATGAAGGAGGACAGGCAGCCACGGAGGGTGTTAGGGCAGGAGTGACTCCGTGTGACACCGTGGGAGGGACATGTCCAAACCCACAGACTGCCCAGCACCCTGATGCAAACAGTGACTCTGGCTGACGACGCCGTGTCCACGGGGGCCATGAGCTGTGACAAGTGCACCGTGTGGTGGGGTTGCTGATATGTGTGTGTGTGTGGGGGGGGTCATTTAGGAAATCTCTGTACCTTCCACTCAATTTTGGTATAAAACTAAAGTTGCTCTAAAAATAGTCTTTAAGGAAAAACAAAACCGAAAAATGTCAAGGCAGGGAAGAATACAGTTTGAATAACAAAATCTCTAAACATTTAAGAGCAAAGTACCAGTGATGGTACCAAAGATCATCAATTGCACTAACTTGTGCGATGGAGAGAAAGGCGATACAATCCAAAGACAAAGCACTGTCCAGGCTGCCCACCTACCCCGGTTCTGGGGGAAAACGCAGTAAAAACGCGGAGTCAGAGGATGTAAGAAAGACTGGGAGAAGCATTAGGGTTTCCAAGTCTAACCCTCGGAACTAACAGCAAAGACTGAACATGGAACGAGATCTGAGAGACCTCGGCGGGTGCTTCGTTCCAACAGGACAGTTTCTAAAGCGAGTCAGGCGGCCCATTCGAGCTGAGGTGTGTCAGACGGTGAAGAAGGAAAGTGGCCCAGCCAGTGTGGCCCAGTGGTTGAGCATCGACCTATGAACCAGGAGGTCACAGTTCGATTCCCAGTCAGGGCACAAGCCCAGGTTGTGGGCTCAATCCCCAGTGTCGGGCATGAAGGAGGCAGCTGATCCATGATTCTCTCTGATGATTGATGTTTCTATTGTGAAGGAAAACCCCTATTCTGTAAAACTACTGTTTGGAATTCCCTGCTATTCTTTGGACGGCCTCTTATTCTGGAAAAAATAACTTTGCTTTCTAGCCTGCTTGAATAATGGGGGAGATAAACTTAGCTGTCTGACCTTGTAGGCCAGAGACTAGATACACCCAATGCCATGCCAGGTGCATTTTTTAATTGGATAGAACTGTATAGTTTTCAAGGCCGCTGCCAGCAAGCGCACAAAGGGCTGGCTCTTCTATAAAAAGGGAAGTTCTGCTTGTAGCTTGGCTTAGAATTTGGATTAGTTTCCCTAAGCCTGCTGCGGTGAATAAAGTGTAACTCCAAACTCTCAGAGTGCTGTTTGGTTCTTGTCCGGTTTTTCTGTAACACTATCTCTCTCCCTCTCCCTCCCACTCTGGAACCACTATAGATAGATAGATAGATAGATAGATAGATAGATAGATAGATAAACAGATACAGATATAGATATAGATATAGATATGTATTTTTCTTTAAGAAGAGAAAGTGACTAAATACTCGCCAGGAACCCCAGAGATACTGGTGTGACAGTCGGCAGGACAGCACGGAAGAGAGAGGGACAAACACTGCCAATGAGGCCAGTGTGAGGAAGAAGGTGGGACAGCAGCAGTCGGAAGGAACTTTAAGGAAGAGACATCAGCCTGGCGGGGGATGGGGGGTTAGGAACAATGAGAAACGGGGAAATCCAACAGAACAGTGTCTGGGCCCAGGTTCTTCTGTTGCTGACAGTGGAGGGAAGACAGAGAAGGAAAGCCGGAGTAAGGAGGGGTGACCTCATCACAGGGGAGCACGGCCCCCCTTGACTGTAACCCGTTTCTAAGTAACGGGAAGGCCTGTCTGTGAACATTAACATTGGTGGGAAGAAATGGGTGAGATGTGTGCATACCTCCACAGCAGCAGATTGTAAATGCAAATGCGTGGAAACCAGCAGATGTGTGTGCAAGGGCTCTCACAAGGCAACATTATTTAAATGGCGGCGGGGGTTGCGTTTCTTAGATACTGAATTGCACATTTCTCCAAATGCTGACGCTTCTGAAATGGGGGCATCCCCACTGCCCGCACTCGCTGCTCGCTTCCTTCCGGCCTGATGCGCGCGCAGGTCCTGAGGGGTGCCCCCCTGGAGGGATGGGTCCAGGCCCAGCACCTACCCTTGGAGGGGCCCAGCCCCAGCACCTACCCGGGCTCTGGCGTCGACCAGGGCGCCGTTGCGCAGCAGGCATCGCACCACCTCCACCTGGCCCGCCCGGGCTGCCATGTGCAGTGCCGTCTCCCCACGCTGCCGAGACAAGACGTCAGGGTCAGTGAGCCCATGCTCAGGAGGCAGAGAATAAAACATGCCTTTCTGTGACATTCAGCAATAAACCCAAAGTTCAGGAAACCTACGAAAAGGCATAATCACTCCACTGTTACTCAGTCTGGGAAACCACGGCTTTGTGTCTTCTCTATCTTCATACGGATAAAACCAGATCCTTTGCCCTTTCAGTCCATAATGAGCCAACAAACTTACCCAAATGCCCAGGACTCCGGGGCTGAGTGTTGTAAGCAACCTGGCAGGATTTAAATTTGTGATGTGTCGTTTTTCTTCAACCTAAAACCTGTCATGATCACACTCCACTAGTGATACCAACGTGGTCACATTTTAGTGAGAGGAAGTCCAGATGCTGCAGGTCGAGGCAGCAACTCCAACCATCACTCCATCTGCACCACCCGTACGTCCTTCCTTCCCAGAGTTCAAAGTTAATATCCGAAATAAACTGCTAGTTTTCACCTGATTGGGTTAGGAGACCTGACAGTGACTGTTTGTACCAAATCTGACCTGCCCAGGAGGTTCCCTGCCTTTTAGTAATGAGCCATTTAATGACAAGTCACTGGAGAAACCTGCTGGGGTGGCAGAGCCGTCCACGGGTGGGCAGCGCTGGGCATAGGCCTCGCACATCCCGGGCCCATCGACCGCCACACTGATCAGGAAATGGCAGCTTAGAGGTTAGAGAATTTTCTCACTGGGAAGCCTGTTCATTACTGACTAAAAGCAAGGTTTTGCCTTTTTTTTAAAAAAGAGCCTATTTTAAAACCACCTGCAGCTCTGCACACGGCAAACTTTCAGCCATAAAGTTTGGCCATAAAAGAGCACGGCACTGAACTGGCAGTGAGCACTGAGTCGCCAGCCCTAGAAAGAAGGCTGATGTAGCCACGGGAAGTAAGTAAGCCGATCTCAAGGTTGGTCATGGTGAGGGGAGTCGGACAAATCCGAGGAGTGCTTTCTTCTCTTTCCTTGCGCAGGAAACCCTTCAACCTAGAGCAGTGGTCGGCAAACTCATTAGTCAACAGAGCCAAATATCAACAGTACAACGATTGAAATTTCTTTTGAGAGCCAAATTTTTTAAACTTAAACTATATAGGTAGGTACATTGCTACTAACTTAATTAGGGTGCTCCCAAGGCTTAGGAAGAACCACACTCAAGGGGCCAAAGAGCCACATGTGGCTCGTGAGCCGCAGTTTGCCGACCACGGACCTAGAGGATATAAGGCAGTGGTTCTCAACCTTCCTAATGCCGCGACCCTTTAATACAGTTCCTCATGTTGTGGTGACCCCCAATTTCATTGTTGCAAATTGAACATAATTAAAGCATAGTGACTAATCACAAAAACAATATGTAATTATATATGTGTTTTCCAATGGTCTTAGGCGACCCCTGTGAAAGGGTCATTGGACCCCCAAAGGGGTCGCGACCCACAGGTTGAGAACCGCTGATTTAAGGTGAACTTTGGGTTCTATTCCCAGTAATTGGACACTCCATTCCTTATAATGTTGTGGAAATCCATTTCAAATGAGTTGACTTTGAAAGCATTAAACTGGACGTCTACTCTAATGTTTTCTTTTATGAATGGCTCTCTGGCCCTCCAGTGCCCTCATGTTCTGGTGATATACTGGACTTTGGAGAGCAAGCGTGCCGGGAGCATCCTGTTTTATAGACGATGTGCGATTGGGACAGCAACACTGTCTTCGGGCTTAGGATGTGCGGCGAGACCTTTCCTCTCCGACAACCACCATTTCTCACTTGTCTTCTTTGTCAGGTCAAGCCTGTCTCTAAACAGAGGAAGCTGAGGTCTCCTAACTGTTAAACACACACACCCCTCCCATCTCCATCCTATTTCTAGGTCAGATAAAAGCATAGCCATCTTGCTAATGGTGGTAGACACAGAGACAAGATTGGATTTCTGTAACAGGAGTTAAGCCAGAGAGGCTCCAGAGCATCTACTCAACAATGAGCATATGTTCACTTCATAAGCCAAGATTTGTCAGTTTACTAACAAGATGGAAAATGCTAGTCTTACTATTTCCAATACCCTCATCTTACCTAATAATAGACAAACATGGTAATTGACCATACCTCCGCTACACTTCCCATTGGCTAATCAGCAGGATATGCAAATTAACTGCCAACAAAGATGGTGGCCAGCAGCCACGCAGCTGAAGCGAGCAGGAGGCTTGCTTGCTCCAGTGATGGAGGAAGCCAAGCTTCCTCCCTGCTGCGGCCCAGCTCTAAGATCCGAAAGCAACAATGTTTCAATTATAGAAGCTAAACAAACCCCAGATACCTGCTTTCAGCAGGCCGCGGGCTCAGAGCTGGAGCGCAGGAGGCTTTCCCTCCCACCCACTCTGGCCGGCTGTAAGCTCCTCTCAGGCAACAAGGTTTCAATTATAGAAGCTAAACAAACCCCAGACACCTGCTTACAGCTGGCCGTGGCCACGGAGCTGGAGCCTTGGGTTGCCCCTGGTGATGGAGGAAGCCAAGCCCTGGCCCCAGGCTACAAAATTTCAATTATAGAAGCTAAATAAATCCCAGGAAAAAAGGAAAGGCTGGGTGCTTCTGTCACTGGGGAGGCTTGGCCAGCCTGAAAATGGCCCTCAGCCCTTCACCCAGACTGGCCAGGCACCCCCACCCTGAAGGGCAAACCAGCCGGCCCCCACCCATGCACCAGGCCTCTATCCTATATAATAAAAGGGTAACATGCAAACTGACCCTAACAGCAGAAAGACTGGGAATGACTGGTCACTATGACACACACTGGTCACCAGGGGGCAGACGCTCAATGCAGGAGCTGCCCTCTAGTGGTCAGTGCGCTCCCACAGAGGGAGCTCTGCTCAGCCACAAGCCAGGCTGACGGCTGCCAGTACAGCAATGGTGGTGGGAGCCTCTGCTGACTGCAGCTTAGGCCTGCTCCCCGCTGGCAAATGAACATCCCCCAAGGGCTCCCGGGCTGCCAGAGGGATGTCTGATTGCCAGCTTAGGCCCAATCCCCCAGGGAGTGGGCCCAAACCAGCAGTGGTCATCCCCCAAGGAGTTCCAGACTGCGAGAGGGCACAGGCCGGGCTGAGGGACCCCCCCCCCCCGCCCCGTGCACAAAGTTTTGTGCACCGGGCGTCTAGTTTAATAATAAAACTAGTGGCTCAGTATACAAATTCATGCATGGATGGGGTCCAGCCGGCCTGGCCCCAATCAGGGACCAATTGGGGCCAGGCCAGCCAGGGGGGAGGGGCCATGGGTAATTGGCTGGCAGGTCCCACCCCCAATTGGGGTGGGGGAGCAGGTGCCGAACGGAGGCTAGCAGCCGGGGGGAGAGGCCGTGGGTAATTGGCTGGCGGGTCCCACCCCCGATTGGGGTGGGGGAGCAGATTGGGGACAGGGCCGATCGGGGGCTAGCAGCCGGGGGGAGAGGCTGTGGGTGGTTGGCTGGCCTGCCCTGCCCCTGATCGGGGGGGGGGGGGGGCAATCAGGGGCAGAGCTAGCGGGGGGGGGCATAGGCCAATCAGAATGGTGGGGACCCATCAGGGATGGGGCCAGCCAGGGGGAGGGGCCACAGGTGGTTGGCCAGCTGGCCCTGCCCCTAATCGGGATGGGGGGGGTCCAATCTGGGGTGGGGTCAGGCAGGGGGAGGGGCTGCAGGAGGTTCGTAGGCCAGCCTCAACCCCTATTGGTGTAAGGGGGGTGATTGGGGGTGGGGCCAGCTGGGGGGAGGGGCTGCAGGAGGTTAGCCAGCTGGCCCCACCCCCTATTGGGGTAGAGGAGGGGGCAATTGGGGGTGGGCTGGCCAGGGGAAGGGGTCTCGGGAGGTTGGCCACCGGCCCCACCCACAATCAGGCCAGTTTGCTGGCCACAGTGGGCATCATAGCAACCGGTTCCGGTCGTTACAGTGTTCCAGTCGCTGGCTCTTTATATGTATAGACTAGAGGCCCAGTGCATGAAATTCATGCACTGGAGGAGGGTGGTCCCTCAGCCCATCCTGCGCCCTCTCACACTCCAAGAGTCCTCAGTGGATGTCCGACTGCCGGCTTTGGCCCACTTCCCCTGGCTGCTGCAGAGGTGGGAGAGGCTACCACCACCACCACTGCGCTCGCCAGCCGTGACCCCACTGATGCACAATTGGGGCTAGGGGGGAACATAGGAGGTTGACCAGCCGGGGAGGGACCACGGGAGGGCTCCAGGGCATGTCTGGCCCGTCTCGCTCAGTCCTGATCGGGCAGACCCCAGCAGCAAGCTAACCTACTGGTCGGAGCATCTGCCCCCTGGTGTCAGTGCACCTCACAGCGAGCAGTTGAGCGGTCTTCGCATATCATTAGCATATTACGCTTTGATTGGTTGACTGGCCAACTGGGTGACCGGACACTTAGCATATTAGGCTTTTATCATATAGAATAAGTGATCTATATGGTGTTTACACATTTGAAACTGATAGTTATATAGAAAATTTAAAGTATTAACTGTTAGATTCAAAGATAAGCTATCTAGGCAGACATGTGTGGTCACTCCCCTGCCACTGGGGATCATGTTTGATTCTTACTTGATGGCTTTGGGGAAGCTGACCTGTACTGTAAATTCCCTTACCTCTTCCTAGTGCATTACCCTTGTTTAAGCGTAAGTTTAAATAAGAAAGTGAGAGGGTGTGCAGAGTTTAATCATAACTTCCATCTGTTATCACACACCTCAGGGTATTCAACATGCCTGTTTCCTTTATCTCCAGTTGATGAACTGTAAGCATTGGGGGATTCTTCACCCTAATATGCAGCGTGAACTCAGCCAGGGATCCACTGATCTGCTAACAGGGCCCTGTCCTCTGGACAGCCCCGCGAGGCGTGGTCCTGGACCCTGTGAAGCCGGTGGCCACGGCCAGCTGGACCTCAGTGCGCTTGTGAATGCTGTGGGAAGGAGGTGCGGCTGAGGGGCTGAGTGCAGTGAAATCCCAGATACATCAGGACTGGCAGAGATGGGCGAGCTCACAGCCGAAGCCGGTGCTCAGCGGCATGCCCCTTCTGGGTGTTAAAGCCGACTCTGCTGACAGCTACAGCGACCGCTCGCTGCATCGGTCGGAAGCGTCAGAGCGGGACAGACAGCCTGGCATCCAACAGGGCAACACAAGTTCAGGCAGCACACAGAGGCTCTGGGGGGGGTGGTGGGGCCGGGGGAGGGGACCCAGGCTGGCACAGCAAGCAGACAGTTTCACGCAGTGACCTCATCACCCCCAGGACCTGGGGCCCGTAGCTAAACCTCCCATCCCGAGAGTGACGAGGCCACGGGCAGCTGTGGGCTGCTGGTTGGCAAGTAAAGGAACAGGATGCCGGTTCAGGGTCCCTCCAGACGAGGGGCGGGTGATGCCGTCAGCACGGTGTGTCTCGGACATGCGAGGGGCACACTTACAGTAAAACAAGGACTCGGCCCTGGCTGGTGCGGCTCAGCATGTGCACTAAAAGGTGGCTGGTTCGATCCCCAGTCGGGGCGCATACAGGGGGCAGCCGATCGATGTTTCTCTCTCACATCAATGTTTCTCTCCCTTCCTCTCCCTCTCTCTCTAAAAAAAAAAATCAATAAAAACAATTTTTAAAAAGCAATTATTTGTTGTTTACCAGAAATTCAAGTGGAACTGGCAGTCCTGCATTTACCTGCAACCCTGCCTGCTTGGTGTCTTCTCCCTGAAGAGCACATCACACCCGAGAGAAAACAAACAGAACCTGGAAGCAGCCGCCTCACCAGTATCGAACTCTCTCCTGGGACCTGCAGTGTCGGGACACACGTGTGGAGCCCGCAGCCCGGTGGGAGCGCAGAGGACCTGTGCAGTGAGTGGTCTGCGCGGACTCCATTCACGAGCGAGAGGGGCTCCTCTCTGAACACAGAAAGGAGGGTGCTCCTCTCTCAGAGTTCTCAGAAGCGGCCTGTTGCGCGATTGCTCTCATCCTTAACCCAGTGAAGATCAGTAAATACACGGAAACGTAGGACCCCCACGCTGTAATTAGGGACATTGGTAAACGTAGCCTTTACGTTTCCATTTTGGGACCGTTTTATGCTCCCTCTGTCGGTAATATGAAGAGGGGCTATTGTGTAACATTTAAAATCAAATACACGTATTTCACGTGGACTTTGTTGCACACCAGGCACTTCAGCACAGAAACCATCGAACACAAACCCCCGGGACATGAGAGGAGACACGAAGGAAAGGAATGAACGTCGTTTCACGCCTCACAGGGACAGAGGCACCAACATCCAGCAACTCTCTGGACCCACTGCCTTTGGTAACGGGACTTTTTAACCGCGAGCACAGATGCTCCTGGGGGCAGAGCCTTTTCTGCTGCCCGCGTACATCCTCAGCAGCCCGGGGCTGAGAGCTCCCTGCACGGTGGTGCCCTGTGCCCGCGGGAGGGAGTGTGCACACGGCGATCACAGAGTCTCAAGGGCGACTCCAGACAAGGACCCACACAGAGGCCGAGCCGAGGTGCGGAGTCCCAGGTGCCGAGTTCCTGGCAGAGAGCAAGCTGTCTGGGGGCACGTGCCTCCCCGGTGTTTGAGAAATGGGATGTGACTCCTCAGGTCAGAGAGGGCGCCTCTACCAACAAAATCACATCCAGACAGAGTCCAAGCGGGGCAGCAGGTGGGAAACCCACGTCCCTGAGGCCGGGGTGGCTACAGCGAGAGCAGCCTCACTCAGCCTCTCTGGTTAGTGCACTGGCCTGGCTGGGTCCTGACCTGGAACTTGCACAGAGATCGCCAGGGATACCGTCCAGCCAGCGCAGCGAGCCCCCGGAGCTCACTGCCCCGCCCTCAGTCAGTCGAGCTCTGACCAAGCGTGGGCTGTGTCCACCGCGTGGGGACGCTCCAGGACCAGCGACCCTCCCTCCCTGCAGACTTGGCTCAGTCCTACAATCACCCTGCACCAGCCGCACCGGCTCTCTCTTCAGGGCTGCGAGCAGACGGACGCGTGGACAGCCCTGCTGGCCATACTCACAATGTTAGTGACGTCTGGGCAGGCGCCGTTCTGCAGCAGCAGCAGCACAATGTTCAGGTGGCCCATGAAGGCGGCCACGTGTATAGGCGTGAGGCCCGACTGCGGACAGAACAAAGCAACACGACAGCAGCTTTACTCCCCTGCACGCGCCCGGCTCTCCATCGGCGGCCTAGTGAGGGGCAGGGGGCGCAGATGGGGGAGTGAGGGGTCGTGACAAGCCGGGACCGTGTCTACCTCGGTGACCGCCTGGATGGAAGCCCCGTATTTCACCAGCAGCTCCATGACTTTGATGCGGTTTTTCTTGCAGGCAATGTGCAGTGGAGTAAAGCCGTTCTGTGCAAAAGACAACCGGTTAGTGGGAGACATGCGCAACCACTCAGGCAGGGCATGCACAACACGGCGTCCGACCGCATCGTCACACGTGCTGTGTCCTGAGGGCTCTGCCCCTGCAGTGAGCACCGGGCGTGCCCGTGGGGGCGGCTGTGTGGGGTCCTGCTTGTGTGGACACCGAAACAAGCGCCCACAACAACACGGCAACTCGTCAGAGAAGGACAAGGGGCCGTGAGACGCGAGGGGGGCGATGAACCGTGTCAGGTGCTTTGGAGATAAGCACGTTTTTTCTGATGAAAGGCCACATCTTAGGCGTAAACACCTTCATCGGTTTTAAAATTCCAAGGCCATGACTGCCTCTACAATCAGTGTTTCAGATCTGCTACCACTTTCTCCAGGAGGAGGTGCCAGTGAGCAGGAAGCATGATCTGTGTGGATAGTTTTTTATATCCTGACGTTACATTAAAACGTGTATAGGAAGTTATCTTAGCAGAAGTTATAAGACAGGTTCATGAAACCTAGTTTATGAAGAAATGATTGTTAAATTCACGAATATTTTTAAGAAAAGTGTGGAGGGTTTCTGGAATAATGGGAAGGAGAGATCTCTCAGAGGCAGAGGACTGTGGTGATGTCTAAGGCACTTTTGAACTTTTCACACTGAGCTCATGTGTAGGGATTGGGGGCTATTATATAAAAATGTGCCCGGCCGGCGTGGCTCAGTGGTTGAGCGTCAACCTATGAACCAGGAGGTCATGGTTTAATTCCCTGTCAGGGCACATGCCTGGGTTGTGGGCTCGATCCCCAGTGTGGGACGTGCAGAAGGCAGCCAATCCATGATACTCTCTCATCACTGATGTTTCTATCTCTCTCTCTCTCTCCCTTCTTCTCAGAAATCAATAAAAATATAAAGAAAAAGAAAAATGTGTCCCCAAACTTCCTCCGGTGCGCTGTACTGAGTATATTTCTATGTGAATGTGGATCCCTGTGGGGGACGGGTGCATGTGCCCTGCAGGTGACCGTGGGAACTGCGCCAGCCAGTGTTTCTCAGGCCCCGCCCCTCACAGGAGGCGCGAGGTCATGCTGACCCAGCGCCTGCTCCTCCCGGGGCTGAAGGCATTTCCTGGTGTGGGCTCTGGGTGAGCCAGATGTAAGCAGATGCACTTACAAGACTTCATATTAAGTCGCAGTCTACACTAATAAAAGAAAACATGCAAATTGGTGTCACTTCACAACGCCCACCAGCCAATCAGCTGAGTATGCAAATTAACTCAACAAAGATGGCGGTTAATTTGCATACATAGGCGCCCAGTGGCCTGGGTCACGGGAACATCATTGGCACCCAGGTCACTGTGAGGTAGGCCCCGTGTGGGCCCTGAGCAGCCTAGGAAGGGCCTGAGCCAGGGGGCTCCTGGGCTGGGCCGAGCCTGCGATCAGAGCCGAGGGGGCCCCTGCCCAAGCCTAAAGCCTCGGCCAGATGCTTTAGGCCTGGGCAGGGGCGGAGCCAGTGATCAGAGGGAGATGGGGGGCCGTGCCCAGGCCCCAAGGCTTTAGGTCTGGGCAGGGGCTGAGCCGGTGATTGGAGGGAGCTGGGGGTCCCCTGCCTAGGCCCAAAGCCTGGGCCAGAGGCTTTAGGTGTGAACTACAGAGGAAACACCTTTTCTGACCGCTCATTGGCTAAGCTCCCTGTATGCCACTGGTAATATTCTTAGTAACTTGGGTAATAAGAATCCAATAAGGTGATCTAGGGTTTTTCACCACACTCCTGGAGAAAAAAACGAAGGTCCGCTGCTGGAGGGCTAAGAAATGTCATATCCTGCCCTAGCCGGTTTGGCTCAGTGGATAATGCCTTGGCCTGCCGACCGCAGGGTCTGGGTTCAATTCTGACCAAGGGCATGTACCTAGGTTGCAGGATCCTCCCTGGCCGGGGCCCAGGCAGGGCTCATGCAGGTGGCAACCAATCAAAGTGTTCCTCTCACTTTGATGTTTCTCTCTGTCTTTCCCTTTCTCTTCCACATTCTCTAAAAATCAATGGAAACATATCCTTAGGTGAGGATAAAAAAAAAATAATAAAGAAATGTCATATCCTATGAAAGACACATCTTGAAAATGCCTAAAGAAAGTTGTCATTTTTCATGATAAAGGGACTGGTGGTTTTGATGAAAACACCTTGCTGGCTGTGGTGACTGGCAGTGGCTGCAGCAACAGGGTGATGGGGCTGGTGCCTTCCCCTGATCAGCCCGGTCGCCTCCCACAAAGGGAGGCCAGACTGCTGCTTAGGTCTGCTCCCCAAAGGGAGCAGGGAACGGGCCTAAGCCGTCAGTAGGACATCCCCTGAGGGCTCCCAGTATGTGAGGGGGCAGGCTGGGCTGAGGGCCCCCCCCACACAGTGCATGAATTTCGTGCACCGGGCCCCTAGTATTATATAAGCTCACTGCCCATTCTCCGGCTGAAAATGAGCATTTTCCTCCTTGTAAGAAAATACCTCCACACGTGTCACACAGAACCTGGAAGGGCTATCTGTTTCCCAGGCAGGGAGGCATGCACTGATTCTGATGGGAGATTTCTAAACAGAAACACGATTTCTATTAGATCATTCTGAGGGCATCCTATCATCTCAAGTATTGAGTGAAGACTGACTTGATGGACATGAACCATGTAAATGTCTAGGAGAAAGTGTGTTCCTAGTGTGTGAGTTGGGACGAGACACAGTTAGTGCATGCCTGCGGCCAGCGGCTGTTAGAAGGAAGGTGACGCGGGAAGTCACTCGGCATTAGGCCCCGGGAGACACCAGGTGCAGGGATGGCTTCCGGGAGGTTTGTGCCAACCGCCTCCTGGCGTCAGGCCCCCGAGCCGGCTCGCGCCCCTGGCTGGTGACCAGCCCAGGCGGGACTGTCCAGGGGGGGTTGTCCGGGGGGACTGTCCGGGGAACCCCACATATGCTGAGATCACACCGTCTGACGTGTCCGACCATTGGCCACCGCAGTCTCGTCCAGAAAGGAACGACTAAGGCTCAACTTTCCCACACGTTCATTCTGACCCGAGAGAGCTGTCTGAACCCACTTTATCATTCCCTCTGGCAGCTTCTATTTTCCAGCTCAAACTGTGACCACTCAGAGCTGCCCTTTCTATTGCAACTCGCCAACCACGGCACGCTGCCTTCGTGTTCTCGTCCACCTCGCCATGCCCGCGACCGCGTCCCAGCGACCGTGAAGGCAGGACGGAGCCAGGTGCCCGTGTGGGCCGGGTCTGCACGCCGCTCCCCGCGGGCCCGCCCTCCCACCCGCCTCGCCGGGCGGCTGCTCAGGTTACCAGGGCTCGGGCGTTGGCGTTGGCCCGCTTGTCCAGAAGCAGCTTGGTGACGCGGTAGTGGCCGCAGTGCGCGGCCACGTGCAGGGCCGTCAGGTAGTCCAGCGTGACGTCGTCCACGGGCGCCTTGTGCTGCAGCAGGTGCTTGACGCAGTCCACGTGGTCGCCCTGCGCGGCCATGTGCAGCGGGGACAGCCCGTTCTGCGCAGTAAAACAAAGCAAACGCCGCGTCAGGCATCGCTCGCAGGTCGGGAGCACAGCAAAGCCCATTCTCCATCTCGGGGAAAGCTAGGGTTAGAGTCCCCGGTGACAGGGCAACACAGGGCAGGTGACGCCGGGCCGAGAGGACAGGCCTGAGGCCTCTCTCGGGCTCCCTGCTCTGCGCTCCCACGGTCCTAGGACCTCTTTTCTCCGCTGGGACGTGAGCTGGGCGTGGCGAAAGCAGGCAGGTAAGAGCTAGAAAAGGGGAGGCGAGGTGGGCCAGGGGTCAGTGACCTCCCAGCTTTTAAGTCTGAGGAAAACCTAGATGTATCTTCACGGATACGGCCCAAAGCAACGTTAGCCTCACTTCTCAGGGGCCAACATAGGAACACAAAATCATGGTGATTCGCTGCCAGGGGTCAGGCTCAGTCAGGCTCTTAGTTTTCAAAGTTAAATAAATAAGCTTATAGGACAAAAAATGTACGATTAAGAAACTAAATTAGAAAACATCTCAGTAAAGAGAGCAGACTGTTGCCTCCTCTTAGTAACCAGTGTACACGCGGTCGTTAGAAAATAACGGTGACCACAGACGCAGTTTGGCAGCGCTGACGTGCGCAGAAGCAGAGACCAGCATGGGCCCAGCCCCTACTCTCCCCGAGAAGGGGTTGCAATAGTATGGGGGGACAGCTGAGAACAAATGCACCCACATTCAATCGTAGGGGTTTGTGGGCTGCAGCAGTATATGCGACTTCATTTTCTTCTTTGTGAAATACTCTTTACTCATAATTACTGGTTTTGCAATTATAAATTCATAAAATGAACTTAGGACAGAGGGCAAGTAGATGAGGGATTTATGCATAGATGTGTGGATAAAGGGCACAGTGTCCAAGACCCTCGGGCCTTGCAAGGCCTGGACTGGGGTGTGCCCATCCGCGGACATGCTGTCGGTCTTAATGCTGTTTAATCCACCTAATGACCACATGGACAATAAAATCTGCACCATTTAATCCTTTGTTCGTTTTTAGAAATATGCACTGAGCGCCCCTGGAGCCCGCACACGTCCCGGGGACACAGCAGGGCCTTGTCCACACGCAGGCGACCCTCTCAGAGGCACAGGAATGACTCGGAAAGAGAAGAACTGGAAGGAGGCGCCTTCTACGCCCCTGCCAGGTGTCACTAGGTTAGTTCATGTTCTTCCTGTTCCTCACCTGCGTAATGGTCTCCTTTTCTATCTTTTTACTTAATTCTGAGCTTCTTAAAGATATAGACTGCCTATTATTTATCTTGATAGTTCCTATTGACTAGACACTGCCTGGCACACTGTAGCTACTCACTAGGATAATTAGGTGGTGCGTGATGAATGAACGAACAAATGAGTGAGTGAGTGCATGCATGCATGAATGAATGAACGAATGAGTGAGTGAACGAATGAATAAGTGAGTGAATGAATGCATGCATGCATGAATGAATGAACGAATGAGTAAGTGAATGAATGCATGCATGCATGAATGAGTGAACAAATGAGTGAGTGAATGAATGCATGCATGCATGAATGAATGAACAAATGAGTGAATGTAAAAACGAATGAATGAATGAACGAAAAAACAAATGAATGCATGAATGAATGAACAAAAAAAACCAATGAATGCATGAATGAATGAACGAACAAACAGGTAAATAAATATAACTGTGCAGTCACAGACCCTGTGTGCTGGGCCCCTGCATAAGAACGGTATTTCATTTTACAAGGAGGCCACCTAGGTAATCCTGTCTTCATTAGTGACATGCAATTATGGGCCGACTCTGTCGATAAGATTGTTCTGTAGTTGGTGGGATGTTGTCAGCTGCTTATTCTCAGTTTGCTAGAGGCTTTTTACTGGTTGTAACATGGCTGGTCTGAAATTTTGTAATTTCCATTTAAATTTCAATCTGTTCCCCACGAAACTTTCCAAAACTATCTCAGCATTACCCAGAGTCGCATGTCAAAGACAGGTCCCCACGGCCCCACGGCCCACGTGCGGGTGTGAGGGTGAACATAACCAAGTCGACTGCTTCTCAGCTCCTGTCTCTGATCTGAGACAGCCTTTCGCGGCCTGGGGCACATCCCTAAAGACTGATTCCATTCCATATGTATTTCAAGTGTGTGGTTTGTGCTCAAAGAGTTTCAATTCGATATTCAATTAAAGTACAATGCACACTGAAAAATACTTGCTTGTGTCAGGGGCCTTATTCTTATTGCTCGCCCTAGCAGCGGCATGGGCTGATCCCAAGCCTGGCCAGGGGCTGGGGCGGTGAAGTGGGGGGAGAAGGTCCGACACATCCTTTGCCTGAGTTCCTGTTGCAGGAAGGGCCTGGGGGTCGTTGCGCATCCATGAAACAGCATGTGATTGTGTATGATTTGTCTCAGGACTGTTTCCGGTCACCCAGAGTGGGGAGCTTTACCGTCATAAACCATTTCATGTACATTGAATGGTGACAACCTCATGGCTTGTGTGATTTGTAAGGACACGGTTTCCCTGTGGTGCGCAGGCTGAGGAAGGAGAGACCAGCTGTGCTGCCTGGAGAGCGTGTGCCTGGTCACGTCTGTGCGACGCCCGCGAGCCGCGCTCCCCATGGCACTGCAGTCTCCACGCCACCTCTCTGCCCGAGAGACAAAGGCTGGGGAGCTGGGAGGCTCGCCGCCTCGTCAGGCTAAGTTTGCTGCTTTGAAAGAGGATGACTTGGGGGGAAGAGTATCATAAATGGAAGATCACCTCCCGTATGGACACTGTTCTCACTCACAACAGAGTAACATTCACGTGTCCGTCTGCAGCAGGGAGAGCAGGCGAAATACAGGAAGAACCTGCGGGCATGTGCACACTGCATCTTCCTGCGTGCGTGTCAATTTCAAGTAATTGAAGAAGTTTGACGTATGTTCCCCACTCCTCGCATATAGATACTAAGAGGTGCTTGCGGATGCTCTGTTTCGGGGAGAATAGGGGCGCCGGGGGCGTGTCGGGGCGCCGGGGGCGTGTCGGGGCGCCGGGGCCGCCCGCGCAGACTCACCTTGGTCCTGGCCAGCAGGGGCGCGCCCCTCTCCAGCAGCAGCTCCACCGCCGGGTCGTGCCCGCTCCGGGCCGCGCAGTGCAGCGGTGTCAGCCCGTCCTGCAAGAGCCAGGCAGGCCTCAGTTCCCGTCCTTGTAAAGCGAGCTGCACCGCCCATGGGGAGCACGGTGCCTGGACCCGGTCCTGGCGGCTCCGCGGGTGGGTAAGAGGTCAGCGAACCGCCTTAGCTTAGCAGTACGCAGGCCTCCTGTTTCTAGGGAAGGAGGCCGTGCGGAGACAGCCTCCTACTCCGCTCTCCTGCCTGTTTGCTGACAGTCCATAAACACTCAGAACGGCACTCACTTAAGGTGGGCACGGACAGAGAAAGGGCACTCCCCCTCCCTGACGCCCCGAGTCGGGCACGGAGAGCGGCTGTCTTCTCCACAAGCACAGAGCGCCTGCTGGGGCGGCTCAGCACCACCCGAAGGGAAATGACTGAGGACCCGCCGCCTTAGACGCAAAAGCCATTCGACCTGTACGATGCCCGAAGAGCCACTCTCCGGCTCCATCTCCCACCCAAACAAGATGAGTGGGTCTGACCGCGATCTTCGTTCCCAGAAAACTCCTGAGCAGGGGCTGGGGCGCCTCCTTGGGGGTGGGCTCTGCTTTCTGGGCACTTAGGAGAAACAGGAGTTCCATGTTGCCACGGGAACCCGTAAACATTGTCTGAGGCTTAAATAAAAGCCCAGAAAGCCATGTCCCAGAAAACCCGCGTTGTCACGTGTCCAGGGCCCGGCATGTTGGGGCGAATGCTGGACAACATGGAACCTCGTGGTGGCAGGAAGCAGAAGGCAGACACTCACCCTGGTTTTGGCGTCGATCTGACCTCCGCGGTCCAGCAGGAGCTTCACCATGTTTGTGTTTCCCCGTTTGGAGGCCACGTGCAGAGGGGTGATCCCGTTCTGCAGGGAGAGAGGCGGAGCATGCGGTGTGGGCCTGGGGAGCACGCGGGTGTGGGCGTGGGGAGCACGCGGTGTGGGCGCGGGGAGCACGCGGGTGTGGGCGCGGGGAGCACGCGGGTGTGGGCGTGGGAGCACGCGGGTGTGGGCGCAGGGAGTATGTGGGTGTGGACACGGGGAGTATGTGGGTGTGGGCGCGGGAGCACCTGTCACAGGGCATGGGGAGGCGGCCCGAGGAGAACCTGACCCAAAGCTGCTACTTCTCAACAGCTTCCATTTTTAAGGAACAAAAGCACCCAAACCACAAAACACCACAGTAAGAGAATGAAAATGGAATAAGGCTGCGTCACTAAGTCACCAGCCACACATCTGCACAGAAGGGGCCCCGGACTGTCAAGGGGGCACGTCTATGAAACAGAAACACGACGTCTGGTTCTACCTGGGACCGAGCCCGAGTCCAAGTCCGTCCTCTCTCCAGCCTACACCACCCACCGAGCCTGGGTCGGAGGGTTTCCTGTGCTCACGCGAGAGCCCGAGCAGCTGAAGGCGGTTCTCAACGCCTCCCGGATGATCCCTCAGAAAGCAACGCCCTTTCCGGGCAGGAGACGTCCGAGGACAAACCCCACAGACGGGACCTGTGTTATTTCACTGGCGAACACATGCCGTCACTGGGCAAGGATCGGACTTGGCTCTTGGTATGTCGTAATCCTGCAGATGTTCTGACCCTGCGTTTGGTTATTCTGTCACACGTGTGTCTGACATGCCGTTAAGTCGGCTCTGACGCCCGGGGACCTGGAATGGTGCCGCCCAGTGTCCATCCGCACCACCCTGCGCAGCCTGTGGCTCTTCCGTGAGCCCCTCCACCGCCTGCTTGGCCTCCTCTTCTGCTGCTGCCTCCGTTCCCGGCATCGCTCTTTTCCAAAGCCCCCGCCTCCTCACCAGGTGTCTGGAGCAGGACAGCGTCCGTGTGTCACCTGCCCCGGCCGTGCTCAGGCTGACCTGCCTTTCTCGTGCTCCGGGGCCTCCGCGCAGCCCTCCTCCAGCCCCCGGTTAAAACGAACCAGCTTCCCCATCAGCCTCTCCACTGTCTGACCTCCCACCCTGGTCTCGGCCTTGGTCGCCGTGGCCCGTCTGGGCTCCCGGTGACCTTTCCTGATTGTCCCCCGGCTGTCCTTCCGGCCTCGGCCTCCCTGACTCGCTGGCTGCTGCCTGCACTCGCCCTGAGGACTGAGCCGAGGTCAGCGAGAGCCTCGCGTCTCCATCGTCTGCGCTGAGGTTGTGCGCTTCTCCTGCCGTGGCTCCCTTCTTCCTGCTGGTCAGACGCGTCCTGCTTGGCCACTTTCCTCCTTCACTTTCAGAAGCCGTTTCGCATTGTGGCTCCTTCGGCCTCAGATGGTGTCGCCTGCAGAGCTTCAGTGACTCTCTCTTCCGCCAAAACCCGCTCCTCCCTCGAGTCTCTCCGTTTTCCGTGTGGCACGCGTGCTCTGTGCGCAGACTGAACAGAGTCTGAAGCCCTGCCGACAGGAAACCGTCCTGCGTCCGTGGCCTGTGCTGACCGTGGCCCGTGCTGACCGTGGCCCGTGCTGACCGTGGCCCTGCTCCCGGGGCAGCTGACGCGATAGGACGGTCAGCGCTGGGCGCCCTGCCTTCAGAGCGGCCGCCGCTTCCCATGGACACGCTCCTCGCAGCGCCCAGCATCCGGGAACGCTGGCCGCCAGGTCCGAGTGCCTCTCTCTTTTCCGAATCCCCTGGCACCGCCAGCTCCTCCCACTCCGTGTGAGCCTCCCTCCGCCCGCGTGGGGAATTGGGGTGATGGACCTGCAGTCGTGCACCCCTTGGGGTTCCTTTCCCGAAGACGGATGTGTACTGAACCTTGCTAACCCGCAGGCTCTTGGGTTTTCCCCATATTTGTTGACATATTCTTGTGAGGATTCTGACAGGTTGATTCTCTGTGGCTTAAATCGTTGTCTGTACCCCACCTGCCCCGGGGTTACTTCTCCCCAGTGCGTTCAGGGCAGCCCTCACTTGGCGTTCTAGAACTCCAGGCTCCTTCCCCGGAGGCTTCTCCTTGAAAGGCCTCCGTTCCGCTCTGCCTTCTGCACAGACTTCCGGCGACTGCCCCCACCTGCCTTCTCCTCCTGGTCAGTCTCCTCCGCCGCCTTTGGTCTGAGCTGCCCTCTGTCCCCTGAGCTTCCGGTGGGGCCTCCTGGGCTTCCTTGTTTGTGCTCCTCTACCTCCTCACACGGACACAGACCCAGGATACAGAAGCAGGAGCCGACTGGAGCCTCAGAGGGAAGGCGGGGGAGGGGAGTGTCTGCATCGCCCACAGTCACAGACATAGTGGGTGAAGGCCTGGGGTGGGGCGGGGCGGGCTAGAGGGGGCCCATGGGGGAGAAAGGGGACACGTGTAATACTCCCAACAACGAAGGTCTGTAAGAAGGAACAGTCCTCTCGATCTCTACGTGGTCGTCACTGAACTGCTCTGGGGACTCCGAGCCTGGTCTCGTCGCCTTGAACACCTGTCCCTCGCCGGCCTGCCTCTAACAATGGGCAGGGTTTCTTCTGTCCCCCATCTCGAGCTTTCCTTCCTCTTGACCCCCCGAATCTCTCCCCAGCATCCTCCCTACTGAGGTCGCTAGTTTCAGGCCATGGCTCTGCTTCTCCCTCAGGTGTTTACCCTGCACACCTGCTGTTTCTGTGCCTCGCGCCCACCAGGAAGGCTGCTCGCCTGGCGCGTGGCACCCGATTCCCACCTGCCCCTGGCTGTGCACAGAGGGAACAGGCCTCTCTCCCCTCTCCCCGCCCGCCCCCCCCCCCCCCCCCGCTCTAACCCCAGCCGCTCTGATCTGTGTCCGCCACTGGGGACCCCCGCGCACACCCGTCGTCTGGCTGTGGGAGCACGTGCCTGTGGTGACAGGTTCCTGGCTCTGCGGCTCCCGGGCCCGGGCCGACCCTCTGGCCACACTGGGTCCCGCTTTACTTCCTGCTGCAACCCGGCTCCCTGAATTCCCGGCGCGTCCCGTGCGGTGCCGTGTGGCGTGTCCTGGAACCCGTGGGAAGCGCTCTGCCTCCTCTCCCTTAGCTGCTGTCACTGCAGCGCAGACGGGTGGCGGTTAAGGCGACGGTTTTCCTAGGAGGCCGCTCGGGGTTGCCCACCTGACCTGGCGCCGTGGCTCCTGCCTGCGCGCTGTGTCCGCCCGTATGAGAGCAGCCCGCGTCTCTGAGCCTGCGTTCCCCGGGGGACACTCAGCTCCCGAGGGGAAACGCCCGTCCTGGTCCCTGCCGCTCGCTCCACCCAGCACGCAGAGCCCAGCCCGTCCATCCCTCGTCTGACAGCTCCCGTCCACCTCGGCTCACGCTTCGCGCTCCGACGGTGCGAGTGCGCCGTGGCGCTCCCCTCCGCGTGTGCGCGGGAGCCGCCGCCCCTTCCCTGTTACACTGAGTGTGACGGTCACGGGAGGGGATCCCAGTGACAGCATTCCCTGGAACCCACAGCTCGACGTGGCGTTTCCACACGTCCCAGGGAGACGCCACCTCAGCACAGTCTCCGTTTGTTAGACAATCCCTGCCACACCGTGTGCCCGGCGGGCCCGTGGAGACGGTGCAAACAGGCACTACACGCTCTACACCTCACACTGCAACAGGGCAGTTATCTACTGACGGGCAGCTGCTCCCCGGCCCACGCGAGAGCTCGGCGTCTGACCGCTCACCCTGACGCCAGCACTCGCGCTCCCTGACCTGCAGCGGCCTGTGCGGGTGGGGGCGCCGTCCTTATTTTTCACGGGTTGGGTTGGGAGGACTTTGAGATTTGAAGGAAGGAAGGAAAATCTCGTATCTCTGGACAGATATGGGGGTGAGAGAGAGGGACGGGCCCTCCCTGAGCCACCGTGGGCACAGATGGGGGTGAGAGGGATGGGCCCTCCCTGGGACCCTGAGCCACCGCGGGCACAGATGGGGGTGAGAGAGAGGGACGGGCCCTCCCTGGGACCCTGAGCCACCGCGGGCACAGATGGGGGTGAGAGAGAGGGACGGGCCCTCCCTGGGACCCTGAGCCACCACGGGCACAGATGGGGGTGAGAGAGAGGGATGGGCCCTCCCTGGGACCCTGAGCCACCGCGGGCACAGATGGGGGTGAGAGAGAGGGACGGGCCCTCCCTGGGACCCCAAAGCCAGTGCAGGGGACCGGCCCTGTCCTTACCCGGGCGGTGAAGTCCACGGCGGCTCCCCGGTTGAGCAGGAGGGTGGCCACGTTGACGTTGCCGTAGTGGGCGGCGATGTGCAGGGGCGTGAAGCCGCTCTGGGGAGCAGAGAGAAGCACAGTCGGTCAGGCCGTCCCCCCCGTGTGCCGTCGCAGGAGCATGAGGAGAACCACGTGGTTAAAAAAGAAAAAGAAAACAAAACAAAAAAACACCGAGGGTGGCTGTCTAGCTGGTGACCGCAGTTCAGCCCAGGCCACGGGCGCTGCCCCAGGCTCCTGTCAGCGCTTGGAGGGGATAACCACGTCTCTAAGGGGGCGGTGAGCCCCCACATCCTTGGTGTTATTTCTAATTACCGTCACAGTCCCCTGGGAGATTTGCCATCTGCACAAAACCAGGTTCTGGAGTCCCTTTAGCTTTAGAGAAAAACGATGACTCAACAGCATAAGGTGTTAGCCACGGGAATAACAGTTAGGAGCTTAAAATCTTTTCCCCAGAGAAGAACTCAAAACGAATGTTTCTTAAGAAACGGATGGACAGCAGGGGTTGGCGTGCGGACGCTGCGAGGACGTGGTCACTCTCGGGGCGACACGTCCTGGCCGCTCGCCCTAACGCGGGGCAGTCAGACCGCGTGGTTATAAGGGAAAAGTTTGAAATAAAAAACACACAAAAGTTAAGCAACACCCTTGCTGTCAACGTGAATATAAAATTAAAAGTTCAACTGAACCTAATTTCGAATGTTACTTAAACCAAACTTGATCAATAAGCTAAGATGTATATAAAATACAATAAGCAGGTTAAATCAGCTACACGGGCATTAGAGACCTGTTACTGTCAGAACGTTTTTTTTAAAATGTCTTAAGCTCTTAAATGGAAGGAAAGTACATTTTCATTTCTTTTCTGATGAAAAATTAGAAAGGTTTGCCATTTTCACAGAAGCAGCATAGCAGTTTCTGTTATTAAAGTCCGCAAAGCGCTATTTATCCTTGCTCTCGTTTCAGTAACTTCATTACTTAATAAAGGATTACAGAAGCAATCCAGGCTGTCCCGTAGCCTGGTCTCGGTCCCTGGGTGTGAGGTGGCCTAGCATTGTCTGTCTCAGGTGAAATGAACTTGGTGTGGAGAGCACTGTATTTAAGAAATGTCACCTGAATCCTGGCTGTCACTTTTCGGGCATTTGACTACAGACTTTGCCTTTTGAACCCAGATCAGGCCCTAGCCCAGGGGTGGGCAAACTTTTTGACTCGAGGGCCACAATGGGTTCTTAAACTGGACCGGAGGGCCGGAACAAAAGCATGGATGGAGTGTTTGTGTGAACTAATATAAATTCAAAGTAAACATCATTACATAAAAGGGTACAGTCTTTCTTTTTTTTTTGTTTTATTCATTTCAAACGGGCCGGATCTGGCCTGCGGGCTGTAGTTTGCCCACGGCTGCCCTAGACCCTCAGGGCAGGGATCCCTGTGCGCCGGCCACACAAACGCACATGATTCCTGACGCAGAGAAGCAGGACACCAAGAGCAGCAGTCGCTCTGCATCCACACCCCACAGCGGTCAGGACGTCGCTATTCTGTGGCTACTTGAGGCCAAACATTCATGTCAAAACAGAGGGAAGAATCAGTCTGCAACCTGGCTGAGATTTATAAAATGCCCAGCGCTTACTGCTGAAGGAATGATGGGCGTATGTTTTCCACGTTTACCTTCACAGATCCTGCCACCCGACAGCATCCCGAGTGCGTGTCTGTTATTCCAGTTACAATGGAATCACAGCAAAACAGAGCTATCGCTGCTGGATCTTTTCCAACTTCTTCAAACATTATTCTTCTCATTTGCAAAATTAAACGGGCGTACTGTCCGAGGTGGCCTCCCTGGCGCGGTGGCGCCTGCCTGCGGCCGGGGGGGGGGGGGGGGGGGGGCGGGGGGGGGGCTCCGCGCCCGCAGTCGCCCAGGAAAACGCCCCCCGAGACTCCGTGTCCTCACAGACCCTTTCTGCCTCAGTGCGAGCCTTCCCAAATGGCGCATCCAGCACACGCGTGGAGCAGGGCAGCTTCAGAAATGCATCTCAACCACCAAGTCACCTCAACAGTGAGAGGCGTTAAACCCGTAATTAAGACGGCGATCCGGGCAGCTCCCTCTGAGCCCCTCGCCAAGCAGGCGGGCCCGTGTGTTTTGGTTTTTGTGTTTTTCAATCTCTGCCCTGAGTTCCATGCACACAGATGGAACAGGAGGAAGGGTAGGATAACCCAAGTTTATTTACGTCTCCATAGGTCGTGTGGTTGATAAGCAAGGAGCTGGGTCTAGACCAGCCGTGGGCAAACTACGGCCCGTTTGAAATGAATAAAACTAAAAAACAAAAAAGACCGTACCCTTCTATGTAATGATGTTTACTTTGAATTTATATTAGTTCACACAAACACTCCATCCATGCTTTTGTCCCGGCCCTCCGGTCCAGTTTAAGAGCCCATTGTGGCCCTCGAGTCAGAAAGTTTGCCCACCCCTGCGCTAGACACACGACTCCCAGTAACACTGTGTGTGGAGGCTGGTCTCCAGCCCAGCGCTTGACAGAGGCCCGTCTGAGTGAAAATCTATATACGAGTCCCTGGACGGGGGAGGGGGGCAGGTTCCTGCTTCTAATGTACTTTCAACAGTGCTTGCGAGGGCCTCCGGGCAGTGGGCGGCCACAGGCATGGAGAGGCCACTAAACACGTGCACTCACACACGCACACACATATGCATACACACATGCATACGTGCACTCACACGCACACACGCACATGCATACACATATGCATACACACATGCATACATACACGCACTACACTGAGGCCTCTGACCTGACGCTGTGCTGAGGGCTGGGACCGCCTGTGCTCTGTGGAAATAGGCGGCCGCGTGACAAGCACTGAGACAGCGTTACAAGGCACGTGCTCTCTCAGGGCACGGTCAGTGTCATCACTGATGAAGGACACTGTGGGAAAAGCCCATCGGGAGGGCACCTGTGCTTAGAGACGGGACAAGGCGGGCAGCACACCTCCTCCCAGGTCACCGTCTAAGCTCCGGCCTGGGGACCCTCGTCCAGAGGGCACAGCTTGTCGGCAAAGCAGCCAAGCCCCAGAGGGACCTGCTTTAAGACGGGGTTTGGCTCCACGCTCCACGCTCACGGGCCATTCCACACGTTCCCTGGGTAAATATCGCTTCAGACATATGCGACATTCATTGTCTGGAATTACCCGCTCCCTTGATTATGGGAAACGTTTCCAAATCAATTTCCTAATAAGGGAAGTACCATCATTAGTGAAGTTAGTGAGCATTTATTCTAACTGGGCAAAAACTGAAAAATAAATAAAAACAAGGCGTATGTTGGCATAAGCTGGTACCGTACCTCAGTCGTCCTATTCACCATCATCTGAAGCGGTGGGTGTGGGGGAAAGAGGGGAGATGTTAGCGCACTGCGAATTAGGAGACAGTCCGCGCGGAGCCGGCCCGCTGGCCCAGCATGCGACACGCGCTCATCTTTCTGTTTCTATTCTTTTTTACTAGAAATGGAAAAATTAGGCAACTTTCTAAAAAGCTGAACCTCATCTTTTAAAAAACATTTTTTTTATTTACTTTTTTTGTTAATCCTCACCTGAGGGTATTTTTCCATTGATTTTGAGAGAGGAAGGGAGAAGGAGAGACAGAGAAAAACATCGATGTGAGAGAGACACATTGATTGGTTGCCTCCAGCACGCACCCCGACCAGGGCCGGGGAACTGAGGTGCGTGCCCTTGACCGGAATCGAACCTGGGACCCTTCAGTCCGAGGGCCGATGCTCTATCCACTGAGCCAAACCGGCCAGGGCTACAAAAGATTATCTTTAACTTTTCTGTTATGGTACCTGACAGTCCCCTTCCTTCCCAAACCCCCCGAAAGTCAGTGATCCCTTTAGACGAGCAGAGCGCCTGTTACACGGGGCCCACTGCTCTCCATCCGGAGCCCGCGGCCAGGAGCCCGCGGGGCCTGGCCTGGGACAGAGGCAGTGGGAGCCCGCGGGGCCTGGCCTGGGACAGAGGCAGTGGGAGCCCGCGGGGCCTGGCCTGGGACAGAGGCAGTGGGAGCCCGCGGGGCCTGGCCTGGGACAGAGGCAGTGGGAGCCCGCGGGGCCTGGCCTGGGACAGAGGCAGTGGGAGCCCGCGGGGCCTGGCCTGGGACAGAGGCAGTGGGAGCCCGCGGGGCCTGGCCTGGGACAGAGGCAGTGGGAGCCCGCGGCCAGGACCCGGGGCCTTACCTTGGACTGCACGTCCGCGTTGTGGTCGTTCTGCAGCAGCAGCGCCGCGGACTTGGTGTCGTCCTTGCGGGCGGCGATGTGCAGGGCGGGCAGCCGCACCTTGCCCTTGGTGTCGTTCTCCAGGAGCACGGCCACCGCCTGGTTGTGGCCCTGCTGCAGCGCCACCGCCAGCGGCGTGAAGCCGTCCTGCGGACGCGGACAGAGGTGGCCTGAGCTTCGGGAAGCGGGGGCGGGGGGCGGGGGAGCAGCAGCTAGGTGGACAGCAGAGCAACGAGCAGTGGGGCGAACGTGCCTCAGAGACTGGAGGTGAGAGCCAGGCCCTTGCCTCGTTGCCGTAGCGGGGAGCCCCCACTAGCACTGCGCTGTCAGTGTCTCCCTTTAGGGCCGCCAATATTTGCTTTACAGTCCGGCCGGCGTGGCTCAGTGGTTGAGCGTCGGCCTAGGAACCAGGAGGTCAGGGTTCGATTCCCCGTCAGGGCATGTGCCCGGGTTGCGGGCTCGATCCCCAGTGTGGGGCGTGCAGGAGGCAGCCGATCCATGTTTCTCTCTCACCACTGATGTCTCTCTTCCTCTCCCTCCCTCTCTGACATCAGTATACATTCAGGGGCTCCCGTGTTGGGGTCCTGAATGTCACAAATGTCCCACCGCCTTGCGGGTGACGCCTGCCGTCAGGACGCAAACCCGGCCCTGCCTCTGTCCGTCTCTGTGTTACCGTCTGTCATGTCTGAGCCCAGTGGGGCTGCCCCAGCTTTCCTTTGGTTCCGTTTGCATGAAGCACGTTTTCTATCCTAACGGAGCCCATCTCATGGCCCTGATACTCGGTGGCACACCCAAAGGTGTATTATTTTTTTGGCCAATCTGACCAACAAAAACAGGCATATTTTGGACTCAGTCACACTGATGGATAGTGTGTGCTGGCTGTTGTCGTTTTTAAAATTTGACGATCTCAGGGAAACAGGTCGGTCTGACATATTTTAAAAATTCTCAGCCTGCCGGTTGACAGTCGCTGTCGTGTCTGTGGAAATGGTTCTCATCCAGTGTGTCCTGTTCCGTGTGCACCAGCACAGGAAGCACGGAATGTGAAGCCAACCTGTTTCTTAACGGGGAGGAGTGACGCACGCAGCACTGAGAGAGGAAACACCCAGCCTGCGTGTGGAGTCACAGGGCACCCGGGGAGGCTGGGGAGGAGGGAAGAGCAGCCGGGGAAGCGTCACGTCACGGAGAACAAAGTGTCAGGCCCCCAATCAGGGCCCTGCTCGCCGAGCCGCGTGCGGGGTCCTCCCTCACGGCCACGGCTGCGGGTCCCGGCGGCCTCGCTGCCCGCACAGCGTGGACAGGAAGGCCTGTGGGCGGGCTCACCTCGGTGGCGGTGCTCTGGTTGGCGCCATTCTCCAGCAGGTACTTCACGACCTCGATGTGGTTCTCCTGGGCAGCCATGTACAGGGGCGTGAAGCCGTTCTGGGGACACAGGACAACACGCGGACGGTCATTCCTGACCGGGGAGCGGGCAGGAGCACAGCCAAGGGAGGAGGAGCCGCCCCTCTCGTGGGCGAGCAGACGTGTCCCTGCCATGGAGCTGCCAGGCGCAGGGCCAGCGCAGCCCACACCCAGGCCCTGAGGACCAGGAGCAAGGACATGGGGAAACGCGTCCTCGGTCCCTGTCTTCATGTTGGTCCAGGGAGGCCTGCCTCATCTCCACACTGGTTAAACCAGAGACAGTGAGCATCTGAGTATCTGCATGTTCCTAACACACAGAATTCTCACCCCGTGGCAAACACAGGGTGTCCCCCCAGAATGTAGACACGCTTCGCACAATTACAAAGGCAGCGTTTGCACCTCAACGGGGTTTTCATCTTAGGCTGAATTTCCTTTGTTTAAAGCTTAGTCTGGCTGGAAAGAAACATCAGTGGATCCATCAGCTGTTAAAGTGTGTAGACATGTTTCTGGGACACCCTGTATATGAAATAGTATTTATACACTAGCTTCTGTATTATTTATCAGTGCGTAGCTATTTAAACAGACCACCATGATCTTCAATGTACACAGTTATTGCTGAAGATGGGTCGGAGCCAATGCGCGAAAGCATCTTTTTTAAAGAATATGTTTTCATTGCCCCGGCCAGTTTTTCTCAGTGGATAGCGTCGGCCTGGGGACCGAAGAGTTCTGGGTTCGGTTCTGGTCAAGGGTACGCACCTCGGTTGCAGGCTCCTCTCCAGCGCAGGCTCTGGTCGGGGGCGTGTGCAGGAGGCAACCAATCGATGTGCTTCTCTCATCAATATTTCTCTCTGTCTTTCCCTCTCTGTTCTACTCTCCCTAAAAATCAATGGAAAAATATCCTCGGGAGAGGTTTAAAAATTATATATCCTATATAATAAAAGCATAATATGCTACGTGTCTGGTCCTCCAGTCGCCCATTCAACCAATCAAAGCATAATATGCTAATGATATGCTAAGGCCGCTCAACTGCTCACTATGACGTGCAGTGACCACCAGGGGGCAGACGCTCCAACCAGTAAGTTAGCTTGCTGTTGGGGTCCAGCCAATCGGGGCCGAGTGTGACGGGCCAGACACACCCTGGAGCCCTCCCATGGTCCCTCCCAGGCTGGCCAACCTCCTGCGTCCCTCCCAGGTCCTGATCGTGCACCGGTGGGTTCCTTTGGCCTGGCCTGCGTCCCTCTCGCAATCTGAGTTCCCTCAGGGGATGTCGGAGAGCTGGTTTCAGCCCCATCCTGCAGGCCAGGCCGAGGGACCCCACTGGTGCATGAATTCGTGCACCAGGCCTCTAGTATGTATATACAGTGGGGCCTTGACTTACGAGTTTAATTCGTTCCGAGACCGAGCTCGTTAAGGAGCTCGTTAACTCAAATTACTCTGTCAACTCAATGCAAAAAAACGGCCGAGAGACAGCTGGTATCCGAAAAAGCTCGTTAGTCGGGACACTCGTAAGTCAAGGCCCCACTGTATATATATCTTTAAATTGATTTCAGAGAGAGAGAAACATCAATGATGAGAAATAATTGAGCCCCAAACCTGGGCATGTGCCCTGACCAGGAATCAAACCGTGACCTCCTGGTTCGTAGGTCAATGCTCAGCCACTGAGCAACACCGGCCAGACACCAGAAATAATTTGGAAAAACATTTTTTCAGGGCTAAACATGTTTTAAAAATAATTCAAAGACCTCTTGCCAAGACAGAGGGCACAGAAAGCTGCAATTCATGGGCAACGTGTGAGCACCCAGCTAAGTCGTGCCGTCTGACTGCACAGATGGGGGGGCTCACTGCCCATTACCCGTCTTCGTCGCATTTGCCATGGGTGAGAAGGGTGAGTGAAGTGGGTCCTTGTGTGCATTTCCTTAGATGAGGCGACCTCAGTGGGAGAGTGTGAAACACAGTGCAAATCTCTGCAAGTTTCCACCTGCCGCTGGCCCCGTAGGACCAGTGACACCCCAGTTCCACAGGAAAGGGGCACTGCAGAGCCGGGCGGACCTCGCAGGAGAATTCCCTCCTCAGAGGCCTGCTTCTCGCAGGAAGGTCAGTGTCAGGTTCAGGTTTTCCCAAGCAGAACTGCTCAGCAGGCTGGGGGGCTGAGCGGGCTGGGGGGACTGCGGGCTGGGGGGACTGCGGGCTGAGGGGACTGCGGGCTGGGGGGGACTGCAGGCTGGGGGGACTGCGGGCTGGGGGCACTGTGGGCTGGGGGCACTGCGGGCTGGGGGGACTTCGGGCTGGGGGCACTGCGAGCTGGTGGGCTGCGGGCTGGGGGGACTGCGGGCTGGGGGGACTGGCGGGCTGGGGGGACTGTGGGCTTGGGTGGGACTGCGGGCTGGGGCACTGCGAGCTGGTGGGCTGCGGGCTGGGGGGACTGCGGGCTGGGGACACTGCGAGCTGGTGGGCCTGCGGGCTGGGGGGACTGCGGCTGGTGGGCTGCGGCTGGGGGGACTGTGGGCTGGGGGGACTGCGGGCTGGGGGGGACTGCGGGCTGGGGGGGACTGAGGGCTGGTGAGCTGCGGGGTGGTGGACTGGGCTGGGGGGACTGCGGGCTGGGGCGACTGCGGGCTGGGGCACTGCGAGCTGGTGGGCTGCGGGCTGGGGGGACTGCGGGCTGGGGGGACTGCGGGCTGGGGGGACTGCGGGCTGGTGGGCTGCGGGTTGGGGGACTGCGAGCTGGTGGGCTGCGGGCTGGGGGGACTGCGGGCTGGGGGGAATGCGGGCTGGGGGGCTGCGGGCTGGGGGGACTGCCGTCTGGTGGGCTCAGCAGTGGGCACTGCTGAAAAGGCCACTCTGCTCACCATCCCAGGGACCTGACCCTCCTCTGCACTCGCCTTCTGAGAGACAAGCTCCGAGCTCCCCCAATGACCTCCAGCCTACGGTCAGGATGATCCAGTTACCTCCCTAAATAGCTCCCAAGTGCACAGCTGCAAAGGAAGCGCAGGCCCAGCAGCACCAATTACAGTCACAGAGACAAAGCCGTGGGCGTGGGGTGCTTGGTGCACAGACACAGTGACACTCACTGGCGGTGCAGGCCTTTCTCTAAGGACAGTGCCGCCCCGGCTTCCCGAGGGCAGGACCTGGACGGTCTTCACCAGGTGATGATGCTGACTGATTAACCACCCTGTTCCCCCCAAAGGCTCCCTTTCCAGGATCATAGCTGCACCAGGAAATGACACTGAGGTGGCTGCCCACGGATTAGGTGGTGGCATTTCTCCGTCACCAGTGGACTGGGCTTCCTGTGATATCTTCAGAAAAGGAATTTTCTAAGATGCGCACGGGAGAACGAATGCTGCTTGTTTGCGTGGAATGATGTGTTTCCACAGCCCCACATCCTGAGGGATGTGCACGGGGCTCTGGCTGAGCTGAGAGCAGGGCCATTCCCTGGTGTGGCGTCCACGTGGCCAGGAGCCACGTTGGCGGGTGCAGGGGAGCACGCCCTGCTCGCTGAGCAGGGGGTCTCAAGGGGGCAAGAGGGCCAAGAGCACAAGAGGGGGGGCGTGGAGGCCCCTTTGTTCAGGTGTGAAGCATCTCAGGGTTCCAGGCCTCTTCTGGCCACTGGCTTGCTCCCGGGTGTAACTGACAGGTGAGCATCTTCCCACGTCACCTGCCGTCACGGGGCTGTGTGTGTGGTCCAGGCTCCTCCCCCAGGATCGGCGGGGACTGACGTGGAGAGGCTGAGCTTCGGTTCCTGGCAAAGCCGTCTAGGTGGCCCATATTCTAGGCTCCCCTTCGCTCCCTTCCGGCTCAACAGGAACCAGGGTGTGACGGTACCAAAATGATGCATGTCCTAAGCCCCGAGGAGGTGAGACTTCATGAGTGCTTGCAGGTCGTTGTTTCATTCACACTCCACCCCCCGGCCGCCGAGCAGACCGGCGCTCCTCAGACGCCGGCTGGGGCAGCAGCTGGAGGGCAAGGTCCCGCCTTCTCTTGGACACAGAATCCTTCCAGCTTCTGCTGAAGTGGGCGCGGGGCTGAGGGTGCGGCCACAGGAGAGAGGGACCCCTCTCTGTTGCTGTTGGGCCTCAGCAGGTGGAATAGAGGTGGGTCTCTAGACGCCTCGAGGATGAGGCGGCCACGTAGTCTCACACCACGGAGCGTGGCGCTGTGGCTGGACCCGCGTGGAACGGATTCTGAGCCTTGGGCCCTGCCCGCCACGCGAGTCTGCCCTGCGCTCCAGCAGCGAGCTGGACGGTACTGTCACGGCTGGTGTGGTGCCATCGGCAACACCAGGGACACTGTTCCCCCTGCGTCTGCCATCACCCCCGCCGGCAGTCCTGGGGACCGATTTTCCATGTTTCACGTTACCCGGCGACCCCATCCCGCAGCCTGAACCCGTCTTCCTAAGACACCGGTGCTGCCAGCCGTGTGAACGCCACGTCCGCCGGGACCGTGGACGGCGTGGTGGTGGCCGCGGAGGCGGGCTCCTGTGCTGACAAAGGACGAGGTCTGAGCAGGCCTCACAGCAAGGGCATCGCGCCTCGTCTGTGCTGGAGGCGCTGTCCCCGCGCCTGGCAGAACCCTGCGTCTGGCTTGGCAGGTCAGTGCTCACTGAGTCACCAGGACAGAGCCAGGCTGTTCAGCCGCCAGCACCCTGACGTGTGAAATGAGATCTCGTGCGTGGCCATCAGACACTGCACCACGCGAGGAGGCTTGTCTGCCGAGGTTGCGGGCCCGGCTCCCAGTGTGGTCTCCTTCCGTCCCCACAGCCACCCTACAGTCGACGGGCCATGGCGACTCCTGTTGTCCTGACAGGACATCCGGGCGCAGATGTGAGGGGAGAACAGGGAGGACAGCCAGACGAGGAGGCCAGCGCTGCATGGCACCGGGCATCTGAGGGTCTGACAAACGGACGATCTGACTCCTGGGCACGGACAGCAGCCTGGAAGTTCAGGCGGGGGAGAGTGGAGGCTGGGGAGGCTGTGAACAGGCGGGACTCCCAGCAGGGAGATGGGGGAGGCCTGGGTCTGCGGTCCAGCAGCCAGTGCCGCTGCCCACGCTGTGCTGGGTGTGGGGACGGCCGTGTTCTCACCAGAAGGAAAGGACGCAAGTGACCGGGAGGGGGGGCAGGGGCGGGTAGCTAACCTGATGGGGGATCCGTGCAGGATGCAACTTGTACCAGAGCGTCTGCTACGTTAAATATCATATACTTTTTTTGTCAGTTAGTCCTCAATAACGCTGGAAAAATAAACTTGAAAAATTATATGTGAGTTACGAGAAAGAGAGAACAGTGGAGTCGTCACCCCTCAGCTGCCCCTGCCCCGTCCTGGTGCCTGTGCAAACGTCAGCACGAACCCTGACGCCCAGGCACCCCGGGGAGGAGGGGGCCCCCAGTAGTTCCCTCTCTCAGGGTGGACTTAGTGTCCTGTGCCCACATTCTGTTTGTTGGTGACCTTTGCCTGGAGGAGCCCCATGGGAGGTCTTCCCGGGGTGTCCCCTGCCGTGGGGCGTGAGGTCGGAGGCAGCTCCGGGGCTGCTGCCCCTGCCCCCTGCCCAGCGACCCGGCCTCTGGTGCGGCTCAGACAGAGGAAAGCGAGGGCCTCCACAGAGGCCGTGAGCGTCTACACTCCTCCCCACAGGCCGCCTTATGCAGACTTGGCGCCTCCACCTCAGTCATTCTAGACGTGAATGGCGTGTGAAGGGAGTAAAGGGTGTTGGGGGGACACAGCCAGCCTGGCTCAGTGATTGAGCACCGACCTATGAACCAGGTCACGGTTCGACCCCCGTGTGGGGCGTGCAGGAGGCAGCTGATCAATGATACTCTCTCATCATTGATGTTTCTATCCCCCTCTCCTTTCCTCTCTGAAATAAATTAAAAATATTATTTTTAAAACGGGACAAAGCAGGATCCAGCTTTGAGGATGTTCAGCCTTAATTCCTTCCAGTTTCAGGACAAAAGGACAAGCAGTGCCCAGCCTGTCCCACCACCTGCCCCAGATGTGCCCCCAGACCACATGTGGGCGTGGTCATCACTCAGGATGGGAAGCGGCTGTTACTGCAAATGAAGAGAGTGCCCCGCGTTCCAGACACGTCTGTGTGTTTACGGACCAGCGATCTTGCTATTGGAATTCCGGGACAGAGAAAGAATCCCACTCTGCCAGACTTCAAATGCACGGATTCTCCTCCTTTCTTCAAGCCGACGGGAGACGCAGGCCTGGAGAGAGCTCCCGTTTCCTGCGCTCACCCGCAGGCTGACCTCCCGTCCGAGGACAGCAGGAGCGCCGACCCGCGCTCGTCCCTGGTCAAAGGCAGGCGCGTGCCTCCATGGACGCTTCAGAGACTCCAATTTTCCCAACTGAACAAGCCCAACCCTGACTGAGGGAAATTCCACATGTACCCACTCAGAGGGGGGAAGCCTGAAGCAAAACCTTTCTGAGGAATCCGACCCTGAGTCCCATTTTACACTCTGTGTGCGCGTGTAACGTCCATCTACGATATCGCCTTGTTTGACATGTGTGCCTGTATGTGTGTGCGTGTGTGCCTGTGTGCATGTCTGTGTGCCTGTATGTGTGTGCCTGTGTGCCTGTGTGTGCCTGTATGTGTGTGCACGTGTATATGTGTGTGCATGTGTGCCTGTATGTGTGTGTGCCTGTATGTGTGTGTGTGCCTGTGTGTGTGCATGTGTGTGCCTGTGTGTGCATGTGTATGTGTGTGTGCATGTATGTGTGTGTGCCTGTGTGTGTGTGCATGTGTGCCTGTATGTGTGCGTGCCTATGTGCATGTGTGTGTGCCTGTATGTGTGCGCGTGTGTGCCTGTGTACATGCCTGTATATGTGCGCGTGCGCGTGTGTGTATGTGTGTGTATGTGTGCGTGTGTCAGGACAAAACGTTCCGTTGTGAGTTTTGTGTCGAGAGCCAAGGCTGGCGCTGTGGTCAGATGGGAGCGATCGTGGGGCAGGCCCAGGGCCAGCTGCGTACACTCCCTGCTTCATGGCCCTGCTCACACTCTGCATGGCTGGGAGAGGCCAGCAAAGTGCAGACCCAGGAAGCCCTGCTGCCCAGGTGCTGACCACTGCACACGGGGTCCCTGCCCCCGACACCTGGGAGTGAAATCCATGCCGTGTAACCTTGCAATGGGCTGAATGGCCATGGTCTGAAAGTTAATAAAATCAGCCTCCTCATGTTTGTTTTAGAAACTAGAGGCCCGGTGCGTGAATTCATGCACGGGTGGGGTCCCTCAGCCTGGCTGGCGATCGGGCTGAGAGGGCTGGTCGGCCGGGGGAAGGGACCGCGGGAGGTTGGCTGTGGGAGCGCACTGACGACCAGGGGGCAGCTCCTGCGTTGAGTGTCTGCCCCCTGGTGGTCAGTGAGCATCTTAGCGACTGGTCAGCTGGTTGTTCGGTCACTTAGGCTTTTATTCTATAGGTAGGAAAGGATTTTGGAATACAATGTCCAGGACTGAAATATCAAAGCTGGTGAGCATTAGAAAGGGGCGAGGATTCCAGAAAAAGATGTGGGTTTTCGACACAGCAACTACCGCCAGGCTGTGCCAGTGACTCGGGCATCCAGGAAAACATCCCACATTTTAATTATTTATTTCTCTCACTGCTTTACCACCGTACAGACTCAGTCTGAAGCCATTTGTCGGGATTCCCTAGAGCAGTGATGGCGAACCTTTTGAGCTCGGCGTGTCAGCATTTTGAAAGACCCTAACTTAACTCTGGTGCTGAGTCACATAGAGAAATTTTTTGATATTTGCAACCATAGTAAAACAAAGACTTATATTTTTGATATTTATTTTATATATTTAAATGCCATTTAACAAAGAAAAATCAACCAAAAAAGTGAGTTCGCGTGTCACCTCTGACACGCGTGTCATAGGTTCGCCATCACTGCCCTACAGCATCGTCTTAAATTGAGCGCATTGGACACAGGAGAAGGAAAGATCCTTCTCGTCTCCTAACGTCCATCTACGGTATCGCCTTGTTCAACAGGCGTCTGGGGAGAAGTCAGCAGCCCTTCGTGTGGCTGTTACAGCACTAACGCCCGGGAGCGGCCGCCCGGAGCCCAGGGCCGTGGCACCGCCAGGCGTCCGTCCCCTGCGCGTGAGCACACACTGCCAGGCCTGCCGCCTCGAGTCCCTGTCGGGCGAGCCTTACGCCCAGGTCTCCCTCGCAGCCTCCTGGGCAGCCTCTCAAGCTGCGGCCCCTGGGCCAGTGTTGGCACCGCCTGGCGCTGAGGAAGGAGCCCCCAGGCCCGCCCAGCGCGGAGCCAGGAAAAGGCGGGCCCAGTGAGGAGGGCGCCGCCCACAGGGGTCACGCTGGCTGCCTGGGCTGGAAACCTGGGCTGGGAGGCAAGAGGCTCGCGTTGCCAGAGGAACGCTGGGGCCCTTCCCGGAGCAGGTGTCCCAATCCAGGCCTCACGCCCCGGCGCCGCCGCCTGCAGAGTCCACGGGCCCCTGCACACGGCGCCATTTCACACGCTTTCCGTCGGATAAGGGTTTGCAGCGTGCCATGCTCTCCATAACGTGAAAACACTGGCGTGTACTGAACTAAAGGACGGGCTGTCGGGGGAACGGGGTTATTTAAAATAGTTTGCTGTCACAAAGGCAAGAACAGATACTGTCCGGTCGTCGTAATTTCAGCAGGTTCCTCCCTATAATCAACGCCGAAGGAAATGGGGCCGATCCCAACGTCTGCCCGTTGGTATTTACGGTCCAGAACTGTTGCCTGTAGCGACCACAGCCACCCCCACACGGCCACAAACCAACAGCACAGCACCAGAGCGCCCTGTGCAGGGGCCTTCACAGCCCACGGGACGGATGGCGAGGGACCGGCTGGCTGTGCCAACAGCCCGTGGCGTGGCCGGTGACCGGGGGCTACACCCTTCAAGGACAGAGAGCGGGAGGGAGGCGGTGATCACGCTGCGTCCCTCGAGCTCCACATAAACACGCCGGAGTCTCCAGGAGGAGAGCGGTGGGCAAAGCAGCGTGTCCGCCCCTTCCCCCCGGAACACGTACGCAGGAGCCCGGCTTATCGTGCGACAGGCCGTGATTATTCTTTCCAAATTGTCCTCACTTCCTCTTGAGAACACGCGCTTCCTGTCCAAGGCGAGGGTCCCTGCGGGAGTCACCAGGCTGGGCTCCCGCGTGCCCGTCTCCCTGGGGGTTTCCCGGGGCCACGCTTGCGGTGTTTGTAATCGAAGGAGAGAAAACACTTTTCTAGAGCAACACAGACCTCGCGTGAAAAACCGCATGTCACAGACGCCACTGTCATTGGGGGAGGGCACGTTATCCTCTTTGTAATGCACGCAGAGGCAAGGAAGACGGGCTGTGCACTGGTCAGATTTATGTTAACAGGGGGCTCCTGCTACATCCACCAAGGGGAGACAGAGAAATGTCACCGCTGGGAGAAGAAAGCATCCGGCCAAACAATGAGGTCCCACCTCACACCTGTCAGAACGGCTACCATCAACAAACACATCAGCTAATGACAAGCGCTGGGGAGGACGCGGAGAAAAGGGAGCCCTCACGCACGGCTGCGGGGATGCAGACTGGGGCAGCCACCGTGGAGAACAGGACGGAGTTTCCTCAAAAAGTTAAAAATGGAACTGCCATTTGACCCAGTGATCCCACTTCCAGGGAATGTATCCCAAGAAACCAGAAACACCAATCAGAAAGGACGTATGCACCTGTGTTCATAGCAGCACAATTACAATAGCTAAGGTTTGGAAGTAGCCCAAGTGTCTATTAGTAGGTAATTTAAATAATTTATTTGGCCAAAACAAATAACTGAAGTATTTACAGTAAGTTTTTCTGCCCAGCAGCTGGCTGAAGGCATTCAGCCAATCCCAGGGGCTGTTCGAGCCCTTTGCGGCGGAGGGGAGGCGGGTCCGTACCTGGGACTGGGCGTTGATGTTGGCGCCTTCCTTGACCAGCACCTTGACGACCTCCGCCTGTCCCGCCAGCGAGGCGATGTGAAGAGCCGTGTTCCCCTTCTGTTTCGAAGAAACAGACAGAAAACGTTACCGCGCCCGCCAGTGGTAGAAAGGGGAGTGCGATGGCCTGCTCCGTGCTGCCGCCGTCCCTGGTGGTCAGACCTGCACCCCTCACCACGCGGCCGACCTCGGGGGGGGGGGGATGGGGGGTCGTCTCCCTTCTGTCCTCAGCCCCGGGGGGGCGGGCAGGGGGGAGCAGTGGGCAGACGGGTGCTGACTGGTCCGCACAGGGTTCCGTGAGGCTCGGCCGCCTCCTCGCTGAGTGAGGACCTTCCCGGGAGAGCTGGTCCTGGACCTAAAACGCTACGGCTGCATCGAGGGTCAAAGGGAGCCTTTATTTTAAAACGTCAATAAAGGACGGGAAGGAGGAAACTGATGATAAACATAAGCAGCCAAGGAGGGGTTGGTTTAAGGATACATCACATCGACATGGCAGCTCAGGAGAGGGGACCTTCAACATGACAGGCTCTAAATGTCGGTTTAACATGTGTTTGACGTGGTCAAGAGGAAGGTTAATAAAAATGCCAATTTTCTCTTTGTGTCCAAAGTAAGAAAGTGCTGGCCTGAACTCTAAAGTGGAACTACATCTTGACTCCTTTGGATTCGCCAGGGAGTCTTTTGTCTTTAAAATTCCCCTGGAATTCCATACACCAGGCTGTGAGCTGGGCCCCTCTGCATTTTGGCACAAACGCATGAGGCGCTGACAGTCCAAACTAACTCCCCAGATGGAGGCCTGAGTGCCTAGCCCTGACCTTGGCCCTCCCACGGCCCTATCCCCACACCGCTCCCCGTCTCAGACCCTAACTCTCCACGTCTCCTCCCCCTCCCCTCCCCTAACCCGTTCTCTCCCTGATTCCTACCTGACCCTCCTCCTAGCCCTACCCCTGCCCTAACCCGACCCCCAGCCTCTCTCTGCATCTCCCACAACACCGCGCTCACACTCCAGCCGAGCAGCAGGCTTGAATCTCACTGGCTACTGTTTTCTGCCAAATTGAAGTTCCACCTTCTAAGGACAAAGACGGGTCACCACTGGTGACATTTTAAAAATAACTGTTGTTTCTGAAATGCTCCCCGGAGGCCAGGCTCACATAGGTCCCCGCAGAGGCAGCGTCACAAGGAGGCACATCCCTAGTCCCAGCCTCTGCGCACGTCCGTCCTTACACGCGCATCCACTCTCCTTACACACCCGGGCAAGACCTCATGTTACCGTGACAACTCAGCCCAGGACCCCCAAGCTCCTTCCCATTAGCCATAAAGGATTCTGCATCCTCTCTCACCAGTTAGATGGACACATCAAAACACAACAATGTCATGAAAACTGTTCTTTCCACTGAGATGCGACCACATCAATTTACACAGTAAATGAGTTAACCTCAGGGAAGCAGGTGCTCCTGTTTCTACAGACAATTATGTCATCTCGTCTCTGCGGCAAAGGAGAAAGCGGAACTAGTGGGAACCGGGCCCGCAGGAAGGATTCAGCGTCAGGCCTGCCACTTCCCCAAAGGCCGTCGCCCACACTCGGCCGCGCCGCCCGGGAAGGGGTTCGAATGGCAGCGCGGCCTTTAAGAACCCGGGGGTCCCAGCGGCCCTGGGGTGTGCGCCAGGGGAAGGGCCGGTGTCCGCCGCTCCCCGCGCAGGGCGCCTACCTTGGTGGCGGAGTCCACGGCCGACCCTCTGCCCAGCAGCTCCTGCACCAGCCCCACGTGGCCCTCCTTGGCCGCCAGGTGGAGGGCGTTGAGTCCATTCTGCAAGAGAAGAGATGGCCTCAGGGAGGGGGGCAGGGGGAGGGTTGGGCGGCGTGATCCCCGGCCCCGGGTTGGGTGGCTCTCTCTGAGCATCAGCTCGAAGCCGCTAAGTTCAGAGACCGGGTTCCGGTGGTTGGATCCAGAGGCAGAGAGGTAAGCGCATAGTCGTTAGAAAGGGGGATTCGGCAACAGCACAAAAACAACCTTTTCTTTTTTAAAAACAAAACAAAACTAAGACATCCAAATCCTTTCACACTGAGAGAGAGAGAGCAAGAGAGAAAGCAGCTCCGTGTCACTCAGGGCCAACCGGACACGAAGCGCCAGCCCTGGGCAGCTTCACATAAACCTGGGGGAGAAATGTCCTTTTCATAAAACTCGACAAAGAAGCTAAAGGACCGTTTCGACGCTCACAGCCTTGCAAAGCCCATCCTGTACTTACAGGACCCTGAGCCTGTCCTCTGTCGCTGACTTGCCCGTCATTCCTTTTCAACTTAAATGCATGTTACAGTTTCTGACTGCACTGTAACGTCTGGCTCCCCTCTGCCCAGATTCCTAAAGACTCCGTGTCTCGCCACAGCACGGGGGACGCACGGACGACACCAACGAGTCAGAGGAGTCAGACGTCTGCCCGCGGTCTTCATGTGTGCCGAGAGCCAGGCACGGGGACAAGTTGCTTTGGGGCAATTCCCTGGTTGCGGTTGTTGCACGGCTCACACGGAATGGTTTTCTGCCGGAAGCCAATTCCAGCATGACAGCAGGGCTGCATTGGGAATGGCTGGTGGCATTTCCCCAAACCTGAATAGGTACATTAAATTGATTGTTGGCTGCCAGACAGCTCAGGGCACCTTAATCTACATGTTATTGCCTCCTACTGGCCAAACACCTGAACAGCCGTAGGCTAATTCCCCCATTCTGACAATGCCTCTGTATACGAAACCCTGACCCTTTGAGGTGTGTATCTCTGCCTCGCCTCAGGACAATTTGTGTTAATAAAAAGCATGGGGTCCTGACATGAGGAGATCTAAGTTTCCTTTAAACTAGGCTCCTCTGACCCCCAAATACCTTTCAAAATTGTATTTCGTCTCTGGACTCCTATTTAATCTACGCACAGCCTTTCTCTGGATTCCAGAACCCTTCTAAATGCCAGAACAAACACCCGGCAGTTTTCTCCTGGCTTTTATATTTGGCTCAAAAACAAAGTGATTTGTTTGTCTTCTTGGCCTAACACGGTGCTCTGACTCGGAGGAGCTGATAGGGTTGCACTGACGCTTACGCGGGCCGTAAACGGGAGCCCAGCCCTGGCATTGGCCCCTGGAGGTTAACATAACAGAACAGTACGAACCCGAGTCCTTTGAAACAACGGGCAAATACTCATTGAGCTCTTAGATGAGCAAGGACCGCCTGGTCCTTAAACTCCCGGCAGGCCCCTGGCCCCTGCGGACACTTGTCTGCGGTTGCTTTAGGCCTCCGGCTGCTCTGCTCCGTAAACCCTACGTGCCGAGCAGGGTCCGCCAGTCTGTCTTGCGCATTTGAGAAAAGCGCAATTACCTCACAGAACTGCCTTCATTGTGCTGATGTAACTATCGGGAGGAGGCGGGTGAAATACAGGCGTTTCTGGGAAATACCAGGAGATGCAGAGCAAATCCACACCGAACGGTAACAGGAGAGTGAAGCGCGGCCCCTGACCCCACCCTCCCTCCCTCTGGGCCACCGACCAGCAGGCCGAGGTCTCTCGGGCCACGCCCACAGGTAGACGCAGGTCGTTCTGAAACTTGTCGGCAGAGTCACTGCGCCATCAGCATCTGTGACATTGGTGAGGACTCAGCTACACGATGGAGGGAAAAAGCCAACGCAAACCACAAACGACCTGTGGGCACCGCCTGAGTCCAGGTCCCGCCCCGACACCAACCAGCCGCCCGCACCCGCACCCACCCGCCTCCCCGTGGTGGCCGCTCGGAGCTCGGAGCTCGCGCTGCAACGGGAGCCAGGGTTTACTCCGCTTTCTGCGGACCGGGAACCGCAAGGCACCACGTGTCACGGCCACCCGGCACCACTGAACTGTGTCTTGGGGTCTCTGGCTGGTTCCCCTGGGCTTCCGATTTAACAAAGTGAACCAAGCCACGGTGGCCACGAGGACACGTGTCTTATTAGTGAGTCTCCTCACGTGGCCACGGCTTTCTTCATTCCCAAACGACTGTTTGTAATGAGGTACTTGCTAAGCCTCTGACACATCTTCCCCGCGAGGCTGGGCAGGTGGTGGCGCGATGGTCATTTCATCAGGAAACGGTGGCACAGGACCGCCTCGCAGTGCCACCGCGTGCGTCCGCCCGGGGCCTGCGCACCCCGCACCGCGGAGGCCACCGTCCCTCCCTGTCCAGTCCCAGCAAATGCTTCCATCCTGGAACCCCCCGGCCACAGAGCGGCCTTGACTGACGGTGAGTTAGCCTGGGCAGGAGAGCGAAGCTCTTCCAAACCCGAACAAGGCCAGAGGGACGGGAGCGAGTGGTGACCAACGGCTGGGACCTGTGTTCACACTGTTGGTCGTGACGCAGAAGCAGGTCACCCACGCCAGGCAGAGGCGCATGCCCGTCCGCACGTCTCTACCCAGGACACCGAGCACCGAGCAGAGGAAAAGGGCGCGCCCGGGGGCAGGTGCTTCTGGCTTATTTTCTGTTGGACTTTCACACACACGCACACACACGTCTCTGTGTTTACACGTGCATAACTGTGTGTGCAAGTCTGTGTTTATGTGTCATCTCTGTGTGTGCACAAGTCTCTGTTTATGTGTGTATCTGTGCACACACGCCTGTGTCTGTGTGTTTAAGTGTGCACGTGTGTCTGTGTGCACGTGTCTGTGCATTTATGTGTGCATCTCTGATGTGTGCCTGTGTGCCTGTGTGTTTATGTGGCATCTCTGTGCACATGTGTCTGTGTTTATGTGTGTACCTGCGTGCACAACCTGTGTATGTGTGTTTAAGTGTGCATGTGTGTGCACACGTCTGTGCACTTATGTGTGCATCTCTGGTGTGTGCATGTGTGTGTGCCTGTGTGTTTATGTGTGCATCTGTGTGCATGCGTGCCTGTGTGTGCATGCGTGCCTGTGTGTGTATATGTAAATCTGTGCATGAGTGCCTGCGTGTGTATGTGTGCATCTGTGTGCATGCGTGCCTATGTGTGTGCATGAGTGCCTGCGTGTGTATGTGTGCATCTGTGTGCATGCGTGCCTGTGCGTGTGCATGAGTGCCTGTGTGTATGTGTGCATCTGTGTGCATGCGTGCCTGTGTGTGTATGTGTAAATCTGTGCATGTGTGTGCATGCTCTGAGCTGCATAAACACTAAGGAAGTTTAGGCAGCACCCGGGATGTGAGGGCTCCTTGGGGAAAGGAGATGTCCTTTCGGGTCAAGTAGTAACAGCGGCTGCTCTCCAGCTTCTCCCGGCGGGGCGGGACAAGGGGGGGCGTGCGGGGGGGGGGGCGGTGCCGGCTTGGAGTTCCTGAACTCACTCCCCTCTCAGACGCGTGCAGATGCAAACAGGCGATGTGGCGAGGGGCGGAGAAGAGCCCTTCCTGTCGATGATGTTCCCTGAGCCCCAGGCGGCATCAGCCTCACCCCAGCCCTGGAAGGTTTCAGGGTCTGGCTCGTGGCCCTTCCTCCAACATGTAGCCAGTGGCTCCCCCAAATCTCAACCGTCAGGCCCCTGCCTCTCAGCTGATGGCCCTTCCCCCTCTCGCCTCGTCCACTCGCTTCCATCGTGGGACTCGAGACCTCGTCACTCAGGGACAGCAGCTCCCTCCAGGCCCTCGGCTCCCAGCAGCGACCCTCCACCACCACTCGCTTTCCTGCCAACCTCCTGGTCCCCGTGCACAGCCCCTCACCCGCCCCTGGGTCCACTCCCTCCTGGTCCCCGTGCACAGCCCTTCACCCGCCCTGGGCCCATTCCCCCCTGGTCCCCGTGCACAGCCCCTCTCCCGCCCCTGGGTCCACTCCCTCCTGGTCCCCGTGCACAGCCCCTCTCCCGCCCCTGGGTCCACTCCCTCCTGGTCCCCGTGCACAGCCCCTCACCCGCCCGTCGTCCACTCCCTCCTGGTCCCCGTGCACAGCCCCTCTCCCGCCCCTGGGTCCACTCCCTCCTGGTCCCCGTGCACAGCCCCTCACCCTACCCCTGGGTCCACTCCCTCCTGGTCCCCGTGCACAGCCCCTCACCCGCCCCTGGGTCCACTCCCTCCTGGTCCCCGTGCACAGCCCCTCACCCGCCCCTGGGTCCACTCCCTCCTGGTCCCTGTGCACAGCCCCTCACCCTACCCCTGGGCCCACTCCCTCCTGGTCCCCGTGCACAGCCCCTCACCCACCCTTGGGTCCACTCCCTCCTGGTCCCTGTGCACAGCCCCTCACCCTACCCCTGGGCCCACTCCCTCCTGGTCCCCGTGCACAGCCCCTCACCCGCCCCTGGGTCCACTCCCTCCTGGTCCCCGTGCACAGCCCCTCACTGGGCGGGAATTCCCCATATGAACATCACCTTCGCTCCCTCCCCAGGCCGGGCAGGCGCCCTCAGGCGGCATTGCTAACTCAGAGTCCCGGCTGCGTGGAACTGACTCCGGGCCCAATGCCCGCACACAGCCACAGAAGAACCCGCGAGCCAGCTGTGTGCTCCGGAGGGCCCTGCACCACCTGCCATTCCTGCTCTGTAGCCCAGCACTCCCCCCCCCCCAGGTGGCTCCCTCACACATTCTCTCCTGCCCATCACCCCTCCATCCTCTCTCAGCTCATGCCCTTGACTCAGATTCCACTGACAAAGCAGAGGAACTGTACGGACCTGCAGCGCCACCAACGTGTCCCCACACTGCCCGCCCTCACCCACAGGCCCGCCTTTCCTGGACCCGCCACTTCCCAGCACAGCCCAGCTCCCACAGGCGCACAGGGAACGGGCAGGATGGGGGCTGGCCCTGACCTGGGGGTGGGAGGGACTGGGATGCATGAGAGGAACTTGTTGGTGCATTTCAGCGACGTGCTAAGCCGGTCAGGAGCCACGTGAAAATGCGGCGTTACTGCGAGGATCGTCGCCTGCTAACACTGGCTGAACTCCCGCTCCGCTGGGCATTTGGCAGAATCTAATGTAATCCCGCACCACCCCTGACCTCAGTGTTGCACTTCCCACCACTGAGCACACCGCGTCCAGAGGAGACGGCTGCCTGGGGCACATGGGAGGAGCCAGCTGCCCGGGGCACACAGGAGGAGCCAGCTGCCCGGGCACACAGCTGGGGAGGGACAAGGTCGGGACCTGGGCTCCAGACATGCCCTGAGCTCCGGGTCACGGCTGTGAGCAGGTGATCAAGCCACTGCGGGCGCCCCTCCTATTCAGGGGGATCTGTGTTCCTGGGAAATGGCGCATGGGCCTGGCCGTCCGTCTCTGAGACAGGAAAGCAGGGCCTGACCGACTGTTCTGCCCCTGCACAGCCGCAGGGCAAGGTCAGGCCGGGAACCAGGACACCTGGAGGACTGCGAGCCTTTCGTGTCAGACCCGGGACAGGTCCATGCGATGAGAGACGCCTCCACACGGAGTCGCTGCAGACCCAGTACGTCCTCCCACAGGGAACACTGTCTACGTACTGGATGGACGGGCGTGAGGGGCTGTGGTGACCCGTCACTGGCTTATTGTCAACTTGTAGCCAACTGTCTATGAGAAGGGTGTACCGGCTGTCACGGCTGGATGCTAACCTCGCTGTGACACCCTTAGATTAGGAACGACCACTGAATACCTAAGAGAAGGACATGTATACATGAGACTCAGAAACGGAGCAAATGCGAACATTCATCCTCTTTTCTGAAAGAAATCCTATATAACAAAGAGGAAATATGCAAATTGACTGTCACACCCTCACACAAAATGGTCACCCTCATGTGGTCAAAAGATGGCTGGCAGGGGAGGGCAGTTGGGGGCAACCAGGCCAGCAGGGGAGGGCAGTGGGGGCGATCAGGCCGGCAGGGGAGTGGTTAGGGAGTGATCAGGCTGGAAGGCAGAGCGGTTAAGGGCAATCAGGCAGGCAGGCAGGCGAGCGGTTGGGAGCCAGCAGTCCTGGATTGTGAGAGGGATGTCTGACTGTGGGATTGGGCCTAAACCGGCAGTCAGACATCCCCCTGAGGGGTCCCAGATTGGAGAGGGTGCAGGCTGGGCTGAGGGACACCCCTCTCCCCCAGGCAGGAATTTCATGCACTGGGCCTCTAGTGAGCTAATAAGACACATAAGTTACTAGTTTAATCTTTTCAGGAAAATAACACTTAGCAGATTTGTAACCATTTGGGAAAGGAAAATGAAAACATGAAGTTTTTTGTTCAGCGGTATCATCTTGCACCAGATGTATGCATTTTCCCCATAAACATTAAGTGATTCAAAACCAAATGGTAATTTTGGATTCACTTTCAAAATTCTCAGAGTCGCTATGAGGCAATTTTATAAAGAAAAACATGTCCCCCCACATTTCAGTCTAGGAACCTCGGTGCGCCCATGCAGGCGCATTCTGGGGGAGCTGGTGCGCCGCCCGCCTTCACTGAGAAACACCGCGTGGTACAGGGCGACCCGGGTGTGTGCGTGGCGTCACGCCCCCACAATCTCGGGCTCGCCAGCACAACAGGGCGACTTTCCTTCTCCTCCATGTGCCCAGTGAGCTCTGAGCCTGCACTGGATTAAAAGTAGCCATCCTTTCGCCGAGAGCTGCCTCGTTGCCCTTTGGGAACTATTTCCTGTTCGGTCATGGATTGGGGGCTGGAGCAGTCCCGGTGGGGGCGCTCTCTGGCCTAAAAGTCCCTTCAACCACCCAGCACGCTCATCTGAGGGTGAATCGAGTTCGTTTTAGATGAGCAATGGGAGATTGGAAATGAGATGGAACGCGCTGGCCGGCGTGGCTCAGGGGTTGAGCGTCGACCTATGAACCAGGAGGTCACGGTTCGATTCCCGGTCGGGGCTCATGCCCAGGTTATAGGCTCGATCCCCAGTGCGGGGTGTGCAGGAGGCAGCGATCCATGACTCTCCCATCATGGGTGTTCCTCTCTCTCCCCCTCTCCCTTCCTCTCTGAAATCAGTAGAAAAATACATTAAAACATGAGGTTGGAGCCTGAACATAGAGGAGGCGCCCGCTGTACACTCTGACGGGCAGGCCCGAGCATCTCAGGGGACGTGGTCTCCCGCGGGAGGAGGCGCGGGTAGGGGAGCGGACAGGGCCGTGACCCCGGGGACACCTCACGCTCACGGGCTGGGAGTCCGCGCTGTGAACCCGGGCGGATGCCGCCCGCCCCGCGTTGGTCTCTGCAGAAAGGTCGGGTGCGAAGCCCTCGGCAGACAGCTGACCGGAACCAGGTGGCGGGGGAGGCAGCCTCCTGTTCTGGGTGGAGCCCATTTTCCCTTGTTGGTTCTTGGCGAGTCATGAGCAGTAACAACGGCCATGACATGCATCCCACGGGAAGTCCTTTTTCACGTTTCATACCTAATCTACATGCACCGGGGAGGGGGGAGTGACCTTCTCATCTCCAGCACTCTGGGCCCTGGCTGGCGTGGCTCAGTGGGTAGAGCGTCGGCCTGCAGACTGAAGGGTCCCGGGTTTGATTCCAGTCAAGGGCACGTGCCCAGGTTGTGGGCCAATCCCCAGTGTGGGTCATGCAGAACTCAGCCGATCCATGATTCTCTCTCATCATTGATGCTTCTCTCTCTCTCCCTCTCCCTTCCTCTCTGAAATCAATAAAAATACGTATTTTTTTGAAAAAGGTCACTTTCTGGGTTGCAATGACTCCTTGAAAGTGGAGGAGCTTGGACTGGAGCCTCCGGTCTCCGTTGCGTGTGGTTGCATGACGTCACGCTACCTTCCCACACACACACCCGCGCGCGTTCTCTCCTGGAACACGCTGGCGACTGTGGCCACGGCAAGGACATTATGTCAGGCCGCTCACAACCTCTGAGGACGCAGGACGTTGTTGGTCATAAAGCAAACTGAGTCTTTTCTGCTGAGAAATTGTTTTTTCTAAAAACACCTTGAGATCTTTCCTACGATTATACTTGGGGGTGAAGGGGACTCAGTGTGACTGAGGTGAACCTTAACTTCCCTGGGTTCCTGTTGGCGTTTTTAGAATAATTTCTACCTAAATGAACTGATGGCTTCATTGCCTACTCTCTAGCAAATTGAGCCAGTTAATGAATTAACATTGAAACTGGGGGGATGTTTTTAATCTACTTTTAAAAAATCCAAGCTAGCGTGTGAAAATGATAAACTCCCTCATTCTCAGTCCCCCAGGCCCGTGTGGAAGTAGTTCATACGCCCACAGGGACTCAGATATTCGTTCTCTATTAAGTAACTAATTAGTACCCAAAGTTTAAATTATTTGTTCAAAAGGACCCTGAAAGCGTAGCCGATAAGACTCGAGGTGGGAAGTCAGATGATTAAGAGGTGCAGACACAGGACATGATCGTATGTTTGGGACGAAGGACGGGGGCCGGTTCCGGGCCAGTGCTGAGCGGGCGAGATCCAGGGTCTGGCCTCACCCACACGGGAACCAAAGCGCGGCTGCTTCCCCGGTCTCCTGCCAGAGACCACGGACGTGGCGGCTCCCAGCCGGCCAGCGGCTGAGGCTGAGCGTCCCCCGGGGCTCTCGCCAGCTCCCTGCCCCTCGGCCCCACGGGAGTGACCCCAGGACCAGTAACAGGCCTGTGTGTGCCACAGGGTAAGTCAGAGAAGACCGGCTCCTGTTCACTCGGAATCAGCCAGGACTGTCCCTCCCCAGCAGCTCTGCCAAGCGTGTGCACACATGCTCACACATACACACAGAGGCACACACACACATATACACAGGCACACACACATCACACATACATGCACACATCACACACAGGCACACAGGCACACACACATATACACAGGCACACATGCATCACACATACATGCACACATCACACACATACACACAGGCACACACGCTCACACGTACAGAGACACACATACACACGCGCACACACGTCACACACAGGCACACCCACTCACACATACAGAGACACACATCACACACATGCACATGCATACGTCACACATAGGTGCACACATGCACATGCGCACACAGAGGCACACATATACACAGGCACACACAGGCGTGCATACGCATACACACACATGCACACACATGCACGTGCCAGCGTGCCACCCACGCTCAGCGCACCCACCGAGCACTGGAGCGCACCAGACCCTTAGCTTCCCGGCGGGAGAGCCTCCGTCCACATCAGCACAGAGCCCTCCGTGTCCCTGCAGCCCAACAACGTCCCAAACGGAGACTTCGTCTAAAGCCCCGTCGAGGGCACGTGACGGACAGATTTCAGACACGTCGTTTCAGCCAGTGGTTTCAGCCTCTCCCGCCCTAACCCACCTTCTGAAACAAATCAGGGGGAGGGACTTCCTTATTTTAGCCTCTTATTTCCCTGTCCCCGTCTGGCGTGCCAGGCCTGCAGCGAGGAGAAAAGCCGCCGGGCCTGGGGACTGGCCGGCGCTGATGGAAGGAGAACAACAGGCCGGATCCGGCCGCAGACAGACTGACTGCCGACGGCCACTCCCGACCTCCTATCCTGGCAGCCTTGGCCCTAGACATGCGCCTCTGAGGCCGCAGACGTTGGCTGGGGAGGGGGGGGGCGCGGCCTGCACAGCCCTGGGTCCCCCACAGGAAACTCAGTCCACGGCGTGTCCCGGGCCCGCTCCCCCAAGCGCCTACCTGGTTGCAGGTGTTGATGTCCACGCCGCCCTTCAGGAACTCCATCACCTTGTCCAGGTTGCCCGCTCGGGCCGCGCGCAGGAAGCTGGCATTGCTGTCCGACTGCGGGAGAAGGAGAGGACCCTGGTGAGTCGCTGACCAGATCCACAACCAAAGGCCCCGCACGTGGAGGCTTCCCTGCCCGTCTCTGCCCCGTTCCCAGCACGGAGCAGGGGCCCTGCGTGGGGCAGGACCTTCCCGGTATTTCTGGGGGTCCCCGGTATTCCTGGGGGTCCCCGGTATTCCTGGGGGTTCCCAGTATTCCTGGAATACCACGGTTCAGCGTGTTCCCCGGCCTCGGAGCATCAGAGGCAAGTCACCCGGACGCCACCTGTGAGCTGCCGGTTCATGGGCGTGTGTGACACCGTCGCGCCCCAGGCTCACGTATTCGCGCCCATCACGGCACCTGCTGAGCAGAGGCCTCACCCACCACCCGTGCCTCGACCGCCGCCCGCACACTGGAGAGGCAACCTGCGGAGACAGACTCTCCCAGATGCCTTCCCGGGGGTGGGAGGTCAGCGCGCCCGCCCCATCACCCAGTCAGGTGTCTCTCTGCGCGGAAATTCAGGTCAGATGGGAGCCAGGAACCAGGCCCAGGCCGCTCCGTGGCCTCTACAAACTCAACAACGCAAACAAACAGGCAGAGACGGGGAGCACCTGGCCCCCGGGGGGAGGACTCACGGGCGACCCCGCTGTGCAGGGTGAGGGGGCCGGGTGTCTGAGGGGCTCCCGGACTCCCGGGAGCACCCAGGGGACCACTCAGAGCCTTCTCCAGGGCCGGGGTGGCATCCAGGGTGGCTTTTGCTGTTGCAAATCACAAGTTTTCCAACTGCTTTTCCCTGTTCTGAGTCAAATGTCTACCAAGTAGAAGCAGGTCGCGGTACCGCCAGCCGAGGGCTTTTCACCAGAATGTCCCAGTGTCCCAGGGGCCGGGCCCAGAGCACACGCAGCGGCTGATCCCGGTACAGGCCTCCCCGTCGGCCGGATTCTTCTAGAACCCACTAAGAGACTCAGTTTCCCCAAAGCGAGGAAACGCACTATTAATGCATATTGCAAGTGCAAAGGCGAGCAGATGGTCCCAGAACACAGATCCCAGAACAAGACTGAAGTGAGGCTGCAGGACGGATGCCTCGGTGGTGACAGTCTGCCGGACACAGGTGCCCGCGGCCCACACGGTCAGTCTGATGACAGCTCTGAGGGGCTCAGGGTGACCCCTCGGGCTGCCGGCCTCCAGCCACAGAGAGGGGAGGACCCGGGGCGGTGGCGAGACACAGCAGCCTCCCCGCGTGCTTCCCGCTGACGCACAGGAGGACGTTCAAAGCTATGGGTCTGGAGGGAACGTGCTTTCACAGGAGACGGCGTCTCCCGCCCCCCGGGTGGTGCCCACAGGAAGTGCCGGACGGGGAAACTGAGGCTCCGGGGAGTCACAGACACAGGTCCCCCGGCCTTCCCCGCTGCGCTGCCCGGCGTCCCCGCCCAGTGGCCCTGCTGCCCAGGGTTCTGACTGCGACGGGGACTCACGCGAGCCCACAGGTTCAGTCGCCACAGGTGGGGGCATGGCGCACGGCCCCCCACGGCCCCGAGAAAGAAAATTCCCTCTAAGTTCTTCCCAACCTAGTCCTGCCCGCGGTACCTGATGTAGAAAAACAGAGCACGTCCTAACACCCCGCAGGCGGACACGGGGTGTGTGTGTGTGTGTGTGTGTGTGCGCGCGCATGTGCGTGCAGTCGGGGAGCCACGCCTCTCCCCACGGTGGTGCCCTCGAGGGCCCTGGGCAGGAATTAAATGGAGTGGGAAACTGTGGAGGGTTATTAGTTTGTGAACCTTCACCCGGAGATACTTTTTCCATTGACTTTTAGAGAGAGGAGGGAGGAAGGGAGGGAGGGAGGGAAACATGGATGTGGGAGAGACACATCAGCTGGTTGCCTCCCGTATGCACCCTGCCCTGGGCCAGGGAACGAAAGGGCCGACGCTCTAACCGCTGAGCCACCGCCCAGGACCAAGGAGCCATTTTTTAAAAGAAATGATGATGCGTCACAGATACATGGACGTGGGCGTGAAGCTCACACCGCCTTCACAGGAAGCTGCTAAATGTCTTTTATTTCTGAAAAAACACGCTCCTCCTCGTATAAACCTGGGGGCCGGACGTGACAACCAGCGGTTTTCGGAAAGGACGGCAGCGCACCCTTCCTACGAGTGTGTGTTTTGCTAGACGGGTCCTGTCGGGCTTCCCACCCTTATCAGCCCAGCAAAGGCGCAAACCTAACCGTGTCCCCCCGCGTTTTCACCCGTCGCTTCTGCCCCGAGAGCTGGCTGTCTGATTCTCCCCGATGACGCGAGAACACCGGGCAGACGACCCGACTCCGGGGCTAAGGGCAGGATGTGTTTTCTGGGCGATTGTTTCACTGGAACCCAGGAGCCGCCCAGTATCTCAGTCATAACCGAGGTAGGAAAAGAGGGAAAAAAATCAACCCAGACGTTTAAAATAACGGCGACGTCGGCAACACTTCAACTTCATCAGAACGCTCTCCCGGCTCCCGGCCTCGACTCCGGCAGCTCTGGCCGCTCCGGACCCATCCGTTCGCTCAAAGACACCGACGCGACTCTGCGGGGACCATCGTCATCCTTACGCTCTCAGACGCGGGTTTCAAGGGAAGGCGCAAAGACGTGCCCTCGTTGCAGGCCCCACATGAGTAGGGGGTGCCCGTGAGCTCCGGAAAGTCCAACCTTTACAGGGTTGGTGACCCGATCGCTATAATAAGCCCTCCCCCCCCGCCCCGTTCCAGGGAGAGGCCTGTCACTGGGAATGAAGGCACAAGAACAGCAGCCGGTAGTTCCTGCGGCAAAAGGGGCCTCACGTTTCACCTGCTGGAAGCTTGTTAAGTCCACAACAGCCACGGGAAGTGGGTGAGCATGACAGCAGGTGCGTGTGGGGAGGAAGCTACACGGCCACCAAGCCAGCTCGCCCCAGGGGAGGGGGGCGGGTCCTGGCTCCGTCACCCCTGTGACCATGGACAAGCCGCTGGGCACGGTGGGGCTAAGCCAGCCGTGGGCAAACTACGGCCCGCGGGCCGGATCCTGCCCGTTTGAAATGAATAAAACTAAACAAACAAAAAAAGACCGTACCCTTTTATGTAATGATGTTTACTTTGAATTTATATTAGTTCACACAAACACTCCATCCATGCTTTTGTTCCGGCCCTCTGGTCCAGTTTAAGAACCCACTGTGGCCCTCGAGTCAAAAAGTTTGCCCGCCCCTGGGCTAAGCTGTTGCACGGAGCAGAAGGCGATGAAAGCTACTGCTCAGTCCAAGTAAGTAGTTACGTTTGCTCGGGACGAGCTTCATTGACAGGAACGCGTCCCCGGCCCAGCCTGTCAGACGCGGACTGCCTGCGGGATGACCACTCCTGTGCTCACAGCATAGTCTCCCACGGAATCCCTTTCAAAGGCCACTGCTCCATTTCATTTTATTTTTAATCTTTTAAAATGTATTTTTGTTGATTTCAGAGAGGAAGGGAGAGGGAGAGAGAGAAACATCAATGATGAGAGAGAATCACTGACCAGTTGCCTCCTGCACGCCCCCCACTGGGGATCGAGCCTACAACCCGGGCCTGTGCCCTGACCAGGAATCGAACCGTGACCTCCTGGTTCATAGGTCGACGCTCAACCACTGAGCCACGCCGGCCGGGCAACCGATGCATTTTATGTACAACTTGCTATAGAGAATAATGACCCCAGGGAATGTATGTTCCTTTAAACCAGTGGTTCTCAACCTTCTGGCCCTTTAATACAGCTCCTCATGTTGTGACCCAACCATAAAATTATTCTCGTTGCTGCTTCATAACTGTCATGTTGCTACTGTGATGAATCGTCATGTAAATATCTGATATGCAGGATGGTCTCAGGCGAACCCTGCGAAAGGGTCGTTCGACCACCAAATGGGTCGCGACCCACAGGTTGAGAACCGCTGCTTTATAGAGTAACATGTTTCATGCACGTGCCACCCACAGCGGTCACGCGTGTGCACCCGGAGTGGGGACATGCCTGTTCTGAGCAGAAGGTTACACTGAAAGCGTCTCAGTTGCCAAGTGTTTGAGCGGTTTCAGGAACGCCTTCTGCGCTGCTACCCGTTTCCATCTCAGAGCCTCTGTTCGCACTGGGAGACCCGTCACCTGCCACCGGCAAAGGCCCGGGACGCGCTGTGCTCTGTGGGGATCCCCTGGTCGCTAATGTATTCATGTTTCCCACAAACGCTGCTGTGCCTCTGCTGGGGGCCTGGCACCCGCAGGCACAGCCCAGACGTGGAGCCCCTGCCGCACACACCACAGCTGGTGGACTCTCCCGGGGGGGGCGGGCTTCCCCCGACAGAGGCCAGTAGAGGCTGTGCAGGAGGCAGCTGATCGATGTTTCTCTCTCATCGATGTTTCTAACTCTCTATCCCTCTCCCTTCCTCTCTGTAAAAAAATCAATAAAATTTTTAAGAAAAATAAATAAATAAAATTAAAAAGTATTTAGGGCTGAGGTGGGGGATTCCAGTGAGCACGTGCTCAGAAAAGAAGAGAGAACCCGCGTGATACACAAACGGGCACAGAACCTGACAGCTAGCCGTGAGTCTGTGCATAGATCTGTCCACAGTCACACACAGGCTCAGCTTTGCAGAAAACGTCACCTTAAAGAGACGGCATCGCTGCTTGTCCCCGAACGTCACTTCCCAGGGAGAGCCGACCAGAAGGGACACCCGTGGTGCCCCCAGCGTGACGGGGAGAGCCAGCCGCTGACCCAGCGGCATCAGGCGGCCTGATCGCCGCATCGCACCAGGTTACGTCTTCCCAGGACGCGCCGGGATCTGACCAATGAGGTCCACTAGGACCTCTGACTCATCCTCCCTCTGCGTCTGCTCAGCACTTACCCGCGCTCCCAGCTCCGGGGCGTCCTCGCTGAGGCAGCCGTAGTAGTCGGGGGCTCTGTCTGCCTCCTGCACGTGCCCCTGGGCCTTCACACTCTTGCCCGCGTGGCACGAGGGGCAGAGAGCAGCATTGCCCATCTCCCAGCACAGCTCCAGG